CGTTCTACATAGGTCGATCCAATTCCGGGGGACTCTCGCTTAACGCAATTAACAGATTAACACAGATTAACACGCCTCCCCTTGTACTCCTATAATCACCGGTTTTCCCGTTTTCTGCTCTCCGCCAGGAGAAGGCATGTTAGTCTGTTGATCTGAATGCATTCAGCGAGAATCTTGCGGAGTTGGATCGATCTCCGTAGAACGATAGTTGCATTGGGAATGAGCCCGAAGAAAAAGCGGAATAAGTTGCTAATTTTTCCTCAAAGACACACACGCTTACTTCACAAAGTATAGACATAAAAAAAGGAAAAACGATATCCTTTTGATTAACCATCTTTAAAACAAATTCTCTCTGTTTTTATATTCCTATCTGTTGGGCATTTTTGTTTCGACATACAGTCTCTATTGCTTTAAAGAGGCAGACTGTTACTTGCTGTCTTTTACCTACAGTCAGCTTTTATATTCTTGACGCCTTGATACTTGTAAACAATTTTTGCAATACTGTCAACAATAAAAAAATCCTATCCATATTCCATGTTTCCATGATATAATAGCATTTTTGTATTTAAATTGTGCATTTTATCTTTGTTATTTGTCACACTTTTAGAGGTCTGTGCATTACCTATTTTCGAACTCATTTTGGTCTTATTGTATATCCTTCGTTTTATGTAAACATTTTATTGGTAAAATCGTAAGATTTTCTAACCCAGTTTATGAAAAATTTCAACCTTTTGGCTGCTATGTTTTAATAAACTTATTATTATATTTTTTCAGCTATACCAAGCAATCCTGACGACAGTCTTTGTCAGGTGGATGTATTAGAGAACTGCGGAGAAGAAGAGTATGACTGTGTGGAAGTGGACGGAAAGAAGCAGTGTAAAACCAGAGAACTCTTATGTAAAAAGTAAGGACATTTAACCATTTAAATTGTGAAGGGGCTGGACCGTGCGGCGAGAGGCCCAATTGTCTTTGTGTTATTAGTGGTTATATGTGCGATGAAATTATACCATTTTGTTATATATCCCAGAGCCAGAAAAGTTTTCATAGTGGGCATAGTTGCTCTTACCCTTTGCCTTCAATCAAGAACGTGTATATGGGTTTGAGCCCCAAATTCTTCAGGGGCGGATTTAGGCCGTCTTCTGGGTCTTCCGGAAGACGGTCAGATTTTCAAGTTTACATTGATGGGTATCTAATTTTTTCTGTCGGAAGACAGTCAAAAATGAAGGATGAATCAACAAAGATAATTTGGAAGACTGTCAGAAAATATCTTTGGATCCGCCCCTGTTCTTAGTAACTTTACCACACTGTCAGTTTCTATAAAGGTCAATGTACACCTGAGTTCCGTTTTTTTTTTATTTTTTTTTTATTTTTTTTTATTTTTTTTTACCGAAAAGATTTTTTTCAAATAAGGACCGTTCGTTCTTTAGAACTACATGTATTACACCAACTACGGGTCTGACCCTATTCTGCTAGGGATTTTTTTTCAAGAGGGAATGAGAGATCTGTGGAAATCGCCAACAAAACAAATCTTTTTTTCAGTCTCACTTGTTTATAATTTCATTAAAGACCATTCACTTTTCTGCGACATAATGAATGCTAATAATTATATTTCAGCACTCGCACTGTGAGCTGTGAACACGGTATTTGTGAGGAGAACCGTTGTACCTGTGAACCATGCTGGGCCGGCGTAACTTGTGACACGCCAGGTTTGTTCTCTCTCTCTCTCTCTCTCTCTCTTTCTCTGTGTGTGCGTGTGCATGGTTTATCTTTCTGTCAATATATAGTTAAATTAAAGGCACGAGAAACTGGAGAAGCGATCCTATATATTCCGATGTCACACATTGAGCACATCAAAGTTTTCATCTCGAAAAGGGCTTCAATCGGAGATGATTGATTACCAAGCACTCTATTATTATGTCGGCTATTCTGAATTATCTATAATATTAAAATCAATAGTTCGGCCAATTACCACACTAATACTTGAATAGTATTCATTTAAGTTGCACATCACAGTTTCAGACGCTCACTTACTCGTATGATATATCTAAAATTTACAATTCGTCATACATTGTATACAATTGATTTGTTGTATAGCATGGCATAGGCATAGCTTTTTTTCACTATACTGATGGTTTTGATTTTAACAACCGTCTTCCTTGATTACCCCATACACCCCCGTCCGCGAGTTGACTTGCCTGCTCACACGGACGTTAATTTAGCAGCCTGAATTTTTACTACAGAAAGCTACTGTCACCAGTTCTGACACTTTTAAATATTTAGAAATATCAGATAATGACGGAAAGATTGACACTGCAGTTGCACCATGATTTTAATATACATTTTTTAATTTGTTAATTGTGAAACCTCAAACAAAAAGTACAGGTAGATAAAGAAATAATGAAATATCTCACTCACTCACACATACATGCACACACACACACACACACACACACAGACACACACACACACACACATTTATAATATGCAGTGGAATGGGAAGCAAATACATACAGACTCTTATCCCAACGCCCGTGCTATTGTTACCACTGGGGATAATTTATAAATTAACACGAATCTTAACTATCTAATACTGGTAAATTAAACATTCAAGACCTGTAGTTTGGTACAAAGCAGAGCATTTCAGAGTCACAATACTGGAACGCCCGTGTCTATACCTCAGAGACAACTTATAGAATTCAAGAATACTGCTTTGGCGCCCCTGGGATAGTCACTTCATTGGAAGCAGGCTATTTAGAATGAGTACTCAGTATCTGTGTAGATACCGTTCATTCGGTGACCTAACTTGGTTCGCGTACACAATGTAGTGGGGCTCGCATCGACCGACACTGCAGTGCTACAAATACTGACAGAATTATTAATCGAAGTATCAGAGTGACAAATGACAAGTTTATCATTTCGCTTTACTGAGTGTAGTTCTCCCTCGAGACACATTAGTTGTCGTGTTCACGGTGGCCTCATTCCTTATTCTAGTTATATACAGTTAACGTACGATTTGATGACTACAAAAACGAGGCCTCGCCACACAATGGGAACGTTATGCAAAACGCGACTGTGTAAATGAGGCAGAAAATGACCGTGAAATGAAAATGATGTTTGTTAGTGTCAATTTAGAGAGATTCATTGACAGTCATAGTCTGAAAATGTTGCCAAATTGATCTGTTTGTTCAACAAATGACATTTTAGTTATTCAAAATAATTAAATCGAAAAAACATTGTGTTGAAATAAGTGATTATTTTTCGCCGATACGTAGGCTAATATTACTGATGCCTTTTTATATGACTTCTAGGATATGTACAGGTTTATCTTTTTTTGTACAGGGATATGATAGGAATGCCAGTAGTTACTTCAGTCAAACAAAAAAGAAAGAAAAGAAAACAACAGCGTACATTATTTGAAAAGTAGGGACTGTGCGCACACGTATTATGATCATGAGTTGGGGTATGTTTAGAAAATTTGACACCCTGTTGAACTAGACCTTGTGTTGTATATAATTATGTCAGGTGCACATTTACATAGTATTAACTAACATGTCACCCACATATATATTTTAAAATTTCAGTAAACAACCACGCCCCGCTTTTTGAGCAGAACAGATACGACATCGTCATTGACCCAGACAAAGAGGTCGAGATAAAAGAGGTCAAGGCCGCAGACGGCGACATCAGTCAGTGCTATAGCAAATCTCACGACTGCCCATGTGCAAAGATCTTTTATTCCATCCTTAGCGGCAATGAAGACGGCCTCTTCACTATCAACCAAAACACTGGGGAAATCCTGTACTCTCCCACCGCTGATCGCAAAATCTCGCGAGAGCGCAAGTTGGTCGTTGGTGCCAGAAACCCAGTGGACAAATTCGCGCAGAGGCATGGCGTTGCTCAAAGAAACGAAACCAAAGCGTATGTCTTCTTGAAGGCAATCCCGAAGAAAAACCCAGTGTATGAAAAGGTGGAGTCTGCCGCTGAGTACGTCAGCGCTGGGGTAGGGGAACTAATTGACCAATTAAAACAAGTCATGGAAGGGCCAGAATCGGAATCCCTTAGTGGTGCCGCAGCAGAACCAGAGGATTGGCTGAAGGACCCACAGGTTCAAGAAGGGCTTTCTAATGAGCTGAAAAATGTTGTCGTGCCGGGAGAGAAAGAGTTGTCTCTTGAGGCATCAAAGCCCAAAAGACGACAGGAGAGGTCCACCGACGAGGCAAACGTACCTCACAGCAGGCGAAAACGATCAGCGGTAAGTCTGTCAATCAAGACCCCATATTCTTCCGTGTGCTTGTTTGCTTCCACGTCCTTAAGCAAAAAAAATTGACTACATGCAAATGATTGTTGGCAGTGTTTGTCAGTAGGAAAGATCCAAATATTTACACTTTGAAGGTGTTTGGATACCATCTTTAGATAGGAATATAGATATATAAGATGTAATACTATCTCTTTTTATTAAGACTTAGGATCACAAAATATGTTCTAAGCACTCGGTGTCAAACTGTTATACAAAAACCATCTATTGATGGTAAGCTTTGGCAACATTTCATTTGCAAATGTTAATTTTACAATATGCATTGTTTCAGGGATTCCCAACTGAAATGACCATTTCATTGGAGAAAACAGGGAACTGGACAAATGTAGACGAGATTAGAGTTGGTGACGTCATTCCATTTAAACTGACCATCTGGATGCACGAGATCTCGACCAACATTAAGGTGCAGACAGACATGGTTTTTTCATTACTTTCATTAAGTTCTATGAACTTAAAAATCAGGTGTCAACATTTAAGCAAGATTCAGTATAAAATATCATTTTCAAGGAAGAGAGAATGGATCATGGGGGTCAAGAATTTCTGAATAAGGAGAGGATAAAGTGATGTTGAAATACTATATATATAGCCAAATTTTATTCATTTTCCGTTATCAAGGTCAAGTATAACGTTTCTTTTAATCACCATTTAGTAACATCAAATAATCGTTTCTTTTCCCGCTAGGTGGAGCTGTACACGTCAGTTGGCAATGATTCCGCCATGCTATCCTTATGTGCGCCCACCATCACCTCAGTGGGCAGTAACTTTGCTGACCTAGACGTCAACCAGCTGACCATTCACAAAGAGTCCAAGTTCAATGACTGGAAGGTCCGTCTTGAGTCTTTATTTGAATTCACGTCATTCGTTTATGCAGCTGTTAGGTTAATATGACGTCACATGTTGAGGTGTTATGATGATGTCACATGTAATGTTAATCTGCATTACAAAGCTTTAAGTACAAAAACATAATGCACTTTAGCCAATAATCGCGTACAAAAAAGCAATTGTCCTACACGTGAGACCAATTTCCTTGAATATTTTTTCAGTTCGAAAGGGTCTATGTGGATCTGGGTACGGTCTCAAATAATGGTACTGACGGAGGAAATTCGGCTGATAATAGCAAAATCGAAATGGAGTTTGAGGCCATCGTCCTTAACAATGCCAACTTCACCAGCGGTGCCTCATACTGGGTCAGCAGCGGCGTGGAGTATGGTAGTTCAGCCTGGGTCAGCCAAGCCACTTTCACCGCCGTTGTGGACAATGCTAAGGTACGCCATGGACGAGTTTATGGCAATAAAGCAAAACAGGGGACGGGTATCTCATTTAGAAGTGAGATATTCTGTAGAGCAATTTTCCACGAATATTTTTCTGCTAAATTTAAAAGAAAAAACAACTGGTTTAAAAGTGTAACAGTTAAAATCTTTTTGGCCAAATTAACTAAAATGTTAATTTTTGCCGAGTTATCACGCTGGCCATTATTGACAACGGGTGGTTTTTCATGTGCTTCTTTACGAATAAGTAATCTATATTTTGAAGACACTGCATGTGAACGTAATTATCAATTAGCATGAAAAGCGCTATCTGTTAATTATCTTTTCGAACTGTCGATTCCAGAATAGTTCATTGACGCCAAAGTTCTGGCTGACCGGTCCATCTCAACTGTACAAAGGTCAAACAGGACTCTGGACCCTGGACATGACAATCTTTGACCTCTATACTAATGTCACGGTGGACGTCTATGCTCCTCTGAACACTACGGCCACCATGTCGATTTGCCGGATCAGTATAGCATCTGCTGGTAAGATGAACCACGTGCCGTTACCCACGGAAAACTCGTGCGCTGCTACACAAACATACACTGTACATAGTCACGAACAATAATAAGCGCTTAGCCAGTATGGCGCATGTATTATATTTCATATATTCAGTTTGTACATATTTACGTATACGTATGTAATTCGAAATGATAGATATACATTTCAGAAATAAGAACTTTAAGAGTTTTATGTGCATATATCGAAAACGGGAATGAAATGAATATATGATTTATTTTTCGTGGTAACGGACTGCTAAGTTTTAAAAAAAATAATGATGAAAATAACAAAAACAATAGACCTGTTGAGCACTAAAATATTTAAGTTACACGGTGAATCTACAGACTATATTTTATATGAATACCTTAATATTTTCTACATGTGTGTATATATATTTAATACATCTTTATAGGTGACAGTTACTCCTGCCTGACCAAGGCTATGGAGAACTTGTCCTACCTTCGTTCTGACAGCAGTACCGCCGAGGATCCCATCAACTCCATCGGGACCCTGAACCTCGGGGAGATTGTCAACGCAGGTAATGCAAAGTTTTTAAAACACCCATGAAAAGCTTTAGTTTTAAGTTAAGCTAGGGGTTTGCTTTGTGGTTATTTCAGATATGTTTTTTATCGTAATGTTTTGTTCGAGAAAGTTAGATGATCTTTTGTGTTTACCTATTAATTTCTTAGTTATCATACAGCATCGAACGCCTCTGCTCCAGTATTAAACATGATATCATAAACATTTCATCATAGAGCAATCTCTGTGTCACGGTCTCTCGTACAATAAATTTGGCAGTTCAAAGTTTACCATTAATTAAAAACTTCAGAAGTTACATACTCCTAATTACACACGTCGGGTTCCTTATCATTTTTAGGAAACAGACCTCTGATGCTAAAAACCCCAAACCCTTTGAGATTTCAGAAATTAACTCTTTATTTGTGGGAGCCATTTATTATCAAAAGACACATTTAAACTTGCATTGAATCCATCCACGAACTCAAAACATGACGCTGGTTAATGACCAAAGAGAGCCTTGTTAATTGATTACCTAGGTATAGTTTTGTCTATTGGAAGGCATAGCAGAGGCCAAGTATCGAACGTCCCATTGTGAAATATGTTTGACGTCGGGCGTATCATGGCGACCGAAGTGGAAGGATCGATTTGTGTGCGCAGAATGCTATGAATAATTTAGTTTTGTTAAGCGATGAATATTTGTAGATGGTGATGATTTTCATCCAATTTCAAATAAGTCAAGAAAGTCGATTGCTTTGCTACTCAACACGCCATTTTGTATTTTGTATTTTTATTTATTATTATTTTTTTTTTTGTAACAAGACAGATGAACTTTCTTTTTGGTAGCTTCACGTCATATTTATTTCAAGTGTGTTTTGACGCAAAATTCATAGTGCATTCCTGATCAAGTTCTCTACAATTTGAATATCGGTTCCCTTTATCTTTTAAGACCTCTTAAAAGATGCTCGCCTATTTTTAAAAAACACCTTATAGAGAACTTATATATTCTGAGAAACATACTATATTTTGGATTATAAAATTGTTATAAAACACACTGTACACCTTAGCATATACAGATACGTTTCTTATTGCTGGAGCGTGATAAAAACACAGCCTGTTGCCGAATCGATTGTCCATATATCGTTTCAACAGGAACATGCAAACACACAAAAAATGAAATATCGATGTCATTATACTAATGATGAAAAAGAAACGGTTTATGACTGCCAGGCAGGTTCTGAACAATGGGAAGCGTTTAGCATTGGAGATAGAGGCATTTTTTGTTTTTCATACGTTAACAAAAGCAATAATTTCTATTGTCCGTATTCTGCTTTATTTATCACATTAAGCAATAATGTAGCAAGTGGAACGAGCTCTCAGCAAAGTAATTGTATGATAAAATGATAATAAGAATGCAAATTCGAAACAAACTGCAAAATTGGAAAAAAAATGGATAAATAATAAGATGGTAGTTCTATTTTCATGAAACAACACTCAAAGTGACTCAGGTATTCTGACCTGACATATTTCGAATTTAACGTCAATTCTCCAAATTCTTAAAGATGCATACAAAGTCAATTTTTTGTCACAAAAAACCAACCAAATGCCAGCATATAGTTTCAACTAGTAAAACTAAGAGAATTACCAAAAGTCATAGTTTAATTTTACCCGAAAATGATGTTTGAACAGATTTTTCTGCTAGCATTCTATGCAGTATGTCAATGGGGCAGAAAAGTAGGTCACGAAAGTAGGTTAAATTTCCGACCAAAAATTTAAAGAAAAGGAGCAGTCTAAAGCTATTTTATGGCTGATAGAGTGATCTATTCAGTTTATCCCTTGGCATGTCAAATTTATTTGAGTTGAATAAGAAACTAGTAGAAGTGGTTTACATGTGTTACTGGGAATCCACGCTCCACCAATGCTCGGTTCGTATGTACCTTTAACAAAATGCAAAACCCAGACCGAGAAAATGAGTTTATAATAAGATGGTAGTTTTATCTTTAGGAAACAATTCTCAAAAGGACTTTGGTATTCTGAGTTGACTAAAATAAGAAGTTAACCTCAATCCTGCAATTGCAATTGCACAATGATTTTTTGTATTAGGTTTCCGTACGGGTAACACAGACGATAGCTCCAACACCATACGGCTGGAGATAGCGGCAACTTTGATGAACACCAGTGACGTCAGTCTCGGCTCGAACCTGTCTTTGGGTGTATCGGTGCAGCTTGACGAATATGCCATATGGAGTGCACTGATGGCCTTGCAAGTAGTAGAAGAGCAACTGTCCAATTTGGTAAGCACGGGTCTTTTGTTGGATCAGTGCTTCAAATAACAAAAATTTTACTATATATACATGTATCATTTTACTTTAAAATAATTTTAACAAATCCTTAAGATGTACCGAATATATATGATATATGATGAACCCCATATTACGACTAGGCTACGTATTTTTCAACCAACTTGTTTTTTTTTTCACTGTATACCTCAGAATAAGTCCATGCTCAGTTATTGTCATAAATTAAAAATATGCCTATGCCTTGGGTGTAACAAATTTGCTCTATTTTCCCCAGTAGGCTTTTTTCAAAGACGTAGGAAAGTGGTTAAACAGTGTTTTTTAATCTTGCCTATTTTATTATTTTTGTGGTATACTTTCAGACCGTTTCGCCCGCGTTCAATCTGGAAACCGTCACACCGGAAGTGGTTATTGGTGGTCAAGCGTCCTTCCTGTTAAACATGACCCTTCCGTCCAGCACGAACCAAAGATACTCTGTTGAGGTGGGACTTCCGTACAACGACACCGCCTTCATGTCCGGGTGCCGAGTTCAAGTGAAGTACTATGGGTTCAACTATCCTTGCTTCAAGCTGCCCTTCCCGGAGTATTATTCAGCGGTTAGTGAAGTTTACTGAACTCCAATGTCAAAATAGTATACGAAAGTAATCGTCGACTTAGTACTGAATGTTGCGTTTGAACATCGTTGTTGGCACCAGCATGTTTTGGTCTGGTACAAATAATAGATTACTATTTTCTATAACTTTAAAAACATTAACTTTAAACAGCAGTGATAAGATCGAGTCAATAATTATAACTGTGATACATTCAATCACATACACCGATATTTCACAGATTTGTAACTATATAAAAATTGCATTCTTCCGCTGACCTTTCCTAAAATTTGACAATTCCATTCCAGGACTCGAACGAGATGTACGATCTGATTTTCCTCGACTTCGGTGCGATCAGTAACACCGGCCAGAAGAGCGCGGACGAAGACAATACCATCATGGTGGAGATTTCCGTAACCCTACTGAACACTACGGCCATCACCCATAACGACACTCTGCACGTGACAGTTGGCGTCAACTACGGCGACAACACGATTTGGGTCGGAAACAACGCAATTCGGGTGCTGGAGACGCCGCCGACCTACACCGGAACCAAGGTATGCTACTTAATGAAAGTTCAACTTCTTAAAATGTGTGCACACGAGTACGGGTGTATAGTCGTGTGCGTGGACACAGCAAGAATGCTGTCACCCTTTTCAAATTAAATTTGAAATTTGTATAATTCACAGCAGCGCAAATTAGAGGGATCGATATTTTATCAGAATATTTACTTTCTTATATTGAGTTATGTTGTTAATATTTTATTACCAGGTTAAAAAAGCGCCTTCAAGCTTTGTATATACTAGCTCCCCCGACATCCTTTGCCCATGTTCATTGTTTCATTTTCATTATCAGCTTTATGGATGAATGATGCAGTCTAACTAATAGTGCATTTATGTTTCTAGGCGCCGCAACTTGAATTCAAAAACATGATGCCAGACACCAACATGTATACCAATGCCTCGGTTGTCTATCACCTGGAGATGTATCTACCTACTGTGACGTATTGGAACCCAATGAGCGTGGAGTTCATCGTGCCTCTGGCAAATGGTAAGTGCACACGCGCTGGTGCCTACGAAATATTTACAAAGTCTCACACGCACACATGTTTGTTCTTATAATTATGCATTTCACATTGTATACGCGTGGCGTTTGCTTGTAGATGGGCGTGAGAGCGTATTTAAAAGTGCGAATACAAGAGCACGTGATTCGTTGTTTGTACCAGCGATGCAATGATGATGTAGTATCTCGTGTATACTCTCTAACTGCAGCTGTGTACATATATACAACCACACACCCGAAATAATTTTTTTAAAAACGCTGTCACGACTGTAATGTTTTGTTTTCGTGTTTGTGTGCACAGTTAATAGTGTCAAAACTATTATGTGTCCTAAAATTGAACAAAACCGCTTCTTATCAAATGTGATGTGCATGTACTGTATTACTCCAACCATTTGGTTGGGTTATGCGCTAAGTTATTAAAAAAGAAGAATAGCCAGGAGTGGTGTCAGCAAACACTTTAAATGAGATATATAATACTTTTGGTATATCTCCAACTCCATGAAATATGTATACAATTCACTTTGATGACGGGGCGCGTGCCTGATTTATTTCAAATGCAATCGATTATATGTGCGAATGAGGGGTTCCAATTGCCTTTTTATTGACCATGTTTATATAGGATGATGGGGGATAGGTTTCATCCTATTAGATATCAATATGCTAGATGCAAACGTGATTGTCTTCTTTTAGGCTAATTGCATAGAAAGTGGTGTTATCGTCGAGAACGTATTGGGATTGAACACAATGCATATTGAACTTTCGAAGTTCAGATCGTTGTAACAGTGAGGCACATCCTGCCGGAACGAATGCCGCATTGAAAACAGTCGGTCATCATGAATACTAGCTTTCTGTGAATCGATATCATTGAACATAATCATTTCCAGATAAAATGATATACTGGGTACATGTGTCCTTAGACTGACATATAATCATGGTGGGTAATCTGTCAACAAAAGGAGCAACTTTGCGTTGATAGTCTGTGTCAACACAGACACTGTCTTTTTGCTTTTAATGCATCTTCTGTAATTTGACCAATGAATCCAGTAGACTATAAAACGCTGAGGATCTGAAATCTCTTTTCTATGGGAATGAATTAGTTCTTGCTCTGATCTGTTAAAATACTTACACATAAAGCGTACAAACCTTGAATGTGCACTCCATACTTTCTTGTATGGGAGCTTATAGAAATCATTCCCAGCTCAATTCTTCACGTATAAAGTACAATCGGCAACAACTACACGAAGGATAGTAAATCGCAATGCACCCGTGTTTTGCTTAAGTTATTAACTTAAATATATAGCACGATTTATATAAATGATTATCTGAAAATCAATCTGTTTTTGCTGAGAATGAAAAATAAGAAAATTAAAAACACCACAAGCTACCAGCATTCTTTATTTTCGATCACTTGACCATAAAACAACTGAAATTTGTCACTTATTTCTCATTTGTTTCAGATATTTACTGTAGTATATTGTGTATATACAGAATTCTTTATGGACAAGGCTGATGTCGGTCTAGCTATGGCGGTCTGACAACAAACTGACGCATACTTACTAGATACACAAAGTGATAACAAATGAAAAAAGCACTTTGGAAGTTTTTCTTTTGACACTATATGGCGCACACAATATATTCGATATGTCATTCACTGCCTCAATACATGAACAGTAAAACTCACGTAAATATTATTATAGATATCTTACACCAAGATATTGCAAAGCAATCATACATTATTTTTGTGTATCTGCAAGCCACAGATTAATAAACGCAATTTAAAAGATGATGGAGAACATCAATATCGAAAAGTAACCCCATACACAAGTCTAATATTTGTGGACGTGTCTCTTATTTTCTAGATTCGAATATCCCACTGGTTGACATATGCCGGGTCTCCATTATCCATGTTGGGAACAACTTCGCCTGTTTAAATAAGACCCAGGTGCCTATAACGTTACAGTCAACAACGCTGCCCGAAATCAATGACCGGGCCGTGGCAACCTTTGGCATGGTTACCAACGTCGGAAAGCAGGACTATGATTGGACAAGAAATGAAAGCGTCATCAGGTATATACCCTCACCATGGTAACGCTCGTGTTTTACAAACTTGTTGTATTCTTATCATTTTTTAATTAAGTGTCATCATGCATAGTTTGCCATCATGGGCGACAAATGTCATTCTTTTTATTTCTAAAATAAATGTAGAGTAATTCTAGAACTATAGAGTATTTTAATTTCAAAGAAACCCATATATATATGTAAAGGGCAAGTTGCACAATATCGAGAAAATTAATTATATTTTATTATGTAACGATTATATCATTTGTACTTTAGACAGGCAAATTGGTTTCCGAAAAACACGCTCCGTCTTAAACTTGATACAGGGGTCATAACTTTAGATCATAACGCCTGCTTTTCAGAATGGAAGTGGTTGTGGACTGGACCGACAAGACAAACCTGACCAACGGGACCGAGTTCTACGTTGACGCCTCTGTGCGCTATGCCAAGGACAAACTGTGGGTCGCCCGGGCTTCTCTCACATACACCGAGGATGAACCGCAGATTGCTTCTTCGGTAACATGCAATTTTGATTCTTTGTAAATTATTATTATTATTGTTGTTGTTGTTGTTGTTGTAATTATTATTATTATTATTATTATTATTATTATTATTATTATTACGGACTAATAGACCACTACCGGTTCTCGAACAACATTCCTAAGTTCACTGCCCAATTAATAATTGTTCACGATCTACAAAACTATTGCACTCCCACTAAATAATCCAATTTCTTTCTAGATTAATAAATGGCAGCGTTTTCCTTTACTTGTGGTCTTAAATAAGTATTCCAATTTTCTGACAGGCTATCGGTCCGGAGGTCAACCTGACTGTTGAGAGCGGTAACGTGTACACGTATCCTGGAGGTGTCGTTGAGTTTGATGTTTCCATGGCACTACCACCGGCCTCGGTAGCCAATTACATAGGTAGGGTCACGTGGCAACGGACCAATCAAAGCGCTGGATTTGCTAGAGAATTTAACTCCATATGCGATTCTGTTTGAGGCTTTTCTATCTTTTCAAATTTGACAAGTATGCTTAATTAAACGAGCATATGATCCAATTGCTTTTTCGGTTCGTTATACATAATGTTGCTATCAAATTTCGATGGCTCTTCTTCCTGTCATTTGTGACGCCAGTGAGCATCACTTTGTTGATGCTCATCCTATCACTACAAATGGGTAGTAATAATCCAATCATAACGCTGTGATGTACTATGCAGCAGATAAATGTGTTCAAAACACAACAATGTTTTGACTGTGAATTGATCCCGCTGCTATGATTGAGTGTTTGCAGTGAAGCATCAGTAGAACCTTAAACCAACGGAAAAATTGATAGTCCTGACATATTCAGATACTAGTTATAGAAAATATGTTATGTGATACCTGAAACTGATTATCTACTCAACTACAATTTTGAAGGAAAAAAATCATTATTATCTATGCTTTACTTTTCAGTGGAAGCCATATCCCCAAACTCCTCCATCGCAGTATGTCGTGTGGAGTACATCAGTAAAGGCCGCGACATCAGCCCATGCGGCATTAAAAAGTCAGACTATGTAGTAGAAGACTACCAGGACGACCAGCGAATTGACCGCGTCTACCAAACTCTACAGGGACTGACAAACGTTGGTAAGATAGATTGCATTGCATCAGGCACATTTGAGCTGCAAAAGGCATTGTTTTAAAGTAAAACCTGGGCAAAACTGGTTTTTATTTTGAATGTTTGAAAGGTATACACAGGGGCCATGGTAACATATTTCATCTTAATGTCATAACTACTGTTTTAAAATATATCTGTTTGTTCCCAGAACAGTACGAAACGAGACCTTTTATTAAGAAGAGAACAGATTTCGGAACAAAACCGACCATATCGATCACTGTCTAAATAAATTTAATTAAAAAAACTGAATAAAGATTCGGCAAAATGTCGGATTTGAATGCGCTGTTCCATGATAGACAGCAATTTTAATATACACGTGTGCCCACGTGTGCCCACGTGTGAACTACATTGTACCCCCACGATGTATTGATAATTCAGGTCGAATACAGATTTCTAATACAAGCAATTATTCGATCATTGGATTTGTTAGTATGTCCTTTTCGTCATTTCTATAATTAATGCGCTTTATCACTCCGCTTGTAAAATCTACACTCTTTACGCCTTTTTCGTTACAGGGGCGGAGCCTATAGGCCATGACACAAGAGAAAGCTACACCGTACACACACGCATCGTGGCCAAGCTGGCAGAGAACGTCAGTGACACGGATAATGCCACGGAGCATTACCTGGCGGCTGCTGTCTCTGCCGGCGGAAGACGTCTGTGGCTTGATCAGACGCCATTTTACTACCTGATTAACGACAGACCGGATATTGTACGTACATGTGCATTTCTTTCATATTTTAAGTGAAATTACTGTAGACGTAACCATTAAAAATGAAGAATGAAAGGGCTTGTAATGTACGATTTTTAAGGCGACAGAACTGAAATATGTCTTTCACATAGTGTTGAAAATGATAGCAGGATCCTTAAATTTACCAGCACTGCTGTGTGTTAATTGCACCAAAGCAGTAGCATATCATACTCAGAGAACCTTCATACTATTCTAACATATAACATCCCTGTAAATGTTTCTTTTTTTCAAAGACTGTCACACCAGTGGTGAACTTCAAAAAACAGACCACAGCAACGTCAATCGTCAAAGGTGCCGGTGCCGTCTTCGAGCTGGACATCTACGTCCCTCCTGGCACCATTGGCGAGTACACGGTGGAGATCTACGCCCCTTGCAACGACACCGATGCCACCATGATGGAGATCTGTGACGTCCGTGCTGTGTCAAGTGGTCATCATTTGCCCTGTTTCAACGACTCGTATCAAGCGAGGAATTATTCGTCTAATTTTGTGGATGGGCATAATGACCAGGGGACACTGTGGCTTGGATTGTTGGACAACTACAAGCAGACTGGCGACATTGAGGCCCCTGAGAATATGGTGCGGCATAATGTCCTGTTATTCTATTTTTTTATCACTTTTAACCAAGCACTTTATATGCATTCGTGATTACTGTTTTCAATCTGTACTCGTAGGTTTCGTATCATGTATGCAATGCATTAGGGATGAAAATAACTGTTTCAAAAAAAAAAGTGGGGGGGGGTTCAGTTGTGAGAAGGATATTTTCAATTTAATGGCTCTTGTGGGTTGTGTTGGATTTATCATTTTAACTGTAATAATGCTATTCATTCAAATTGCGCAATTCCTTATTGCTCCTCATAGGTGAGGGTCGAGGCCGTGGTCAGTGTCCCCCATGATGCCCCTGTGAGCGCCGGTCACTCCCTGTGCGTAGGAGCCAGCTTGAAAGTGGACAATACTAAACTCTGGGTGGGTCAGATCATGGTGCCGGTCACTGAGACGTTAATACCTGAAGAGGTAAGTTTTTCTTGGTTCTCCATATGTATAATTGTACATATGCAGCACATTATCAAGTAAATATGCGCATTGGTGCCAATCCTGCATTGCGCAAAGAAGATTCATCTTCAACATTGAGCATTAGGAAAACTACACATTTCTTTTATATTTGATTTTTCAACGTAATGGTCTTATGAATCTTAAACTCAGTCAGTATCAGCATACTTTAACTTTTGCATGTGCTTTGAATTCTATCAAAGTCAAGGTACTTTTTTCGACATTATGTAACTATTAATATGATATATCGAAACCGATAACACTTAAAAGTACATGTGCGTGTCTCACTTTCAGACACTAGGTAACGCCTCTCTAGCACTCGTCACTCCAAACGACACAGCCTCCCGGCCCGCCGACGACTCTGAGGTCCAGAACGCCAGTGCCACGATGAACATCCGTGAGAGGCACCAATGGCAGCTGAACATCACCCTGGACGACACGACCACGGCGATGACCGTGACCATCCGCACTCCTATCATTGACGGCGAGGCGCAGTTGACATTGCGCGGTGCTTGGTGGACGTACTTTGGGAGTAACATCGTGTGTGGGCATAGGTATAACTTTACGGCCGTCAACAGCTCCACGCACTCTACGTCACAGATAGACACGATGGTCGTAGACCTCGGGATTTTAATGAATGCTGGTAGGTTGTTGATGAATAAGGAGAGATTTATGTAGGCCTATTCTGAGGTAATATATGTACTGGGGAATATGCTTGTTTGCTTTATTTCTGAAAAAATGGATTACTTCTGTTGCTCACTTTATCAGTTATATTACGTAGCTTATACAAAAGCTTTGGGGCGGCACAGTATGGTTACACATGTAGAAGGGGCATGAACATTTTTCACCATGAGCGTTCTGTCACAAGGTTCCTCATTGTATTTAGATTTCGATTTGACTGTTCGCAACTAATGTGAATTGTCCAAAAGATACATTGAATTTAGACAGAATTGAGAATCTCTTTTAACATCTTTCCTCAGGTTCCAGCAAACGCTACGAGCAAAGATGGCGTAAAGAAGATCCCCTAGACAACGTCCTTCAGTTGACCTTTGAACTTGAGCTTACTGATCACGCGAACAACACGCACATGTCAAACATGGAGTTCACAGTAGAGGCAACGTACGGCCTACAAGGGGAGAAATCCACCTCCGTGAACGGCTCCGTTACGCCGATTCACCATGGTGCCGAGGTGCCGATTTTGGACCTCACACACTGGATCAGCCCCATTAATGATTCCTACGAGCTGAACCCAGGGTAAGTACCGTTAGCCCCATGTATATTGTTTTAGTTATGTGTATATATGCAAGTGAATCCCTTTTATAATAATGATGATGAAAGTATAATAATTAAGTTTAAGTATAAAATCCAAAAAAAAATGTTCAATAAACTTTACAATTTCATTTTAATATTAAAAAAACAATGTGGGAGGAGAATTTTGGTAATACTCGCAAAATATACCGATCCAGAAAAGAACTGTACGTTATCTCTGTGATCCACCATTGCTGTCAAATATTCAGGCTCTAGGCCAAACGTTTCTCTTTCAGCGATCAAATACAACTGTACGCCCGTTTGTCGCACTTCGACAACTCCACCGCTGAGGCCAGCAATGTCACCCTGGTACTGCAGACGATGAGCGCCTCGTCCGTGGTCTTGTCGTCATGGAGTGGAAGGGAACCGTCTGTCACTTACAACCATGGAGAGATGACCTTCGTACACGTACGTGAATTGTAAAAAATTCAATTCTTTAAGTAATGTCAGGAGTTGAAAGGGTTAAATTTGATACGAACTTGCTTATGCAGTCTACTGCAATCTAGATAGTCTTATATAGTCTACTGCAATCTAGAAAAGCACCGAGTCACAGGGAGCGCAGACCTCAGACATGTAAGGAACTCGATTATCTTTATTAATTAATAAAACAATTAATTATACAATAGATTGAGCACCACCCAATGTAATCGGTTTACCCATTTCTGACCAATTTCACCAAAATCCGTCCATATCCATAAGAGTAAGGCTGTTAACTAACAAACTAATAAGGGAAAAACATAACCTTCCTGTCGATCGCTACAAAGATAGAAGCATAAAACCAGTCATTTCTCATTTATACTTTAGCCGATATATCCATATGGAGTTGGAGCACTTTTTTTCTTTAATAGTATCTTTATATCAAACATAGTTTTTTATTACAGTGGGATCGTCTGTTGTTCAACGACGTGAATGATCTGGTTTTCAACATCACGTTGGATCCTAACAAGGTATTGGCTAAGGGGACGCGGACTGTTCACGTTGTTATTCCTGCTGACGTCAGCGTACAGTATGAGGACCATTCTACGCCAGTGTACGACCTGGTTTGGCAGGACACGTCCAGTGTGGATGTGGAGTTTGACTTTTTTGTACCAGGTAAAATTAATGCTTCATTTAAATAAGTATGCCCTGTGTTTTCTAAATGGCTGTGCATGGTACTGTTGAAAAGCTGATGATAAGAGCGAAATTAAATGGATTTTCTTATAGTTTGGGTTACTTGGGATATATCTTCTTGTTCCTGTTATAATGAAAGCAATTCCGATTGTATTGTATTAATCGTATTTCTACAAGCAAACTTTCCCTGAAGGCTTGTACATAATATTTCCAGCTCCTGCAATTAGAATAATAAAAACGAAGCGTCATTTAAACACATTCATGCATACGTCACAGAAGTTATGTATCTTGCGACCAAAATGAAAATGCCGATTTTTTCTATACTCTTAGAGTGTTTCCTCCCCTTGGGCATGGAAAGTGGCGCCATTGCAGACTGTCAGATCACGGCTTCTTCCTCTCTGCCCAACCAAGTACCCACGGATGCCAGACTGGGGTCCAATACCGCCTGGAGGCCTGCTTTCAGGAGCTGTAACGGTTCCAACGATGCTGGGGATTACTTACAGGTTTGTATGGAGTTTGCGGAACATGATATATACTGAATGTAGAGAACGGACTGCAGTATATACTGAATGCGGGAAACTTGAAGCTATCATGTTGAAATGAGTTCATCAGTTTGGGAATGATTTAAGGTCTCAGATGGTTTTTGTCACAACCTTTCATTTTACAACGTTTTCCACTGGTGACACAAACGACATCTAATGACTTCAGTGAAGACTGAGGAAGTTGCTAGGTTGGCATCGAAATGTGTCCGTGAGTGTTATGAAATATTAGTTTGCAGTGGCGAATCCGGAGATATTTTCTGACAGTCTTCCAAATAATCTTTGTTGCGCCATCCCTCATTTTTGACCGTCTTCCGGCAGAAAAATTAGATACCCGTCAATGTAAACTTGAAAATTTGACTAAATCCGCCCCTGGTTTGTGATGATAGAAGAATCTGAGACCTAAAGCCGACATTATACACCTGTTAATCTGATTGCACACAGCAAGAGTTAGTGCGCATAAGTAAGGCCGGCATAGCTTATTATGAATGGTCCCTAACGTACACTCAAAGTAGATTCGCGTATTTTGGATTTTTAAAATAATTTCAGGTCGCACTGATAAATAACACCAAGTTGACAGGCCTAGCCATACAGACGGACGGCGCTGACGCCTCAAGCTACGTCACCACATTTACTTTAAAATACAGTTATGAGGGATTGGTATGGTATGACGTCATGGATGAAAACACAGGGCTTACAAAGGTAGGGGCGTCACTTTTGCATTTTTTTGTTCTTTTTTTTCTTAATTTCTACGAAATAAGCAGATTTATTTCAAATGTAGCACCAACTGAGCATTTCAGTTTAAGCAAAAGCTTTTTAATAAATAGGGTTTGTTGTCAGTTACATATTCTGCAAGCTAAAATTGGCATGCTATTCAAATCACGTATTCAACAAAAAACGACCAAACGCTGAAGTAACAAAACTGCTTTCTGCTTTCTTCCAGTACTTTGTTGTAAATGTAAACGGAAGTGCAGACCAAGAGGCCATTTCAGGTTGGTCGCCGACACCCGCCACGACTGACGACGTATTCTACGTCCCCGTCTACCCTAGCGTCACGGGGAGATATATCCGCATTATACCTGTGAGCAGCAGCAATAACCACTCGGCTCTCAGGGTGGAGCTGTATGGCTGCAGTGCGCCGCAGTCGAGTGTGTTTACTATAAATGGTAAGTGCCAGTGTCTCGTAAACCTTTTTCTAATTTTGACAATTTTGATTATTCTTCGTATCTTGATTTGTTTTCAGTTATGTGCCTTTGTAACAGTGATAAATTTCACCTGTATAATAAAGATATTAAGAAAAAAATTGATATGTACTATTTTAGACTTAGAAGAGTGCCAGGGAGTAAACTCTGCTATTAAACCGTCGTTTCAACGCGGCTACCTTGTGTCTCAAATTGACGGTACCATTTTCGTGTGCACGATGGTTGGAGTCGAGTAAGTAGCTTCCACTTGTAAGACTTTGAGACGATGAAACATTCTAAGGCAGCTTATCAGTTTAGCCGCTTATCAGGAAAATTTTATCGTTTTTATACTATAAAGACAACCGGAACATCTACACATACATGTATACTAAATATCAGGTGGAGTCCTTTATTGTAAATTTATTTTTCTTTTTCAACTTTTTGTAATAAGTTTCTTTATATTGTAACTAGATTAAATGCAGATTTATGATAATATAAATACATGTTACATGGTGGCATGCTTTGTGTAAAGGCTTGTTTGTGGTTTGTTTCAGTGCCGGTGTATACTGCTCAAGGTCTGAAGATGCTGGCGCTGGATGGACGTGTGAGTTTCCAAGAACATGTATAATGTTTATCCTAACGTTTAAGTGTATCAGCGCTGAAGTAATGATATATAGTCATATATAATGGCAATCTAGGCTAACGCTCTCTTATTTCTTTTGGTAAACATTTAAACTTTTTATTATGTTATGGGTAAAGGCCAACTGAAGTGCTTGGAAAAGGCTCACCCACTGTCTAATAACGATTGCTTAATTTCTTTGTTTTAGGCATGGACAATATCGTTTCAAACATCCTTTTACAACTAAACTCCACTGGCTCCCTCTATGGACTAGACCGCGAGCTACGCACGTACCTGCGTAGTGACGACAGTGGTGACACCTGGGAGGCAGTATCTGACGAAGAGTATAATGCAGCTTCCTCCAGCAATGACGCCGTTCACGTCATCGGGGTACCTTACGCACTCGACTTGGCTGCTGATACTACACAAAACCTGTTCTCAACTTCGGGGACGACTTATGGTGGAGTGCTATATGGGGGTAGGTGGACGTCTATTTTTTGTTCTGTAAAATTCGATTTATTCATTTATTTATTAATTTGTTCATTCATGTAATGTTATTCTGAGTGTATTATATTTACCGTTCCTACTAAATTAAAGTATTTTGGTCTTTTTGTTTGACTTATTACTGAGAACAGAGATTCGATTTATTCTTCTGTGCTTGTCAATTCGAATAATTATAGAACAAAATTATTTCATCATGAGCGTGCAAAATAGATTTATAATAACTTGGTTTATTTTCTGACTCCCAATTATGAATCATCAGTCGTTAAAGAAAATATACAGTACGATTTTCCACATTTTCATGCATTAAACGTCTTATTCATTCATTTGTGTATTTAATTAATTATTTATTTGTTTATATTTCAGTATCGTGTGCCGGTGTGATGAAATGGGCCTCAGCCAGTGAGAGAGACGCTCAACAGAACGACGAAACCTCCCTGGCCAGCGCTGCCATTGCCCTCTGGAACGAACATTAAATCACTTTACCGTAAGGGGAGCATATCGTTTGTCATTTGAAATGAGTGCCAGAGGACGCTTATTATCCGTATTATACATTTGTATATATCTATGCTGAACAGCAACAAACAAAACAAAAAAAGAACTGTGATTTGGGATTTCGTTTCTCGGGCTGTGATTTAGAGACAAACTTATTCTGGAAAAGCTATTCTGAATAATTGTAAATTGATAGGATATTACTTAATACGAAAGATACATGCTGACCCAACGTGCCCAACAGAAGATAAACGCGCTTGAATTGGTGTACTTATTATTGCATTTTGCATTGGTTTAAACTCGACAGATGACAATTTGTCGTCAGCAAAACGTCTGTTCTATTTTATTTTTTTTTTTTTTATGAATGTTTGGCCATATTTACTTTTTATTGTTTTGTATTTATTATTGAACTAAAACCCTTAGTGTTTCAGTCCTTTAGTAGTATATCTGTAATATATATCCAAGTCTTTTTCATTTATGGTTGTTTTACGTCACGTTGTCAACTACACTATTGCACATGTGATCACAACCGACAACTATGCATTAGTACAAGTTTTGTTTTTGGTTTTCTATGCCGCCCGACTGAGTCCCATACTCCTATGAGTGCCTTATGGATTTCCCGTCCGTCCGCTGGAGCATTTCGTACCTTTCACTTTTACTAGTTATGTGTCCTGCTTAACGTAGACGTAGAGAGCTGTAGCCATGACTTTATCAAACGCTTTTTACTTGTGTTTCTTTTCTCTTCATCTGCTGATTCAATAGCACATTGCTTGACCATGGTTTAGAAACATAATATCATGTTTACCATTATATGGATGACTTGGAAACAAACTGGCGTGAGTATTCTGGAATCGTCCGATGGATTTAATTTGCGGGTCTTTTTGTGATAATCGATTTTAGTGCATCTAAATGCTAATTACTCGTCTTCATTCTCAAACAGTCTTTGTTGAATATAAAACTTTTAGCATATGTGGCGACAGTTTCGCTTTAACTGTGTGATAAGATTGGAAAGCTGATTTCTCCAAGTGCCAGCAGGCTTTTTAAAGCATTCATAAATAAATGTGACATGAACTTTTCTAAATGCCTTACTTAAAGTTATTTTTGTATACATTTCCCTTGTAAATTGCTGTCTTAGTACGTTAGTTTAACACCATATCAGTTTGCGTTTCGTTGAAATTGCCGAGGAGCTGCACCTAATTATTAACATATTTTGCACTTATATATGTATACATAGATACAGTGTGATTTTTTTCCTAAGTGTATTAAATTCGGAAATGGTTTACAACATCTCAAGCCGTTAAAGAGACACCTGTGAGTTAAATATTGCCAAAATTGTTCTCGGTGTATTTCAATATGACATAATAAATTTATTTTGACGTAGCAACCGACTGTATCTTCTTAATTATTTACCATTGAGGGGCATATACTATAATTCCATTACACTACACTATGAGTAATAGCGGGTGGTAAGACAGTAATATCATTATGTGAGATGATCTGTTTTCTGTGATAAGGGTGTCAAATGTGCCAAGCTATCGATTGATCTGAAAGCATTTTGTAAACAAGGACTTATAGCATCATAGGATAAAACAAGTCAAATTAACACAATTTACTATTGCGGTCAACCTGCCATTACATGAGTTTGCATTTTCTATTTCGTTTCTACGCGAGTTTTGTTGTGCTGTCAACAATGCCGGCGTGGCAGGAATGTTAGGCCTAGGAATGGAAGTCGGGGTCCCTTATGATTTGTACAGGCTAGGAATATTGGGGTCAGTATATGGGACGAGTGTCACCTTTGCAAAATAATGAGGGAACAACTATGGTTCCTAGCTGGCTACCATTCCTGTTACCCCGGCTAACTGTTCAGCATTGATATGACGTCAGCATTGCTGCAGGTGTGATTCTTAACTACAGCAATACATAAGTACACGCACAGCAGGCGACCCAGACAGGTTGGCCATTTCACAGATTGGATTAAGTTAATTGGGTAAACAGAGGCGTGTGTGTAGAAAAGATTTTGTTACACAAAAATGAGCGACCAAAAGTATTTTGATCCATCTTTTCTGATGCAGCATGTAGGTAAACTTTATATCTAATCCTTGTAATTGTTCTATATTGTAGTTAAATTTGTTTTATATGTTTGCTAGCAATATCAGAAAAAAAGTATGGCCTTGCATTGATTTATTTGTGAATCAAAGTTCAAAATTTCAAAAAATAATGATTTGCAAAAATAAAACAGCAATATCAAGTAATAATTCACAAAACACCCTTGTCTCGAGGACTTGACTTCTAATCTTAGTTCCAAGAAAGAATACATATAGCCTAAACTACAAAGAACCTGTAAAGCATATTGTTCATTAACAACTACATTATCAGACACGACCATGTAGTCACTGTCCCTGAGGGACAGGACAAGAACTACTAAGATTACAGCCACTCAAGAGGGACATTGATTTAACGAGAAGACAAACACATTGACTTTCTGTGACTGCATGGTGCCGCAAGGAGTTATTTGTGTTTGTCTAGTATCGGTGGATCCCCGGGTGGGTCATTATATGGTTGCTGTACCCCTTCACTTCATATAATATAACGCAGTTTATTCCGTCTCACTGAAGGGCGGCAATACACCAGATGGCCACGCCAGAATAGTTCAGGTATACATAGGCGTAATGCGTGTTATTCTGCATTATGTACAAATTGACCGCCTCTCTCAGTGATCCTACCTTCGACAGGTTTATTTTCAGTAAGCTCACTCATACACAAAATTTAACAATCTAGGTTGTTCAAATAGCATTGAATACTCCCAGTGTGACAGAAACATGGTTTGTGTCATATTAATTGATTATATGTCTCAGCTGGGTTAATATCAATACATTCATGACAGTGGAGGCAGTGGTGCCAGAACAAACTTTACGTCAAAGATCATGCTCGTGTTGTTATATGTTTTAGTACAAACTCAGTAAATTGGAGAGTAAGTAACTAGCTTTGAGGATCTTTTGATAACGTATTTACAACGCCTTATCTGTTTTTTTTTTCACATTTGTGCTTACAATAATCGTGCTTAAAAATAGCTCATTTAAAATGGAATCCAGTATCATTGACCACAAATTTTTTCGCAATTGATCTGAAACAAGCACTCCAATTAGCCCAATTTCAAGTAAGAACTGGGTGTCAGGGAACGTACGGTGGCTTGTTGTGGAAAATGGATGGTTGTGTAATTTTAGGTTTGAAAGGCAATAACTGAGTTGCATAATACCAAACGAGGTGGAGGTCACGGGGACCTTTGTTCTATTTTAATCGGATGTTGTACAAATTTCGGCTGCTAACTACTAGTATTTGAATAACATACAGGGTATACGAGATAAGGTCTGAATTTCTCTCAATGAACAGCAATGGGTTTTTTCTTTTCCATGCGAAACAGAAGGTATAAAACGAAATATTTTCTTGCACCTTACAGTTTTCGCAGAGGAAAATCTGAGCAAAGAGTGTCCCTCCTGGGATTTTCCTTGCAAAAGAATACTTGTCTGCCTTCACCTCTAGCACGGTCTACCTCACACGGTAAAAGCTTTTAAATATGTATCCCACTTGGATCAATAATGCTTTTAACTACACAGATCTCCGAGAAACGATATCATTTGTCGCCGAACAAAAGGTGTATCGATCAAGTTATTAGCGCCACGGAGGTTTTGATGTGTGTGAATACAAGAGACAAACGACTGTAAAGCATCTCTGTTGATACCCCGCTGACGTCACCACGCCACATATCTTGTTGACAGACAGCATCGACTCGTCTCTCTGGGAAAAGAGGCAGAAAGTCAGAAGAAGTAGACCCAACGACAATCGGAGTCAAAGGCGGGTGAATCAGATGCCATTATCTGTACAAGGGTATTGAGGACGTACAAATTTACGTACCATTCTAGGTTAGTGTCTTCGCTGTGTTGAACTTCATCTAACAAGGTCTAAGGCAGACGAGGACCGAAGCTAAAAGGGACGTTAAGGAAAAGAAAGATTAACTATTTACCAAGGGATATTCCAAACTACAGTACGTTGTATCGCTTGTCGTAGATTAGACATACTTCACGCTGGACTGACGACATCTGGAGGTAAGTGTATTTGATAACTCCTTGGGCGTCAGGATAGAAAGGACTGTGATAGATATCTAGTTGTTGGTTTAGATGGCTTATTTCATCCCCACATACAGCGTGGTCCATAAAAAACCTTTTGCACTTCCCATCTCAATTTTGATATAATAAAGATATTTCCAACTTTCCTTCACCAAATTATTCCATAAGAATGGCCATTATATCCTTGCCAATTCTGCAGAAATTGGAAACCTTGAAGGTAGTCTTTCAATCATCATCATCTCACCTCGCACGGACTTTCTTTGGCCACCCTTCTCACCAGGTCTCAATCCCCCAGATTTCTTCCTTCTTAGGGAAAGAATCTATGCTTAAATCCACAAACTCTAGACACTTTGATGACCAACGTAAAAAGAGAAGTAAGGAACAGACCCAACTGACATGACTGCAAGAGTCATTGCCAATTTCAGTGTTCGTGTGGCTGTCGTCATTCAGCACAGAAGAGCGGGGATAGATCACATTAACAATTATTGAAATTTGATTACCTTAAAGGTTTCCAATTTCTGCAGAATTTGCAAGGATAAAATGGCCATTCTTATGGAATAATTTGGTGAAAGAAAGTTGGAAATATCTTTATTACATGTATATCCACAAAATTTATATTAAAATTAAAATAGGTCATTTTATGGACCATAATCTCTGTTGGCAAATATTAAACGGGCAAAGCAACCATCGTGATTATACACAGGTTCTACAATTCATGAAATATATATATATATATATATATATATATATATATATATATATATATATGCTTATATTTAGCCAAACAGTCTTATACATATACATACGTCCTGAATAGAGAATTGGAATAGAGAATTCTATTGCGAGAATGTCTGTTGCGTGAAACCGCTCTCGGCACTCAGTCGTGTACCGGGGTATGTGCGGTCACAGACAACGTGCGCTTCCGTTTGTATCGCACCGCACGCGCGGTGTCTACTTGTGCGTAGCGTTTGGTAAATCTTCCTCTCTCGATAACTAGATAATGACCACAGTAACAGATAACTAGCACCCAGGTCTAGCAATTGCAGAATTTGAGGTGCTGGGTTGCTTCCATTAGGCACTCCTGTTGTAAAACAGGTGTGGTTATTTAACACAGTGTTGGCAGCTATGGCAGTTATGCCAATATTGTTCCAGGACCATAAAACATTGACATGGAGATTTGATGGTGCTGATTGCTACATTCGGTATACATGTATCTGTGATGGGATCGATGAATATTGATTTGAACTAATTATATCGCCCCTAGATCGGTTTCTTAGCCCATAACTAACAGGCTTCGGTGCCAAATGAGCGGTCGGGTTTTTGATGTTGGCACCAATTGTAGGACAGCTTTGGACTAGGTTGCTGGAGACAGGCATATAACTTATGGATAAACGTCATTCAATTTATCGATTTGACAGAGATGTTTAGTCAAATGTTTGTAACACTGTAAGCGACGGATATTTACTGTATCTTATTATAGACGTTGGCTTTTAACACAGTAGATTCAATTAAGAGTGCCCAAAGGAGATGGAAACTTATAAAATAACTGCTGTTGCGAAGGAATTGGGAATTGTCCAATGTAATTAAACAAAATTGGAACAAAATAATCAGAATTTTGATTGCGCAAAGTATTCATTTCTTGTACAAAAAAGTTGCTTTTTGCTTTGATTGGTGCTTTAATGTGGAACGCGTTTATTACAATACTCCGGCTAAAAACACCGAGCAAAAAGGAGACGATATAGAATACCACATACGGAAAACGTTAGGGTTGACACATATTTCAAGTTTGTGATAAGTATGATTTGACTTTGAAAATTAAGTATTACAAAATCAGAAATAATCCTGCTGACCAGGACAAACGGAGAACAAAGACATGAAATTGAATAACGTTTGTAAATAGGATATACGGTTAGTCAAATGTAAGCAATCGCAAATAAAAGAACATCCACTGAGCCGATATGGCTCTTTATCCGTCTTTCTCTCCATTCATTTGTCCTTTCAAAAGTATAAAAAAGACGGAGAAATCCAACTGTGTAAAATAATGTAGGGGGGGGAGGCTTTGCGCACATTCTATTTAAACACATTTTTCAATGAGGGTGAATCGGTAAAATTAAAACATTTTTCACAAAGTGTACAAATGTTGTTTGATTATTATTATTATTTAAAATCAGAAAGTTTTATGTTTTATGTTTAGTCTTCATAATACAGTGCCATAGCGATTTGTGATGCAAGGATTATATCAATTAAATTAAATTAAATTGACAAATGACGTTTTGTGCATTAGCACTAGAAATTTAAAACTGTATATGATCCGACTGTTGATTCGAGAATGAATTAATTATGTGAAATCTCTTAATCAGCCAGCAATTGTAATCGATTTGCTGCAACAGGACGCAATCAGGACGTAGCAATATGTAGTTTATAAAAAGGGGGCTATTTGCCTTAAGGATTGCTGCAAATTATTCATGTAAAATATAATTTCCTTCCAATTAAGACGGGATCCAATACGAAGCGCTCACATACGAATACCGGTCTAATTAAGTCCACAATGCGCAATTTCGTATTCATTTTCCATGGATTCAGTTATTAGAGAATCTCAAATTGTTACACTTAAACTTGAAGTCATTAAAGAGCTTATTCTGTGAAAAGAATTGATGTCCACTGCTCAATTTGTGTCATTGATTAAATAAAAAAATTAACAAACAGTGTCCTCTTCAATCTCAAGTAAATTGTTTGACAAATGCAAACAACAAATAATAATAATGAGTCTACAGTCTTAAATAATGTAGTTCCCAACTTTGGATAGCTGTTGAAGTATAACCTTTAAGTGCGCGCATGAACGCACAGGATAGGTAAGCATATTTGGAAGATCATTTGAGTAAAATTCAATATATTGTATCAGCTACCGGGAGTTCCATTTCCTCAAAACAGCGCATCAGTCTTGGTTTGGTGAAACAATTTACTCGGACAATGCAGTCCTATTAATATCACAGGACTTTGACACTGCAGCTGACGCCATTGATCATTCTGACTAGATGGATGGTACCTTCAGCTGATAAACTAACGTATACGACAGGTCTGTGATAACTCACGCATAAATATTATAGGAAAGGCTAGGTGAGTTGAGGTGAAATATGTATAGATATATGGTATGTATTTTCTGTTTGGGTGTCAAACCAATTATGGTTCACTTTTGTCCGCCGATAATTGAAGCATGAGTATTTTAACAGTTAAAATTAGTGTAAGTGTTGGTCCATTTAATTGTGTGGGTATGGAAAAGTATATCTGAAGTCTTCTTGTTGATGTTTAGTTTTTTTTTTTTTTTATCCCACTAACAACTATATTTTTAGAGAAAGTTATTTCTACAAAAATATTCAGAAAACCGTTTCACAATGAGATCAATTGTGTTATCGCTTTCGTTAAAAAAAGATTCATGTACTTGTATTTATGACTGTCATAACAAATGTGTCATGCGAAAATTTTAATGCTGCAATGGCGATTAAGTTAATTTGAATATCTAAAACCTCGATAATATTACCCTTGAAAATACAGTAGTAAATTCAGGTGAAAATAAAATTGATATTGTTTGAGATTTAATCTCCTTGCAGACAGACAGACACACTGTGGAAAAACTGTCAAATTTATTGGTTTTAAAATTACTCCTGTCACTTCAGAGCGTTAACTATACATCCTTAAAATAGCAAAAAAAGAAAATACTTTTTTGTTCATAATAATTATTACTGTACGGGCGATGGAATATAAGTAATGCTTTCGACGATTACGGATAATAGCCACATACTTAATCCATTCTTGTTGCTTGTGTATTCTGTGAATTCATTGTTTCAAGTGACCACTTGTTTGAGAATCAACTACTGGGAATATAAAACGGCTTATACTACTATATCGTTTCTGTCAGGCACTTCCCAATACTTAAGTAGATGCGCTCTTTTGAACAACGGTTAAATATAGATATGCTGCGATCGAAGTTATTTCCTCGTCAAAGAACAGGAAATAAGTCAAGCCTTTATTTTGTAGTTTACCACGTGTCGGTTGAAGTTGCTACCTTTACAAAGATTCAGAATCAAAATATTTATCACGGGTCACCAATTGAATGACTGGGTTCGTATGCAAACTTGATGTTATTTTGCATATTCCACTGTCCCGTGGTATCTGACCTGTTATCTAAACACGCGCACAAGTCAAATTAACTGTTTTCATTGTTCGTCTGTTGTGTCTTTCTATAGATTGAAAAAAAATGGCTGCTGTGTTTGCAGTCCCGAAATCGTTTAAGTATACGTCAGTGTACCTAAACCCTTTTATCAAGTCGCACAATACCAATTATGAAAGACTGCGTCAGTAATATATCAGATCGATGACAAGCATCTGATAAAGTCAAACTTTGTGTTTCGAAATCGCTCAAGGACAGGTAATAAACTAAACAGCCTTTTTTGTAGTACACTGCGTCTTCGTTGCTACCTTTGCAGAGAATCAGAATGTGAATATTTATCAAGGACCACTTATTAAATAATTGTATTTATATTCACGCGTCATGTAAATTTCCTTATTTTACTGTCACTTAATAATATCTGACTTTTATCTAAACAGACGCACGGATCAAATCAACCTTTTCGTCTTTTGCGTGATTTTGTAAAAATAGAAAATGGCTGGTTTCATCGTAGTATCGTTAGAATACACGGCAGTGTACCTAAACACCTTAATTATGGTTAAATAATGATTCAGAGTCAACAAAATATCATATTCAAGATGTTGGTCCAATTAAGTCAAACTTTATGCATTTATTTATCCAGGCAAGTGGTTTATTTTCTCTCGGCTATCAGTCAATTGTAGCCATTAATTTAACAAGTGCACACGTGCCCTTTTGCGCAGCAGTCTTGTTTCAAACGCTATCTAAATGTCAGTGACGTGGCAATGAAACAAAATTCAATTTAATTCCTTTTTTTTTTAAATCTTAACTGAAGACGATAAACGCTATGGCGTTGTCGTTTCAGAATCATACTGGAGACCACTCCTCAATACCTTTTATTTTGTTTTTCAGGAGGTCTGGTGACCAAAAATGACTCAGTGGGCGACCTACCGCCTTGTTCTAACAATATGCACAGTTATTCTGAGTTGCCGTAGCAACGAAGTGCGGGTTTGTAAGCATCCGCCGACGTGTGAGGAACCAAACTGCTACCAAAAGTGAGTTATTGTCATCAACACAGTTTCCATTCGATTAAGTTACCTTCTGCATGTTTATATTTGTAAAAGCTACCATTTTAGGTATCAACAGAGAACAGAGATGAGAAAGCATTTGTTCTGATCAGCGTAATATTTGCCTTTGAACGATTGATCAAAGAGAACAACCTCCAGGGGATTTTGTTTGACTTTCATTTTGCTGATTAAAAATTTGTCGATGCGATGGTGCTTTTTTATCAGGATGTTTGGTCCCGGTTAGATAATGTATCATTTATTTTTCTCAGAATTTATGTTACGTGAACAACAAAAGCCCGCTTAACTCCCTACTGTCAAAGTGAATGCGTTTATCTGCCCTTTGAGAATAGGTAATCGTGACGAGAGCTGGTTCATTTCAGTTAAACCACGAGTGTTAATCAGTCACCTGGTCGCTTTTGAAGCTGGAAGAGTTTCCTTATGCGTTTATAGCATTTATTTACATCATTTAAATACTTTTTCATAATTTAAATATTAAGATTTCTTTAGCCACATTTGGTTATTCTATAGAGACTACATATTTACGAAAGTAACGCATAAGTGTGTTCGAACATATCGAATTTTACGGGAAAATGCTTCCTATCTTTAATCAATTGCACGTGAAATAAATTGCCGTTCCTTCTGAAGACGCCTTTCCCAAATTCATATCCCGTATTTTTTTTGCAAGTGTTGTTTTTCACACAGTACATATTTGTTCAGGGGATAATTAATCACTCTGCAATAATGGCATCAATATTGATACTAAGCAAAAGCAAACAAAAGATGTGTTATTGAAAATGCAAGCGGTTGCCACTTGAAGTCATGCTTGAATTAGACGTCAAGAGAGCGAGACGTTTATATGACACTAGGCATTTCCCTAATGCATTTTTTCGTTAATTTTCTATAATAAATAGACAAGGACTCCGAAAAAAGTTTTGTTACGGGTGTTTAAATATTAACGTGTTTTAATGCATTTAAGTGCATTTGAAGATAATTAAGATTTTAGTTAGTATACCACCATTTTGTGATTTTAATACATATTTTGATATTTTGTGAAAATTATGATCATATTTAAGATCGGCTTGATAACATCAAATGTTGATATGTGTAGTGTGATTTATTTAATTTTTTGTGAAATGAATAGAAAATTTCAATGTATCTTAACGTAAACGGTATGCAATGGGCGACCTCCCGTCTTGTCTGAACTGTATGTGCAGTTATCCTGAGTTGCCATAGCAACTGAGCGAAGGTTTGTAAACATCTGAGGAGCCAAACTTCTGGTTGAACCGAACATAGGATGTCCAAACGGAATATATTTACAAAGTGTGTTGGGTCATTGAGTTGATTGATGTCATTATGAAGTCCACATTTATCGATTCGAATTTCGTTATACGTGTGTGTGTGTGTGTGTGTGTGTGTGGTGGTGGTATAGTTTACACATGGAGGCATGGAGACAGACACAGATACATATAAATACCTGTATAATTTTCTTAACCAAAGGGTGTGGTTTTATAAATACCATGTATTCAGACGTCATTAAACTTACATGCAATTGAAAATAACCACGTTTGTGTCCATACAAATGCGTGTTCAGTTACAAAGTAATTTCAACTTTTTCACAAATGTAAGCTGCTGGCGATTAGAAAATTTGTAGTCAATGAAAGAAATATAAAATAAATAAAATGTCGACTGTGCCATCTCTGAGTACTGTTACTGACCACTGATATTGGTTGTGTTTCAGAGAAGTGGAATGTGTATCCGGCCAGTGCTCGGACAAGGGCCAGTGTGTCTGTGAACCCTGCTGGACAGGACCTTCGTGCGACATTTACGGTATGTAATTGATTTAAGCACCCGCTCTGGCATGTTATATATAAACTCGTTTTGTATCAAATTTGCACCATTGACTCACGTGCACGGGAAATTGTATTCCTACACACGAATGTGACTCTCCATTATTTTCCCTAACCAATGTTTTGGATGCAATCTATCCGAATGTGGCTTTTTTTTAACATAAAATACATAATTGTAAACCAAAACAAGTTTTTTTTTCAAATGGTAAACGAATTTAGTAATAGGAGCTATGGCATGTGGTAAAAAACCACCCGGGGTCGGTCCCACGACCTCCCGCACCGGCGACGAGCGAGATTTATCACTTTACTATAAAATCACATCACGCTGAAGGGTCTCACGCTTAAAAAAGATATATTGGTTTACTTACCCAGGTGAATACAAAATCGATATGACAGTAAGTCATATTTCAACCCACTTCACATACGAGACGATTGCTAGTAATTTTATCTCTGGGGCATAAATGTCATGCTCCCTCAGATGGCTGCAACAGCCCCAAGTAATTTGAAGTTAATACACTGTACGTGGACAGACATAGGTTACCTTCAATGCAAACATTCAGTGAACACATTTAAGAGGAAAATATTTTGTTCAAAAATTATCCAAAATAGTCTCTCGAATGTAAGCTACCATTGAACTGTGTTCAATGCAATTTATCACCTCTACCCCAATAAAAAAATTGACACAGTATACTATCCTTGGCAAAATTAAACGTTTGCTGCATATTGTCGCAAATTATTCAGTATAAAAGTTGGTTTTGTTGCAAATATGTTGCAAATTTTCAAGAACATCCTGATTTCCGACAGGTTGATTAGAAAGTCTTCATACCTCATAGTCATGAAAAAATACCTTGCTGTAAATTTGCAAGAAGATATCCATGCCAGAGTTTTTGCTAAGGGTGGTCCACTTCTTGCCTGAAATAAACAGCCTTTTCCCTAAGGTGATCCCAAACCTGTGTGAATGCAATAAGTGTTCAATTAACAAGGTCCATAAATAGATATTTGTTGAGCAAATGACGTCAGAAATCTAGTTTTTTATAATCTTACGTACTTTCCAGTCAATTTTTGTTGTATTGGGATTATTATGTTACCATTAAAGCGCTCGTGAAGGCAACCGTGACATTTGCAATCCCAAACGATGTTCGTTATGTGCTGTATCTGTTTCACTGCTAATGGATTGAGATGCCATAAATATTGACATGCGATACGAGATGCAAAATTTACAACAAAACAGTGTTACATATATGATGAGTAGATATCGATCAGGCGCATCTTCTGAGGGTGGTTTTTTAGTTCAAGGCAAAAAAGGTAACTATCTAAATAAAAAAAAAAAATGAAACAATTTATGAAAATAAAATACCTAGTGGATCTTTTTTGTTAAAACTGTGCATTTTGGAATAGCCATGGACTTTTCAGCGCATATGCCGTCTGTCGAGAAGGACGGATTTAGCAAATGCTATAATCAGAATAAAGAGACAGCCAAGTAAATTTGTATCAGTACGATTTCAAGTTCCTATTGGCCGTTTTACGAGTCCTTTAGATGAATCGGTCAGTTAAAATTTTAACATTTGAAAAACTGCAGAGAAGTGCGTATCGTCATTCAGTTTGTGCCAATTTGCGATACATGTATAAAGAAGTAACCGACTTCATGACGCGAACAAGGTCAAACCCGACATTTCTGTACACTTCTGAAATGAAATACAAGAGTGTAGATACCCTGAAAGTAGTGTGTTACAATGTATTATAGTGTATAAATAGTTAAAGCAATAATAACTCTTCGTTTCGGCCAAAAAATGAATTTTCCTGGAGTAAACAACAATTTTCCCATACTTACCAATGGTTAATGAATCCATTTTTACATTCAAAGTTAGTCCCTGGTTTTTTTCTAAAAAGTTTGGTTTTTTGTTAAAATCTCTTAAGAGATTTTAACAACGTATAGACATCAATGGAGGTCGCGTGGTCTAAAGACAAGTTCAAATATCAGAATAAAAGCTATAACTGCTGTTTTTGTGGTAAAACAGAATATATTATATTTCTATTAGTTATTCACAAGGTTTTTATTGTGAAATATAGGTCTCATACAAAGAGTTATTATGCCTTTAAATGAACCATATGGTAATATTATTATGCATTTCAGCACCAAAACTGCAAAAGGATCTACATGTCGTGTCATAAATCCAATTCTGGAATAGCCTGGAACCCTGAGCTAGCAAACAAACCAGGCACGTTAAATTTTCTTTAATTTTCTGAATTAAAATAAAATTCTAACAAAATAGGATATTTTATTTACAGAGAACAAACATCAGCCACAATTCTGGAGAGACGTCGACACATTTGAAATAGCAGGCAATGTAGCTGGAGGAACACCCGTATTCCAAGTTACCGCCTATGACCTTGACACTTTGGAGACCTGCCCTACCGGTTGGAAAAACCAAGGTTTGAACTGCACGTGTGCAGAGGTTTTGTACTCCATCGATGAGTCAAATGACCATGGTCTTTTCTCCATTGATCCCCACACCGGTGAGTTGAGCATCAAAGTTGGGACACCAATGTTGGATGATACCACGTACAAGTTGGTCGTTGGGGCCAGAAACCCGGTCCCGAATGACGAAAGACAGACGTATGCCATCAGTGAGAGAGATCTCGCGGGTTCTCGTATCACCCTCGAGATAACTGTCGCCGATGTCACAGACGCTGAGCCCCGTGTATATGACGAACATGTCGACAGCGAATGGCATGATAAAGGGTATTCAAAAATTGATGACATGATGGACAGTTACTATGATGAAGAGGTCCATTCAAGACATAAAAGGGTAAAGAAATATATTTTTTACTCTGCAGGGTTACACTTAAGTGAATTCAAATCCGTGGTAATTATGTTTATTAAAACTTTCCAACCAGTGAAGTACTAGAAAAAAATTAATGGTTAACTTTTTGCAAATGCAAAAGCACACCAAAAAGTGTGTCTATACTTATATTTTTATTCATTTATTTTTTCAAAAACGCAGTCAAACCAATCAAATAGTATCTACTATACTTTAAAAGCTTGGCCGGAAGGAGAAAAATTTCGTCAACAAAAAGGCTAACTTTGCATTATCAGTGATAATTCGAAATTTAATGCCTTTGCAACAAATCGAAAATTGCAGAACAAAATTCTCATCCAATCGACTGAAAATAGAATAGACTGGAGGACAATGATCAAAGCCTGCAACAGGCCTGACAATTGATGATGAATTTGCAATTTAAAAAGAACGCCACCATTCCATTTTATTCACTGTTGACCAAATTTTACTTATATTCTCAGGAGGTGACAGTGGACAGCCCGATCCCAGATAACCTCACGTTCTACTTGGAGAGACACCCAAACATCACCCAGATCTATGATGGGACCGAGCTGTCGTTCCGGGTGACCATCCACTTCCCTTCAGGTATATATGATATCACAATTATCCCAATACAGTCAAAATAAAGATTCGTGGTTGATACCTGAACACGAATTCGTTTATAGCATTTAAGGTGTAATACTAAAGAACTCGCCCATATTGTAGTACATTTTCGAAACCATTCCATGATATATTTTCAAAAATATAATTCAAATTTAAATATAATCCGAAATCAAATACATGCACTGTGGTATTCTTCAGACTGAGAAAGAGAAAATAAGGTTGAGAGGACTTAAATCTAGCATTTTTACTTCCCTTTTTAAATGAATATTTTAGTAGAAAACTATTCAAACAACCAGTCACATTTGAAAAAATTCTAACAGGTTCTTCGGATGTCGTGGTGGAACTCTTCTCATCGGATAACGACACGACCCAAGCTATGTTGTGCAACCCGCGGGTGGTCCACGTGGGGGATAACCTCAACATGGGGAATGTGACCCCAGTTTTGGAGTCTGTATACGGCAACGGCATTGTGAGTACAAAACTTTTATTTGCTTAATAGTAAGACTGCTGCCAAAGGCCTTCTGTGACATGTCAGTGCAGTGATGTGAACACTGTATTTGACTTAAAAACGCGTTATGTGTGAGCAACGGTTGCTCTACTCCTAATATTTGCAATCAACCTTTACTACTACAGTGTACATGTACTACTACTGCTGCTGCTAGTAAAAAGAAGAAAGATTGTATGAGGATTTATTATTAGTAGTAGTAGCAGCAGTAGTAGTAATACTAGTAGTAGTAGTAGTAGTAGTAGTAACTGTAGTACATGTAGTAGTGGGAGTAGTTGAAGCAGTAGGCTAGCATAATTTAGAGAAACTAGATTTTTCTTTCCTTCAGCACGTTCTTATTCATATGTTAATAAATTTACATGTTTTCAATACCAGTACGACAGAGCCATCCTTAACCTTGGTACAGTGGAAAACAGCGGAACCGACTCGTCCACGCCCAACGCCAGCATGGTCTTCATCGACTACAAGGTGTACAAGATCACGTCTAATCTAACAGTCTCCGGGGAGGAGTACTGGTTGAGTGCGGGGGCCTCCTTCAACAATGACAGCGACATTTGGGTGGCACAGGTGTCCTACATCACAGAGACTGATGTTTTTGTAAGTAGTTTTTTTTTCCTTTTTCATCTTGTCATTTTTGTCTACATTGTGCGCTGTAGCGTTACTCATAATGTGTTTGAACACCAGCATGGGCAAAAGGTCATATTTAGAGTACGTGTTTAGGGGCATATTTAGAAGCAAAGAAGAATGCACACTCGGGAATATACATGCGTTGGAGAGGACAGAATTTATAACAGATTTTTAAACAAAATGGATACAGATCAAAATATTCAAATTCTATAACAGCCAGTTACACGTAATAGAAGCACCATAGTTTTTCGGTTTAAAGAAAACGTATCTCCATCCTCCTTTAGATTCATGCAGGTTACGATTAACGTGACGTATATGGGTCAGAATCTAGGACGAGGCTTACCTATACAAATAAATGGAAACCGGACCATGTGGCACAGGACACTCTCTTCCAAATGGCGCTGGCATGGTTATGTGCGTTTGCCAGACCAATTATAAATTGATTTTCGGTACTTTTGATAATAAATGTATATTTAGTGTCGTCTTTGTTATCAAAGTGACCAGAGAGAGAAAGAGAGTATGACATCAAATCATATTAGAGAATCATAGAGAGAGAGAGACTATAAAATGAAATGAGTGCGCATTTTACCAATATTCAGTGCATCGCTTACAATGCTCTAATACCGGCTTAATCAATTTCATTAGGATTATTAAGGGATTGTAGAAAAAGATGGTCAGGTAAAATGAAACTGACATTTCCTTATTCAATGTTTTATATCTTTTTTACTCTTATTGTCACCCTCTCTCTCTCTCTCTCTCTCTCTCTCTCCAGACAGATATCCTTCTGTATTCTTTCCCCCTACTCAGTGTGAAGTTGAAAACATCCTATTATATGACACACATGAATTTTGGGAAACTAGACAGCCTTTTTTATATACACTAGACAGTCTTTTTAAACACACGGGTTTTAGGAATTTAGGAAGACAAAAATCAAAAACCAGTGCAGCCATGTTGTGCTCCGAGTCTCAGCTATCTGAGCATATGTTAGTCCGTCATCCATCAAGTCTGTTATCGACATTTTCTCATTTATTATGAATCTTTTCCAAACAGCGCGCTGAAACTCGACCGGGCGTTATATCCGTTGCCAGGCGTCCGCGTCTTTGTACCGGGTATCCAGGAAAAGAGCGCGATTTCCTCCACGCACTGACAGCATCGATAACACATCTAAATTTTGGGCTGCATCATTGTTTTTATGAACTGGAGTGGTTATTACTAATCAATACGCTTCTGTTGACAGCCTGGTTCTCGGTAATTTCCTTCTGTCTCGCTCGCGGTGAGATGTTTTGCTAATAAACACATTTTATTTCTAAATTTAATGATTTGCTATTAGTCGTTTCCTCTGGTGTTGTAAGAATAAATCATGGAGTCTAAGTTCAAGGGCTGCGAGGCTTTGTTTAAGTTTTTATCCATGTTTGTTCTCAGTATACAACTGAAGTGGTTTGTGTAAAAGAACAATAGAATATTAGGCCAAAGAACTAGGCGCATACAAAAGTTGTTTTATAACAAATAGAAGTCACGTTCAAAAGAACTTCCTTTCTAAAATGTTTAAGTCGTTTTCATTATTCATTTTCGGGATTGGATAGAAGCAAATGGGTATTTCAACTCCATCATTTTTAATTTTCATTTATAGCTATACAGGGGTAACAGGACCTGGGAGTTACTTCAGCGGCGATTTTATATCATCATCATAATCATCATCATCATAATAATAATAATAATATTAACAACAGAGTTTGTCCAAGAAAGAGTAGTCTTAAACAAACGGTAGTGTTGGTTCTGGCTTTTCATTTTGTACCGCGTGGCTATAATGGTCCTTCACTGTCTCGTCTGTCGTACCAAGTAGCTGTCCAGTTCTTTTCTTCCCTGAAGCAACTAGCATTTTCAACTTAACTATATTTTAGCGGGCACTGTCTTTTATGCATTTTGCTACAATTTGTATTTTTTTTTCTTTTTCCAGAACACCAGCACCACAGCAAATCTCACCCTCAACGGGCCACCCCAGGTGGAGATCGGATCAGCCGCCAAGTTTACCCTCGATATGTACATCCCTTACCCCACAGCCACAATAGCTGTAGACGCCTTTACCCCCTATAACACATCGGACGTCATGTCCATGTGCAGCGTGACGCTGAAAAACACTGGTCTCAACTATGCATGTCTGAACAATGACGCCATCACCAGCACCATCTATCCGTATGCAGGCGGAAACGGCAATAATAGAGGGCGCCTGAATCTAGGACAGATGGTTAATACAGGTAATAGGGCCAGTGGCTGATTTGTGGGTGGGTGGGGTGGGGGGGTCAGGGGGGTCCTGACCCCCCCCCCCTTCGATTTCTGAAAAAAAATCACACCAATGGATCTCTCTTGAAAAATATAATTTTTACTAGCTGAATCATAGTTCTTAACCGTACTGAATTGCACAGTTTGCCCTCTAAAATACCAAATGAAGGGCCCCGAAGCCCACGCCAAGGGGGGGGTGGGGTCCGCGGATGTGAAGCCTCTTCAAATAATCCTGGATCCGTCCCTGAGGGTCATTACTGTGAGACAACAGATACCAAATATTACAAACAAATTTATTTTTTAATATAGTTGTTGAAAAGGTGACAAATACCAGTGAATATTGCAAGGTAAGGTAATTGTAAATAAAGTAGAACATAAATTTGATATATGCATAATTACGATTTTATGGGACTGGTTTGGCTATAAGTATCCGTTCGTTTATTTATTCTTGCCCGATGTGCATTTCAACTTTTTAAAGAAATATCACACACGTAAGTACATTAATCCATAACGAAATGACTTCTTATTTTTCTTCTTCTTTGTCACATAATCCCGTAATATAGAATCGTGGAGGCGCGAAATAACTAAAAAATTTTTAAACACCTACTACAACATATTACTATGAAGAACATAATGCACAATAATATATCTTGTAATATGTTATCTTTTCATATGGGTGTTGTTATTAATATTATTAATTATTATGAATTATCGATTATTATTATTATTATTACAGCTGCTCGAGACGAAACCAACTACGTTCACGATGAAAGCAGGTTGAGCGTGGAATTTGTTCTGTTCGTCAACGACGACCAGTCTTTTCTAGACCAGGAGTACTGGGTAGGGGCCGCCGTCGAGATCGGTGAGGACGAGATCTGGGCTGGTCAACTGGCCGTCACCGCCGTGAACTATACAGAGAAAGCCATTAATACGGTGAGTAGAATGCTATTTCCCATTAAAATCCTAAGTCTACTGGTAAATTAACACACATCTTTTTTTCGCTTAATCGTTTTTTTTTTTTTTTTTTTTTTCAAAAATTACATGAAATTGCATTTCTTTTACACAGATAAAAAAGAAAAGTGAGCTGAATACTGATCTGGCCCTCTCAAAAAATAATTTTAAAATAATATAATCACCCTCCTTTCATTCTTGTTACATTGTCACAGCTACAGGGACTCCTTTAAAGCAGTTTCGTTTTTTCTTTCACATTTCACGGCACTATTGTTTTCAGACTGAAAACTTATCGTTTTCTCTCACCGCCACCAACGAATCCCTGGCCATCGGCGAGTCCGTCCTCCTTGACCTTGACATCACCGTGCCAGAAAACACAGAGACGGCGTACAAACTGACTGTCCTCACTCCATTCAACGACACAGCTAGGGCAAAGATTTGCCACATTTACGTGGAGTCGACAGGACGGAACATCCCGTGTGTAAATCCGGGAATTCCAGTGTTCACTTCATTGGACAACAGCTCCGTGAGCACCAAGGCAACCTTGAACCTCGGGTCCATCACGAACGCGGGAGTGATCAGCAGCGCTTCTAACAATAGCGAAAACATGGTCAAAGTGAAAATCGCCGTGCAAATTCTGGATCACGAGTTGAACTACAACGGGGGCGACCTACAAGTTACGGTCGGAGTGGAGGTGGGACCAGACAAAATTTGGGTCGCTGAGAGACTGTTCACGGCCGGGAATGACACTAAAGAAATATCGGTAAATCTATTTATTCAATAGATTTAGAATTGCTCTAGACCGCAAAACATTGCAGAATATGTTGGAGTTTGATATGTCAGAAGTTTCTACTCTGCGCTATATAAGTCTATCCGTACATACTAGTGCATTGTACAGTATGTATGTTAAAAACTGCCCTTGGGCATTAATTCTTATTTGGCATTGATTTTATGTCATTTGTCAAGGGGATTACACTGTGTCTCTCTTCACGTCGTGGTTTACGACCGAATTTATTCTTATTCATTATTGATATTCTTGGTTCATGTACATCAAATATATATATTGCAACATAACAAAACCATTAAAAGAAAAGTGATAAATAAGCAGAATCCACGATAATTTCATGAATTTTTAACGAAACAAATATAAGTGTTTTAATTAAAATAATCACATATTTCTTTTTCCAAAGAACCTCACTGCCGCGGATATAGCCATGAGCTACGCATTTGGGGATGAGCACGTCCATATCAACGCGGTGAAGGACGTCCGAGTGACAATCACCACCATGCCCGCGTCCATATACTACCCTGGAAGGTTCGAGTTCGTCTTGCCCGTTGAGAATGACTCGGCCATATTGACGGTGTGCCGGGCGGAGTTGATCCACGTGGGATCGAATCTACCGTGCTTTAATGGCTCTGCTGCCAACTCCACATTCGTATACAGTTCGAGGTGAGAGTAGTTGTAATATTAACTTTCGCAATTCTAAAAAATATATATGAATAAAAAAAGCAGAGTACATTTAGATGTAATGCGAATAAAAAATGAAGAGGAGGTAAGAACATAAGTCTGTAAATTTCATGTGTACTTGAATCGATTTCCCCCTTTTTTCTTGTCCATTCATAGAATTTTGCGACCTGATAATATGAACATGGGATTTTAGTCCAAAACAGAAACCTACATTTCAAACTTTTTGTAAATTCTGAATTTTTTCTGCACCGTGAGTTCACTCAGAAAATGAACCGAATTAACCATTGTTACATAATGCACGGGTTTGAATAAAAAATCAAGGTGCCTGAAATACAGCAATTGTGTCTCTTATTATAATCGATATGATATTCTATTTTAAAAATCCCCCCATTGTACATGTTAGCACTTTTTTCCATTTATCTAGACTTCCCTTTAGAGAAATTATAAGTGTGAACGTTTTATTTTACAGGACCAATGACACAAACCAAAGCAAAGTTGCCATCGATCTTGGCTACATTTGCAACATCGGCTCTAACACTGTAGCCCAGACCAAAGCAGACCAGATAATACTAAAGTTTATCGTACGCCAAGAAGACCACGTGGCCGTAGAAAATGGTACTGAGAAATGGCTGTCGGCGGGCATGCAGTATTTCACAAGTGAACTGTGGGTGGGGCAGATAAATTCAGTCACTTTGAAGGACATGAACATAGTGGCTCCCAGCGTGAGTGACTTCTATTCATAAAATCGAATTTCTGCGCCTATTCTAATTACTGAGATAACTTCTTTCATATCCCGCATGCGTCTATGGCCCCATTCAAAATAGGGTATTAACTAGTCCAATGGTCAAATATGGCGACCCACTACAAAGCTTGCCGTCCAATCCGCTAATAGACGCTGAATAGATATCCCGTGGAGAAGTATTCAAGTGGGTCAGCGATATTTGACCCTCGGACTACTTTGCCCCCTATTCTAAATGGGGCCTAAGCGAAGAATATTCTGCGTGCAATAAAGCAGGCACATTAAATACAGTAATGCGTACTGATATAGGCTTATTTTACTGCTGTACTTTTATCATTTCAGGACTACGACGGACTGCCACTTTTTGTGACACCTACCGACAAACAAACGTCTAACATGATAGCTCCAGGGAGTGTAATAACCTTCGACATCATGTTCAAAGTACCGCCACAGTCGACTGTAGGTTACTCGATAAGTGTCACTACCAACTGTACGCTGACCGTATGTGCTCTGCGATACGTGGAGACAGGTTGGAATATCCCGTGCCTTTCAACTACGTCCATCGGTGAAGTGACCTTCGGAGCTGGTAGCCGGACCACGGCCTCCATGTCGCTCGGTCACTTTACTAATATAGGTAAATATACCTGTGCAACGAAACTGAAGTTCCGTGCAACAGAAAGCCCCCCCCCCCCTTAGAGTTATAATGGTTAGGAATAGCCTAGGTTAAAATCTAGGGCGAGGCTCACCTGTACAAATGAATGAGAAGCGGAGTCTCTATCATGGTGGACTCTCTGTCACGTTACACCGGTTGGCCAGTTTTCATAACTCCGTGTGACAACAATATTTCTTCAGTGTTTTTATTATTTTGTGGAAACACAGTTAAATGTAGATATAAAACGGTTACTATTCTTCATGGTGCAGATATTTGCTATTTCAAGTTTCTGCATGATCAAATGTATTATTAAAATGTTTTTTTTTTCCTTGGGTATGGTGTAATCAATCACTCTTTTTTTAGGAATTGTGAATGTATTTTTTCTACATAATAAAAATTGATGTCTTTAAGAATCCGACAACGTTCGATACCAGATCCTTCTAACTAATATCGTATTTGATATTGTCCAGGCTCGACCAATGTGTCGTACACCGATGTTTTCGACAATGAAACCGTGCGCCTGCAGGTAGTCCTCCAACTTACCGGCGATGAAGCCATTGCTACAAACGGCTCCGAACACTGGTTCCGCGTGGATTTAGATTATGGGGGAGCACAGCCGGCCAAGGCAGATGCTTTCGTCCAAGCAATCCATAAACAGGCGGATAACGTCACGGTGCGTATGGCCTTAACGGTTCACGGTTGGAATTTTATTAATTCCAGTTTTTTTAATGCCTATCTAGTTATTACGAGTTGATTGCAGAACTGTGGCAACTGGAGCCAAGGAGAGTTCCTCTTTAATACCAACAACCATTTAATTTAATAAAAATTCCGAAATATTGTAAAAAAAAAATAGTTTGAAATCACGTGAGTTAAAACATATGTAAATACTTGACATTTACTTGACATGCAAATGCAGAAATCTAAATCAGTTATACGGTGATTGTTGCATATTTTTTTAATCTGTCAAACTCGCGCTTCAATAATCCCGTAACCGGTATCGGTCTGATCGGTCTACTGTAATGAAGGACTGATTCAAATCCAACGTAAGGGTCAAATTGTAAGGTGTCATATCTGAAGGCATGCATTTTATTTACAATTGCTGCTCAAAAGTTTCAATATGCTAAGTTCACATGACGTACTCTTTCTTAAAAGAGTCTGTATCAGCCTAAACATGTCTTGGATTTTTTTTATATTTCAGACCCTCGACCCAAATGTGCTGTTCAATTATGTCAGTGAGGCGGGCACTCAGTTTGCCGCTGACGGATCACCCTACGTCACCAAGGGCCAAAGCGTGCGTTTCTCCCTCGAGCTAACTTTACCAGAGAACACAGCATGGCACATCCAGGTGAAGTTTCTCACTCCACTAAATACGACCAGCCTTATGCATATCTGCGATGCCAGTGTCATCCACGTCGGCTCCAATTTTCCTTGTGTCGTTAAAGAAACCGTTGTAAACACCTACGAGTCCAGGTAAGTTCGCAGAGGCGGATCCAGAGCTATTTTCTGACAGCCTTCCGAATTTTCTTCGTTGATCTGTCCTCCATTTTTGATCGTCTTCCGACAGAAAAAAATAGATACCCGTCAATGTAAACTTGAAAATATGACTGTCTTCCGGCAGACCCAGAATACGATCTCAATCCGCCCCCGGTTCAAGTCCTGATCAAACTATATTCTTCGAAACACATTTGGTCGCCCGATTTAGAAAGAGGTGGAGGCTAAGGCCAGAATGATATAAATTTTAAAATTGAAATTACAAAAAAAAAATATGGCACATGGTTTGCGTGTATGTTTCCAAGGCAAAAGCATGCTTACAAACAGGTGCATAACAAACAACTGAGACATCAAACGTGGATATCTTTCCTGGCCCGCTGCAACTATTCTTTATTAAGCTGCAGTGGATTTTACAAGTAGTTGTCCTTCAAAATTACTAGAGATTTACGTTTTAACCTGGCCTCCCTGATTTTTCCCCACGCATTCCCGAGTAATGCACCATGTGACTTGGTTCCAGGACCGGTTCCGCCCACACAGACATTGGTTCCATAGACATGGGATACGTTTGCAGTATTCCAACGGGGACAGCGACCAATACGTCTAACACGGTAAGATCTTTGATCTCGAACACCGACCAGTCGATGTGGGCAAAAATGCTCACAGATTTTGATCTTAAATAATGAAAATAACAATAATAGCTACAAAAGCAGTCAGAGAGCGCCTCCACCAAGACAAATGATTGATTAACCACCAAAATCTACTCATTTCTTCTATTGGATTTATAACTTTTAGTCATATAATCTTATTATTAATGACGCCCGAGTCATGTAGATCGTCAAGTTTTCTTTAAAGTTTGGAGGGAAATATCGATACCATTTGCTTTAATTTGAAGAATTTTATCATGGATTTTACCTGAATCGGGAAAGATAAGAATTACAGCATATTAGAACAAATTGGGAAATTTCCAAATGCCGAAAGCATATCTCTATATATATTAACCGTCGTTTGGTACATTTTAATTTGCTAAATTTTTTTTCCATTTGTTTTAGATTATATTTGACGCTGCTGCGTCAGTCTTAAGGGACGTCACTCTTGAGCAGGATGACACGTTTTGGTTTGGCAGTACGGTGACAGTAAACTCTCACGTCATCTATGTGTCCCAACTGTCACTGAAGTATACAGAGACTTTGTCAAACAGTTACACTGTAAGTGTAGATTGGTCAAAGTAAACAGCTTGTCATATCATCCAGTACAATGCATTTGATTAAAATACAAGTTCAGTCACAGTTCTTAATTGTAAAAAAAGAATCGCGTTTTAGTTCTTTCAAAGTAGCGACTCCGTGACAATTCCAATCATCAAGATTTTACACTATTTTTGCTTACCTTAATGTATATACTCTCAATATTTGGCATTTTTGCATTCCTGAGAGACATTTCCAACGACAACAACGAGAGACCAAGGTCTTTCTAATAAAATGTTGGTAACCAAATCTTAGTCAACCACACCTCTTTTGTAGGAAGCAGCATCCGCCGTAATGAACTGCAGCTCTTGCAGCAGTAACATCACCAACGTTTATGTCAATGGGAGCAGCGTATCCCCGCGACCAACGACAATAGCAGAGCGTTTCAGCATCAGCGTAGTATTAACAGTGCCCCAAAACCTGACCGTGCCCCTCACCATCGACGTCAGAGTGCCCGTAAACGAAACCGCCGTGATGACCATCACCGATGCTGCCCTGACGCGCGCAGGCGCAAATCTGTGCGGATTGAGCCGCCAGATGGCGATGGTGACTCCCGTGTATAACATGTCATTGGACAATAATCAGGTGACGGGTCTTACGGTTGACCTGCACGCTGTTACAAACACAGGTATTGCATTTAAATTTCTATATTGAAAGAAAACTCTTAATACCTTATATTGCGTGATAAATCGTGCGAATTAGTTTGCACTCTGTTTAGTATAATTTGGGGTTTTTTTTCACTGAGTCAGTGTGGCACCATGGGTTCGAATCTTAGATTTCAGGATGAATAATTTTCACAACACTTAATTTGACAGAATAATTGGTTTAACAATGGATAGTTCTAAAGCGTGCTGTTTACCCTTATGAAAATAAAAATGGGCAATTCTGCGGGTACTAGTTCTTAATCCTATAATAAGCATTTTTGGAAAAAATGTGTTTATTTATCGCACAGTGTCATAAAAGTATAAATAGTGCATTTTCTTTTCAGGAGTAACCGCTCGTGTTTCCAATTACACCTACAGTCTTGAGGACGACCAACTCGTATTTGATGTCAATTTACAAATGGCCGACAGCGTTGCTAACGAACATCTGACTGTGCATGCAATTAACGTCGGCGTCGAGATTGGATCAATGGTAATGTAATAATAATTACTAGTGCTTTAATTTATTGGGAAACAATTCTTTTTGCAGTTATAGGCTCTCTAACTGCAAATTATTAAAGAGCATTAATGAGCATGGTGTATTATTTATGTGAGAAAATATTGGTCCTCTATTTAAATATGCTGTAATTCGTTATTTCTAGAAATAATGATTTTCATATGACAGAATACCGCATGGAATTTACTGTGTAAGTCTTTGTGTACAAACTGTTAGAGTTTTTTTTTGGGGGGGGTTATTTTTGAATGGCAGTGCGATCCCCAACATTTAATAAGGGAGGAATATTGACTTAGAAAACATATCATAGTAAGACTTGGTTCTTATACAGGGAGTACATGTACTTTTCAGGTGTACGTCGCAAAGGAATTCATTGAAATTCAACGCACAACAAACGAAAAGCCCGAATTAGAAGTGGCCGTAACCATGGACACTAGCACAACTTACGCGAAAGGGTATGGATTTATTCACTTCACCTTCACCGCTCCATAATGTACAGCAGTCATATATGACGTCCCTGTCATTAGTTGTGACGTCAGCGTCATTACGTCAAATTTACCCCATAGAGGTCAAAGATCTGAAGTGCAGAAAGAAAGGCTTATGATTTTATTTTTAAATATTTGAGACACCTGAAGGTACCAAGAATGATATACGATAGATACGATAACGATTTGGGTGGTGGTTGATATTTTAATTTATTGTACAATGTTATTTGAGATGTACAATTTGTTCTCTCTGGGAATGCAACTGTTCCCTCAGCATTGGTTTGAATTAACGTTTACCCAGTGAAACCATGCACCCCGAGAATCAGAAATTACTGGAAACTTACCTCTGTTATCAACATATCCTCCTGTCCAGTTACCTCTCAGTAAACTTAAGTAAGTGACACCGTCACCATAATTATTGATGATACACTCTGAGACCCTAAGACCGTTGACCGTTTTATATTTTGACAATCTCAAAGGGTCGTGTCGTTTTTATAGTTTTTAGACAAATCCAATTTGTCATATTTTCAGCTCGACCATAGAAGTGACTGGTAACATAAAACACACAGAACAGTCAAAAGCAGAAGCGAATAATGTCACAGTGAGCTTTTACCTGCCGCCTTCCCTGAACTTCAGCTCATTTACAGCCATTAACCTTACCATGAATGCTGCCGTAGACGAAAACGGGCTGCTTTCCATCACGGTGATTCATTCAATTTTTCTCTATGACATTAGTGGTTTTCCTTGACATATTTAGTCTTAAAGGGATAGCCGTTTTCTGTAAATGTAGGAAATATAGAAATGTTTTATGTGCAGGATGAGAAAATACATTCAAAGTTTAGAGCCCGGTTAAACATTGATTTGGTAACCTCCAGAACATTTTTATCTCAGAAAGATTCACCTTGACTTTATGCGGTATTTTCATTAAACCCTGTTAATGTTACTGAAATTAACATTTCATATTCTAAGTTCATTTCCGTGATATTAAAGCAAAAATTTAAAAACGGTAATTTTAACACGTACAGCACAGCATTCGCTAATTGACAAATGTGTCTTTTATCTAATCTTATCTGATTTATAAAAACCTTTCTATATACAGATTCCACAATTGCTCTTTGCTGACACAAACAGCAACTCTGGATGGTTCACGCTTTCCCTGACCGTAAACCCCGACTACGGCCGCGAGAATATCGAGTCCGTGATTGTACCCTATGATGCCTGCTTCTACATGTTTTATCGCCAATTTAACGCCAACCCCGACGGAACGGAGTTCTGCTCTTCGCTTCAGGATCTGGAATTCACCATTAACCCTCAGGGATGGCCATGTAATATTTATAACCATTTTATGCTTTTACTGTATTGCTTGAACTTTTTTTACGAAAAGTTGGTATTTTGTACTAAGTATTTCCTAGTTACACTATTGAGGCACGGAATTAAAGTTTAAGTAATCAACTCTTAATGCCCGCATGCAAGGTCATTGATACTTCTAAGTTCCATGCTTTTCGCTTTATCAGAACATTGCTATGTGTCAGTATGCCCAAGATTAAGGCAAATGTCATTGTGAAGTAATGTGTGCTATTGTTTGACAATGAAGTTTATACTATTACAGTTTGAATAAATTGTGAAGGTTCTTGTCCCCACCCCCGCACTCCCCCCAAATAAACTCTGAGTAAAAAAAGTTCTATTCATGATATGTTTCATAATAATTAAGATATATTATTGAATCTAATCGCCGTTTTTTTCTCAGCCTGCGAGACAGCACTTGGGATGCAGTCGCTGGCTATTCAAGATTGCCAGATAAAAGGCTCGCCATCCAGCACTAGTGTGACAGCTGCTCGATATGGTTACAGTGGTAAGATGTTATTCATCATCATTCCTCTTCGTCCCGTGTGGGACATAAGGCCAAGATGATATTGCTGCCCTTTTTTATCATTATCTGGTCCTTTCCGTATATTTTGGCGCAGCCAAACAACTAGGTCCATGACTCGTAGATCAAGAGAACGTTAAGAAATAAGTAAATGTGATACCAGTAATGTCATACCAGTCAATGTAATTAGCTTAATTGTCTGACACACCCCCTCGAGAAGGTAGGGGGTAATTAACGGGCGTGTCAGACAATTACGGTGTTTACACCTGTACACGTAATTACTGGCATATCATAACCTCAATTCTTTTCATTTAGGTTGGAAAGGCTTTTATCGCGGGGAGGTGTATGAACCTTACAGATACCTTCAAATAGAATTAGGGAACAACACCAAGCTGACGCAACTTCTGTGTAATTATGTGGCCGGAAGTGACGTCACGCAGATCGAGGTGATGACCAGTAATGATGGGCTTGCTTGGCTCTCAGCAAACACGGTATGTTCTTTATCTAAATGGGATACGCCCAATTTATGTATTTATTATACTAGACTTGTGTCATATTTATTACCTTGTCTACAATTGCACACAAACTGACTTTATGTGATATTCACATAGTAATTAATACATTAATACTGCGCCAAACAATGAAAGCAGACTCATATTATTGAGACACCGGTGTTTAATTATTATAAGAATTAAAGCATATCCAACTTAGTAAAAGTGAACATTACCTTGTACAGTGTGCGCAGATGAAGTCAAGGATAGATGAGTAGAGTATATAACAGACGGGCGCAGAATTGAATCTGATTTATTATAAAAAGGAAAAGAAGAAAGGAAGTGCAACAAAAACATATAAAGTAATATAACAGCATTAAGTTATGCACAATATGTGTAGTAAATGTTTTTGGTTTAAACAATCCGCAGCCTTATTGGCTTAAACAACCGCATATGGAAACGTTAAGTCAAATTTGTTGATCTGTGTAAATTTATTTTGCGTCGTATGAAATTCATTAAATCAGCAAAATTTGTTTCTTACTTTTTGTTTTATGGATTTTATTTGATGAATTTTAGCTGTCCATTCCTGTGCGGAGTCAGCGGCTCTTGTTGTATCCGCCTATCGAGGCACCGTTTGTCCGATTCTACTTGTACGATTCCACTTCCGGGCCGTCCGAAATAAAAAATACATTTGAAGTGTATGGGTGCAACACTGGTGGTAGTAGGGCTGGTAATATATTTTATCTCTCTCTCTCTCTCTCTCTCTCTCTCTCTCCAACATCGCTCTTCTGTTTCCAAATAGTTTATCAGATGTATGTGTACAGGTATGTCGGTAATGCAAAAGAAATAATATCACCAAATAAGAATATGTAGTCATTTCATGATTTTGAAAAAAAAAAAAGCAGGTACTGTTTATAACAATAACCTCACACTCACTCTTATATTAATAAAATAATCAAGACATTGATGTATCCCATTGATGATAAAACAAAAACAATACTTCGACGAACTAACGGTAGAATTATATAAATGTCCACAATACATGTTACCAGTGTAACAGCTCATTGGGTGATGGCTCTTTAAATGCTATGTACAAAATAACAGTAATTAAGCCTTTAAACATTTTTTTTCTTCAGATGTATGCAAAGCGCCAGTATCAAGTACGGAAGGTATGGTTCAAACAATGACTTTTCCTCTTACAGAGAAAATGAATGCGCTAAAGAATGAATGCTGGGATAAATGGGCAACGGACGTGTTAAAATTGTTTCATTCCAATGCCACTCGTTTGCTTAATAATAGGCATAGCGTCTACTTTAAAATGTACATTACGGTTCAGTATACTTTAGACCACTGGGTCCTATCTGTTCACTTCAGTAACCGTTTATATCCTTTCCATTAGCTTGTATTTCAAGGATGAAATATTAATAGTTCAAGGCCCAGTGCAAGTATACTGAGCAGTACAATTGCTACATGTACGTTAATTCTCAATGAGGAATTAAATGCGCTACTTTATCATGAAACAGTACAATATATTTTCCACGACGATATCCGAAAAACTTGAAATCTAGTACAGTAGTAGCTACTGTAACGGTTAGTTTTATAAATCTTCAATGTAATTTTCAGCCCACAAATTCAGAGGTTTTCTGGTAACCACCAGTACGACCTATGTGTGTGATTTCAAACCAGATATGTAAGTACTCACTGTGAAGCACAGAGCACATCTTAAAATCTAGACGCACATTACGTATTTGAAGTCTGTTCGGAGTCACATGCTGTAAAATGTATAAAATATATAATCCAAAATGATTTACTCATTATCGTTAAGAACTGTTAGATTTTACAATAAGACTTTTAAGTTAAAACATTACTTTTGGGGAATTAGATTGTAGCTTTGTCATCAATGGGCAGTGCCGATTTATAAAACATAACCACGTTGGAAAGCCGTCCTAGGTCCTTTTGCGCAATGATTTATGTTTCATGTTATTTCGACAAGTTGACGAAAAGCGTTTGATATCCCTCTCCTCGTCTTCTGTTCTCCAGATCACTACAAAGAGTTTGTTATTCCACGACAGATGGAGACACTTGGACTGGTATGTAGATATAATTGGCACTTTTGCCAAAATACCACTCGCCGCTCCAATCAGTCTCAGCAAGTTCAGCCAAAACACCACTCGCCTCTCTAATCAGTCTCAGTATAATTTCAAATACTCCGCTTTGGACTAAAAAAAATTAACCGTCTTAATTGTAAAAAACTGACAACCCGGGAATTAAAGCTATTTTCGTTTTGTCTTCTTTAGATCTTTATTCTTCCTGCGCAAATTGTAAGTAGGACTTCATACAGCTTTAATTAAAAATTCAAATAAGAATAATTTGAATATTGTTTAGCCATTTTCTATACCAATCAAGTAGACAATAATGTTCTTTTCTCTTTATCAAGAAATGGACTCGCGTGTAGCCAACGTCATAGGTTTTGACATAGAGGAAGGCTATGTGTACGCCGTGGGGACAACAGACGACACGTACCTCGTGGCTCAAGACGGGACAGACACGTGGTACTCGATCTCTCCGGCCAGGTGGGCAGAATTCCAGTCCTGCTGCGCGGCTGCTCCATCCAGATGCAGGTCTACGGTAGAGGTCTCTTGGCTCAATAGCGTGGCCAATCCTTCGTCATTCATTCAGGAAAACTGGGGAGGTAGATAGGATTTGCGCTAATATATTTTTTTAATAAAATGCTGCTTAATAATGTTATATTGTTTCCATTTTGCCCAACTCAATTCATAGGATGTTGGGGTAAGGGGATGCAGCACCACACACAGCCCTCTCCCACAAGATTTAACATCTGTTTTTGAGGCATTTTTTCAGTCCATGAACCTGTAATTTATTGCAGAGAGTGGTCAAATAGTACTGCGAGACGGGCCTTTTGTGGTCTGTTGTGTTCACACAATTGATTCTTTATATCAGTTGTAATGGTAGTGGCTTAATATTCAAGATTATAACTGCAATATGTGTCACAAATACAAACAAATGGCCATTTTTGGTCATGGGTCGATAACAGTTAGACTAATTTATGATTACAAAAGCCCTGATAATCTCCTACTAAAGAGTAATTTTGTATTGTATTTTAATTTAGACTTTACTCTTACCTATTGTTGAAACATTGGTATGATCCCTTGCGCAGGATTTCTTCAAAATAATTGCAATATTCTTATATTTTATTTTGTAGCTAATTTCAATGGAATGTACAACAGTGACACGGGAGTATGGGTTCAACACCTTGACTGGACGGACTAGGACCTCAGAACTGCGAGGATTAATGGGACATAACGAGAACGTCGATAATAAACGCTTTGAGAGGAGCTTCTTTTGACTTCGTTTCTCGCACATATGTCCCTTGTTACATGTATATGAAAATGGTAACTGCACAGGTGCAGAGTACCAAACATGATTAAATATCACTCGTTCAAAGGATAGACATTAGAAGGCTTCTAAGTTAGATGTCTTGTTACTCGCTCATTTTACGTTAATTGTGGGAAAATGTTAACTTCCATAACTAGTACTGCTGCGCACTTAACTTGTTAAAGCAAGATTTTGCCTCTCGTTATAATTCGTTTTATGTGATTTAAAGTATGGCCAAAACAATCGTATACTGATATTGTACAATGATTATGAATATGCGTCCGAATAACCGTCCATTTATTTATTTATTTATTTATTTTAAGACTGACAAGGTAATTAGTACTAAAAACAAATCCAGTAGCATTTTAAGCAGCTGTGTTATAAATCCACAAACGGGGCACCAATATACCATTATTCAGAATGGGTGAGGTCACCTTGAGGATATATTCGACCCAAAGCTCGGTTGATTGACTGGCCCCGACAATATTATACAGGTGATACACTGTAATATTATAGTGTTTTATGTAAAACTGTGATCAGTGAAAAGATATGAAGTAGTTGGCAAAATTTCGTATTTTCTGCAATATATGTGTCCCCGCCAGAACTTTGAACTTGACCAATTTTAAAGCTTGAAAAGAGATGGAAGACTTTTATGCTTTTGGCGGACTGGGGGTAGTCTGCAGTGTACGCTACGATCCGCGCAGAAACTCTCGATCATCTGCCTGGGATTTGGTTTTCAGATTATACAGTGTTAATAGTTTAAGCTTTTTGTGCCATACTAAATTATACTGTGTTACGACAGATTTATTTTAGTCAGAATTTTATTTAATGTTTCTTCATAGAACAGATATGCATGAATGTGGTTGTACAACTTATGTGTGATGAAATCGCGTAGCTGGATACACATACACTGTATATATTCATGTAAGAATATATACTGTGATTCATTGCCCCCTCATTTCAGTGTTCAACGCTTCCAAGTTACATATATATTTTAGTATCTACAGTCTAAAGCTATTGAAACTTAGAATGACATGGAAATAGAGAACATGCACTGACCAGGGAGAGGTCGTTTTGTTATATTCAAGATAAAATGAAAGTAATAACACAGCTTTGGTCGGTTTTAAGTATAGAAATGGTATCAGTATCAGGGTATCATTTAATGAAAATGGATATTTGTTCTCCAGTTCTTCAATGATCGCCACTCATATAACGCCTTGTAGTCGAGTTTTAACATGAAATGTGCATATGTACTAGTTATTATGATCTGTAGAGTACATTCACTAACTCTTGGTACATGCATCTAATCCGCCCGCTAAATGACTACGCGTGAGGTGAAAATGTCATTTTAATTCCATTGTGCGCAGTTTGTTTTTGTAAAGGCACGAGATCGGGAAGATGTCGGGAATGTTTAAATTGGATGGTTGAAAAAATCAAGAGGAAATAGCTTAATTTGCATGAGTTTTCTCACCACCTGTGGGCACTTCGGCATTCATTTTGTTGAGACAAAACCTGCTACAGTGCGTGAATCATACTTTATATTTAAAATTCTGCTTAAATGATAAGAAACAGCGTGATGGTGTAATTTTTTCTTGTGCCTTTACTAAAGGAGAAAAGACCACATTTAAACGATGTTTGCGTTAAATTCAAGTTAGAATCCCAAAAGTGTCAATTTAAAGAAAAATGAAAACTATTCACTCAGTGTATTTGTTATCCAAAATGGATTTATGGGCTACAGTTAAGATTTAAAGTATCGAATATATTTCACAACAGAATTAACTAGATGGCAATACTGAATACAGGTACAGTTACATCAGACTATCATGATTTTTGTTTAAATTAATATTCGGATTTTTTCGAGAATAGAAAAAGAAAATCGCATTAAATAAATTAGTTAATTGATTAATTGATTGGTTAATTAATTTTTATGTATTGAAATAATTCATACAAAATGTACTTATCTTTCATGTGAAGGGACAAGGGCGAAACGATGCAAAGCGACATGTACATATGATTCATCTTTTGTAAATAAAATATTCTTTTATGAAAAATAAGTGCTTCATTGTTTTCCAAAACACAGTTTCGAGCAAGCTGCGTGTGAAGCCAGTACTGACCTGCAAATCTACGTAGTCGTTGCGAATTATTATTATTTTATTTATTTTATTTTATTATTTTATTTATTTATTTTTTTTTTATTTCATTTATTTTTTTTTTTATTTTTTATTTTTTTTGCCGACCAATAGGGGCTACCAGTAGAGTTGTAGCAGTCATTATAAACTGTAAAAATGTCTATGACAAGAAGGCAAAAACATAATGCAGAGTGCGTTGGGCCAAAAGTAGGTACAATTGTTTACGAGTACGAGTAAATGCTTGTACCGGTACAGTAAAAAAAACTGTATTAGTCCAGGTCCAGGGTACAAGTAGGTCTAATAATTAAAAATATATAGGCTATAGGGCCTATAGCCTAAAAAAAATATATATATATCACAAAAATCAATTTTTTTCGGTTAAATAAATATATAGAATATATAGAGGCCTATAGAATTCCTTTAAACTACATGTGGGATTAAACAGGGCAAAAAAAAAAAAGGAGTAGAGAATTCACTAAAGTCCGACTTGTGTACCTGTACCATGTAGTAATAATAGTAATCATAGTGCCATTTCACGCGCCGACGAGCCGAGAAGCAGTCACGTGACTCAAAGTCACATGATGAGAAACATGGTGGTCCGGACACGAGAAGAGAGCTGCTCACTCGTCCGCAAATAACCCGATTATCACTCAGATATTTGAGATAGCAACACCCTATTGTACACATGGAGGACGAAGGGAATGACGGAACGTATGGGTCAGTCCCCGTGACATCTCAGGCGGCGACAACGAGCACTGTGGTAGGAAAGGTGAGAGCACGAGTATTTTGTGTACTGTACAAAATTCATTAGGGTCACCGTCTGTCAGTGTAGTTTATTTGCTGTTCTTAAGCCTGATTCGTAGGGTGAAAGGAATGGTTCTGGGGGTGCAAAAGAACCACATTTTATGTATACATATATCTTAATTCTACAGTATCCCATTTATCAAGTTGAGTCAGTGACAGGAGCACGTTTTCATAAAAATGCCCCCACCACCTCCTTGGAAATTGCTGGCTATATATTTCGTAAATTGCCTCAGTTTTCGGTCTTGCCATATATGATACGCGGGTACTGAAAGGCCACATAGCACCCTATGTTAGAGACTTTATGTGACGTCACTTGCCACAATGACGTGCTCAAGTCTAACAGTACATGTACAATGTACTAGTGCTAGTACATGTAGCACTGCTGCATACATGTACATGTAACTGGAATAAGCAAAGCTGAACATTATCAAACAGGTGCATGAACTGATATGAAAGCTCCTGAGGTTATAAACTTTACTTAAAATGTGGATATTTTTAGCCTCGAGATTTTGTAACACAGGGAGTTACAGGTATGGAGTCTTACCTGCATGGCCTGTAAGTATACTGCCACATATATAGTAGAATGAAGGCTGGCTACAAGCCTGTTATCTGCATATTTAAGAGAAATCAGCTCCTGTACTAATTCATACTTGTTGTGTATGCTAGTATTATCATTTTTATTTATTTGAAAGAAGGTGTGACTGCATGATTGTTTAACTGCAAACAATACATAATGTTCTGGAGACTGCATTAGACTTAACCTGGGATGACCCAGTTCTTATAACCTTAAAGCGCTTACATAAACCCAGCACAGAGTTTACTCAGGTCAGTGTAACTGATGATTGGAAGGACTACAGTTCACCCTTTACCACTTTTACATAACTATGCTAGGCACTGGTGCAACTTAATGTCAGGTGCACCATGCACATACAGTATATAGGGGTCTCTTACACAAAATAATGGGGACTTAATAACTAGTAACCAATTTTTTAAATTTTTTTGAAGAGTCTGATTCATTAAGCTCTGAATGGCACTTGCTAACTAAATTTGTGGGTTCTTAAGTTAAAACTTAATTAATTTGTCTCTAATGTTATTTGATTTGTGAAATTACATGGCCCTATATAGATCCCAGTCCAGATATTTTATCAGTGTGGGCTGGAGTTTGAGGTCTATATAACAATTACCTGACTTACATGGTTTGTTTTGCTTTAAGATAAGATCTACCCCGCTATATATAGTATAAAGATGAGATGCTTTGTCAAGGCGCGTAGCCAGGGGGGGTTCGGGGGGTTCGAAAGAACCCCCCTTTTTGCTGGGAAACGGTCCACTCTGGGTAAAATTTGACCTATGTACTTGTGGATTTTATGGTAAAAAGTCCACTTTTTTCAGAAAACGCCCCCCCCCCCCCTCTGAAATTGCTGGCTATGGGCCTGTTTGTCTAAATATGAGTTCATGTTTTAAAACAGGAGGTCAGTGGAACTTGACTCAAATAAAGTTCAGTTTGTCTTGTTTAAAAATATAATTTTTTTTAAAAATAATTATTAAATTTCACTTTATTTCTCTACAGTAATAGCAATCCATCAGATTATGGTATCAGTTATATAAAGCAATAGCAATATTTCAAGGAGCCATAATATTTATAAATTTATTTCCAGGCAAAGACATTTGCTGGCCTATCACCAAAAGAATGGGCCTTTCTAGTAGTGTCTATTTTGAATCTCCTGGCAGCCCTGGGGTTTACCGGCTACAGCCTGTGGTATGTCGTGGACAAGGATAAGGAAAACACTGTGGATTTCACATTTGCTGTCTTGCTGCTTATTAACATTGGTGAGTTTATGACTTTGTGGCACCTGCATTTGTTTACAGTACACACATCGGATTTTACTGGACCAGGTATGCATGCATCTGTGGACACACACATGCACATACATGTGCACGCATGAAATTATTTTTACCTACTCTGAGTATATGTACCAGCATCAAGGAGACATGGAAGAATTAACAAAATATTGTCATAATCCATTATATTTCCTGTGTGTGTAATTTTAATGTTATGCACTGCTTGATTGACACTCTTTTTCACAAACTTTTTTATTTAATACGAGGAAAAAGTGACTACTAGTAACTGCTATAAAGTATGTACTGTTATACTATAATAGATTGCTAATCATCAGGAGTTTAGAATTGAAGTCACGAGACAGGCTTTTTCATTTGAATAAATAGTGTGTGGGTTTTATGCTTGGATTCACGTATATACACTTATTACAGTGTACAGAAATAATGTGGCCTAAAAGCTATAATTAGACATAGAAGAATGAATGTTAAAATAAGAAGAAAAACTTTATGCAAATTTCTTCTTTCATGCTCTGGTTCACAATTAAAGATTTGAGTCACATGAAAATGCACTGAATATTGTAGTATTTTAGGGTTTAAATGTAGTCACATGATGTATGTTAAGGTACATGTGCCTGTATTTTACCTGAGTCAGGTGTCAGACAATCAATTGTAAGAGACTTCATTTGGATTCATTTAATATTTAGGTGTATATCATGTTATATTAACATATTTCTGTCAATAAATAGTTGCTTTTTTGTTAGCTGATAAATGACATATTAAGTATCCTACTGTATTTTTGGATTATTGCATTTTTTTTGTTTTTCTGGCATTTTCATGTTGTTTGTAACCATTTTATAGAGGTATATTCCAAATGAAAATAATATTTTTCTAGTTTAACTTAAAGTATAATAATTATTATTATTATTTGTTAATAGTATTTATTAGTTCTGTATCATATTAACAATGTATATTTTTATTTTTTGTATTTCAGTATTCTGTACATTTTACGTTGTCCATGGACTGTTCCGTGAGAGGGAGTTCGAGCTGTACGCATTTATCGCAGCCACTCTTGTTGTCGTAGTATACTGCATCACTGAGTATGCTGTGAATGTGGCTGGCCATAGTAACCCTATCAAACTGGTAAGTGGGACCATACATGGCATTTGTCTGGCAACAAGCAAGGCTTGTTTTTGTTCTCACCATTTCAGTTTTGGAGGATGATTTTTTCATAAGATTTCTTTTATTTTGGATCTTAAAAGGCTAGTGCCAGGAATATGAATTTGGCTACTTTCTGAAGAGGTCCATCTTTTCATGTGTAAAAGAAAATTTCTGATTGTTAAAAAAAAAAGGCAAAATCATGAGAATACCAATGAGCATTTTCTTAAGCATTTTGCATTTCTTTCTCTTCATTTACACATCCATTCCATTAGGTTTTTAATAAATTTAATTGATTTTATTCAAATTTCATTGTTACAGCCTCGTCTGATAGTGTCTTGTGCCTTGGCTCTCCCTAACATTGTTCTAGCCTGGATGGTGGCCAGAGACTTTGGCTTCCTGGCCTTCAGGATTGTGGGGGCCTCAGAGGCTTTGCAGTGTAAGGGTTGTTTTATCTATTTAGAAATGTTTGTAATTCTATCAATTATGTGTCTTTCTATAAAGATATCTTGATTGCCAATCTATGTAATCATGTATTAAATTTAGAAGTGGCAATTTAATTGTTTTAGTAATTCTGTGGACTAAAAACATCTTGTTTTAAATTTGAATGTATCCCACAGGTAATTTTTATCTTATTAGCTTTTTTTGGTAGCTGATGTCAGTCCATTTACAGTAAGTGTGTCGAGTTGTACATTTGTGCCTTGGTGTAGTGTGCACCTTTTCCATAAGCAACACCTTTGCTAGCTTTTGTGACTATAAATATTTGATTTAATTGGGTTTCAATTTAATTATAACATTTATTGGGAGTCTAATCCCAACTATACCCAAAATCCAAAATACATGGCAATGTAAAATACAAATTAATATGAAATAGAACTGATAAAAAAATCTACCTCTGATATTTTGTCCTTGCTTTCAGTAATGTACAGACAGTCTGCTGCATTTTCTACGTTGCTCAAGTTTGACTTTCAAGTTGGGGTGAGTATTTGTTTTTTTTTTTTCAGCTGCGTTTGTATGTTTGGTATTGGGAAATACTCATATATGTTTTATTTATTTATTTATTTATTTATTTATTTATTTATTTATTTATACATAAGTAATGAGGCAAGATCTGTTAACTCAGTTTTTATCAATAATTTAGAATGTCTGTCTTTCTTGATTTTTGTTAAAAAGATGCTAGACTTAGATCACACTATACTCCATGGTGAAAACTGCTCCATTAAAAAAATCTTTCTGTTAAAAAGGACAGAGTTACTGATTAAAAAGTTCATGTTATATTACCTTGCTTTCCAGGTGAGTTTTGTAGTACTTGTCTTGGAGCAGGGAGTGAACCTGACCACACTGGAGATAGTCACTTTAAGTGTGGGACTGCCTTTTTCATTCCTATGGCTAATTCTTGGATGGATCACGGTGAGTAAATACACTGTAGTACAATGTTTTGCTTTAAGAAATATGTTGGATATTGTTGAGAACAAAATAACACAGGCATGGTTTATCTCAGACACGGGCAATATAAAAATATTGTCTTAATTATGGTGGAGGTGACCTCAGTTATCCCTGCTGAATGTTGAACCTAGCCATATTTACTTTTGCCACAAAAAGTAGCTTGAAAGAGTGAATGAAACATCACAATGCAGTAGTATGCAAACAGTTTCTGAAGACTGCATTGATACTGTATTTCAGATGAGGAAAGAAATTAAACCCTTGATGTGGATTTTTATTGTTCTGGGGCTAGTGGGACCAGCATATGTCATTTACAAAATAGTAATGGTGAGAGAAAACATATTTTTAAAAATTGTATTTATTAATTCAATTAATTTTAATTTATTATTTATCTTTCTATTTATTTTTGTAGAAGCCACATATACATTCTCCCTTAAAGAAACACACATCAACATGCATACATTTAACTTTAATGATGAAGTGAATACTAATAGTGTTAATAATGTAACTTTTAAATTATTGGCCATTTAGATGTGTGTACATGTTCATGTTTTTGGGCTTTTGTGTCTGCATGTTTGGGGGGTAGGCATGTGCTTGCCAAAGTGTGGGGAGCTTACGTCTGTCACCAAATTTTGATATTAAAGCATTGTTTATTATTATTTCAGTTATTTGAAAATCTAGAGGAAGAGCAGAGTGAAAAGTTGCTGATTTATGCAGTCATTGTTGCAGGTAGGAATCAGTATTAACTTTGCACTGAACAGCAACCAAGATAGAAGCATTATGATTTAAACACTGAAAAAGTCTGAGAAGGTTGGGTGTGGAAGATTTGGCAAATCTTGTGGAATTTTTAATAATGTAAATTATACAGTATGTGGTTTTAATGCAAGATTAGGCACAGCATTTATTTTGGTGAACTTCTTGTTGCTTTCTTACATGGATGCAAAAGTAAAGGACATATATATATATATATCTTGTATGTCATAGAATTTCATAGCATTGAAATATGTGAATTGTAAATGTGTATAGGTCAGAAATATTGTATATTACAGGTACTCTTGAACTGTTAGTACCTGTCATCCTACTTATCCAGGCTGTGGTGGTGTACAGAAACTTTAATTATTGTATATTACAGGTGCACTGGAACTGTTAGTACATGTCATCCTACTTATCCAGGCTGTGGTGGTGTACAGAAACTTTAAGAAGGGACTCAAAGAAAGGGGTGAGATTTAATGCTTGACATTTTTAAACACCTACTACTGTACATGTTATGCTTACTTCTTGCTAGCAATTTGTCATTTGGTAGCCAATAACTGATTTTGTTATTGTTTTATGTTACAATTTTTCAATTGATAATTTTTCTTACAATTGCATTAATATTTATTTGCTTTTCTTATAAGTCTTAATCATTTATTATTTGACTGGTGTACATGATAAATTATTCATCACTTATTATAATAAAAGCACAAAATTAGTTTACTTTTTATTGCTTTGATTTTATTTATTATATTTTTTTACTTAAATCTGTACATCTGATTTTCTGTTTTTCAGCATTTGACCCTACAGAACAAACTAGTTTGCTTGTGGCTGCTGGTCGCAGATAGACCCCATTTATACAATGCAGGACCCGTCTTCTCAGATATTGTAATGGGTAATGTAATTTGTATGGAGGTTGTACAGCAGATCTTTGACAGTATGTTTGCATGGAATGGCAGGGATGGTAATCATATGCCATGACAGGTCCTCAGCAGGTCCTCAGCAGCATTATCTTTTAGATGGTGTTTTTTCGGTGAAAGTCATCATCATGAGGATGCATTTTAATAGAGTTTTAGATATTTCTTCATGAGTTTTGATCTGTCATCAGACGTGAATCTGCTTGTTGCTGTTTCTGTACATTTGTGTAACAACTGCTGCAAAGAATGCAAACAGAGAAGCAAGAATCAGCAGAACAAGACCAGTATGCAAGTATTATTACGAGAACAAAGCTGTTTTTAATGCCTTATTATGATATTAATATCTGTCATCAATGTTTTCGTTTTTAATATAACATGATTCTCAATCACCAGTAAGAGTGTTGGTTTTGAAACAGAGTGGTCACTGAATTTCTGGTACCATCTTGTTACCTGTGAATCATAAGAAGTCTATGATTCTGTAGGGCACTTATGGTTCTCTTAGTCCCTGACAGTAAAACCAGTGCACCTGTCTGAAAAATTTTATGATATTTTATATAAGCATTAATGCCAATACTACCCCAGATGTGGTAATACATTTATTGATAAAAAAAGGTGTAGAATTGTATATGTTGGTGTCTGTGTGTGTATTCCAGACGGTTTGTTTCTCTCTTCTTGTTCATTTGTTGTGATGCTTGGCTTTTATCCTACAGTGTGTGTATACATGTACGGAATATATATTTTTTTTCATGTATCATGACGTAACCATTAATGCATATGTCTTTAGCCTATTTTACATTAATTATGAACTTAAGCAAGATTGCATATATGATACTAATTAGCTTGCCATACTTTTGTCAATTATTAATTCTTCACCAGTGTCAAAACCGTGCGGGCAGCTAAATGTATTTTATGACACGGGGAGTCGTCAGAATAACCATTTTGTGTCTTGGCGTGTACGTATTAGCTATTGTTGTAATTTGTCTCATTACCAGATATAGTGCATTTGTGATTATATAAAGGGCAGTTGTATTCGCATAAAAAATGGCTCTATGGAATTGTGATTAGTCAGTATGTCAGCTTTTACACATTAGGTGGCTTACTAGCAACAGCATATTTACAATCGCTTGCCATTGTTTTATCCTTTTGAGCACAAAGTATATATTTTTATATGTAATTAGTGATTTGGTAGCGATTGTATAACGAATGGCCAAATACATGTGCGCGCCATGCATTCAGCATTTTTATTAAACATTGTCTTTGGTGCCCTCTTTTGAGTATTTTGCAATTTGTTCCAGTATATCGATGTGCGTTTAGGTTTCAGACTTAAAGCTGTGAGAAATTACTCCTTTGCCAGATTAAGCATAGCGACGAAGTTGGCCGGACAAGCTTAATATTTTTTCTTGATAAGCGCCCTTTTTTTCTTAGAACGCGCGATTTGCTTACCCTGAGAGGATTTTATTGTCAAACCTACGATGTCATTTTAAATAAATTTGTATTTTCTGTTACTTTTCAGTGTTTAGAGTTATTTTTAAAGTCGAACGTCTCAAGTTGTGACTATTGTCAGTAAACGGGTTGAACATCATCGTTTTCTGAACGGATTGAGTGATATTGGAGAAAATAACAGCATTGAGAGAAGTATTTTGGTATCATGTGTGTTGTTTTCCTTTGAATTAATATATCTGGACACGGAACTAGAAAATTAGGCAGAGATCAACGTAAGACTTCACATTAAAAAAACAGAGGGATATAGAATAACTTTCAAGTAAATAAACTATATCAAGTGAAATACAAGCATACAAAGATCGCAGATTTTGTTGAAAATATTCGTTTATTATTATTTTTATTTATTTATTTTTATTTATTAGTTTTTTTATGTAAAATTACTTTACAATGTTTGGTCTGTAGTATTTGCACAATTAAGCGAGGAATTATGGAAATGATCTTGAATTAAAAATGCATTTCTGACTCGATTTTAAAGTTTATCGTCACTACATATATTTATCTATAAACAAAACACCACATTTACACTATATTTATGCATGGAGGCTAAAGACCCCATATAAGACTTCACTGCTGTTGCTTTCAAAGCTAGGACCTTGTGCGAAAGTTGACCACTGGGCCCAGCTGAGGTCAAAGGGGGTTAAGCCACTGGTCACAGGAACTACCAAAAATAACCGGCTGATATGTCCTTATTGCTCGTTACACGGGATCTTAAACAGAAATTTTATGCGCCGAGAAAACTGCACTCAGCACATTCATGTAATTGGGAACCTCAAAAAATCATCATCTAATTTTGTTTCGTTTCTTACATCCCCGATCACTATTCGAAGAAATCGCGGCCACAGTAGATGGACTGCCATGTACTTTCTACTGAAATGCCGTTTCTAGCGGCTCATAAACAGCATAGAATTTTGTGGCCTAAGTACGTCTTTGTCAAGGAGTGTTGCCGCATCACGATTTTCTTTGTCTTCAAGTATAAAAATCTGCCGGCCGCCAGCACTCCCCGACATTGTCCTGTTGACGCCTTTGAAAGGTAAGTCTCGTACTTCGCCAGTTATCCTCGTCTAAGTATCGTACTGCGCCAGTTATAGCCGTCTAAGTATTATACTGCGCCAGTCGTTGTTTTCATGCACTGGGTTCTGATTTTGTTGCCTTCAAGCTGTTTTAATTGAAATCAATACTAGAAAGTCCAAATTAAAATTGAAAGGGGTCAGCGCTGATTCCATGTAAGGCGATGGACACTGCTTTTCCGCTATTCCATCGAAAGTTATTAATGTTGGCGGCTGTCCGTTAAAATTACTGTTACGTGTATAAACGTGGACGAAACACTTATCGGGTTTGGTTCGGACACGTGTTAAATCAAAGTAGAAGTGTCACCATCAGACCACAGATTTAATTAAAGGTAGATTAATTGACAAGGCAAGACGGGAACTTTTAGAATTCCGGTTGTCTGTTATCGCGTTGTAGTTGTTATACCGCATCTTTGCCTGTTTTTTTCCTGATGAACCGAGCTAAGGTATTATGGAGAGAGAGAGATAGGGAGAGAGAGAAAACATTAACACTAGTTTTAGTCTGAATCTAAGTTTTTATATTCGCTATAACATATATTTAGACTTTGTTTTTTATTCTAGCCAATGTTGTGGAAATAACAGAACTTATTATATTAATGTTTTCCTCACACACTGTTAAGAGAATTATCTAATTCATTAAATGCTGGCACTCCAACAGTTTCAACAAATTATAAGACAAGCATTAGGCATTAAGCTTAAGATTTTTAGCAGCAACGACTGAAAAATGGACGCTTTTCTTTTCCCTTCAGCACATCATGAAATTCCTGCTTGCTGCCCTTGTTCTCTGCGTGGCCGTTTCATGGGCCAGCGCCAAAGCTGTGGACGCCCACGAGAGGATAAGTACGTTTGTTATTCGTTACTCACTCTAAGCATTCTGCAGTATCTATTTTATTCATTTTATTATATTTCTTTTTTAAAAAATGTTGTCTCTGTGTGTACATGGTTTTTCGTGGTCTTCCGTATTGTGCGAAGGGCTCCCTTTCTCCTTTATACTTCATTCATTTACTTTATTCAATTTCTAATCGCAAGATCCTCTAGGGCCAATTGATTCTCCGCATGCGATATGCATGTATGAGAAACGTTTTCTGTGACTTTTGACTAATTAATTTGGTAATTAAGTAATTGAGTAAATAATTTGGGAACTGAAGTATAATTAAAATAGATCTGAAGCAATTTTCCTATTGACTTTATTTAAGATGTTTTTTTTTCTTCTGAAAATTCTTCATATTGAATATTCACTGCCCTGGGGTGATTCCGCTTGATACCCAGTTACATTTAATTTCAGTGCGCACCCTGATGGAAGACGAAGAATTCAAGAGAGGCTTCACCGACACAGTTTGCAGTGGCCTGGAAACCGTCATCAACAGCTACGCCGCCGATATCCTCAGCGTCGGGTGCAGCGCTGGGCTCACTAAGGAGTTCCTCTGCGGGAAAGTGGCGTCCACCATCGGCGGTTGGTTCACCCTCGCCACCGAGTCAGCTTGCAACGTCCTGATGGGGCAGTCTTTCATGCAGACAGCCATCGCGGCCCTTAAGCAGACGTGTGCCTCGGGAGCTGGCGCCCTTAACAATGTCGACATTTGTTAAATTTGTTGATTTTGGTAACATTCAAGTGCTGACATTGTTTTCTCTGAAACATTCCTGTATTGAGATTTTGAATGGTTCTGAATGTTGCTACCGGTGCTAGAAAATTTTGTAATGCACGTAGAAGATATTTCATATATCTCTGGGATAAAGATCTCCTATTTGTGTACAGATACATGTACACAAAATGAAATATCTTAACACATATAAAAGTTGTTTTGTTATGTTATATAAGATTTTATCATGACGAATATAACGATGTAACGTGCAATCTGCATGAAATTCGAAATGATTAGTCATATACCAGCATATATTCGCACGTTAATCTGAAGACCTGGTATTTTCAAAAGTAAAAGAAAGTCACTCAGGTTAACAAGAGCCCTATTCATAAATCAAACAACAAAACCCCTCGTCGCGCGTGTGGTACACATATTTTACTTTACCACGTCACAGAGATATTTATTCTATTACTTATTCACATATATTTCTCTGGCTAAATTTGTGCACGCGTGCAATGTTTCTAGCGATGGTTTTTATGCAGAATTTTGGAAAGGACGTCAGCAACCAGCAGTTGCCTGGTAGAGACTATATTTACTGCATTTATACTGGATTTCCCAGGTCCCAATCCCTGGATTACGCGTGGCTTCTTAAGTCTGATTACAGGGGTATTGTGATAATCCGCAATGGACATGATGTCTGACCATCCCTTTAACAGGTGTCTGTCACCCATAAGCTTCTTCACAAGCTGACTAAATAAGTTGGATACTGGCAGATGTCACTCAATTTCCAGATTACGTTGGAAAAATTTGGTCGGTTGTTCTACCTAAAAGAGTCACGGTCCAAATTAAGGTGATCCGGTTGTGAACATGTCTTATGGTGACAGCTAGGGTTTTCCTTGCTTCTGCGCTGTAAGATTGCTATGCCACGTAGTGGTGAGATTTCAAACTAATTAAGGTTGCAGACATGCGTGTCAACCTGATGTACTTTTTACAGTATGAATAAAGTAACGACCTTTAAGAGATCCAGCCATTTCCAAAAACTTCAAGCTAGCTTACTGGAGATAGGCCTTCAAATTTAAAATTGCAAACACATTTAGCCAGTTTCCACAACTGACCTGTTGGCTATTTGAGACGACTCACCCCTGGTATTCTGTCGAGAAATACACTGCATTATATTGTAAAATGAAAAAAAGGAAATTCGCAAAGTTTTTTTTTAAATAAAACGCACTTCGATCAATAAGAAAAAAAATTAAAGGCCTAACACAAATACTATAAACCGCAACACTTTTTATATAAATATAAGTTTATTAAAATGTAAACAATATAATCTTTAGTATTATAAAGAGTCTACCCGTAAAATTGCAAAATCAACAAAATGCTCAACACATTGTTTAACAGATGTCGATGTTGCCGAGACTGGTGGCACCGGAGTGGCACTGGTTCTCCAGAGACTTGAGGGCGTTGGCGACGAAAGACTGGTCCAACAACACACCGCAGGCCAACTTGGCTGGGGTAGAGAACCAACCGCCGATGAAAGAGACCACCTTGTCGCAAAGGAAGTCCTTGCTGAGACCCGTGCTGCAGCCGGCGTTCAAGATGTCGGCACCGTAGTTGGAGAGAACACTTTCCAGAGCGTTGCACACGGTATCGGTGATGCCTCTCTTGAATTCCTCATCCTCCATCAGGGTGCGGACTGAAACAAGTTAAATGATAAAACGATGAATAAATGTCCTATGCACATATCGTCAACTTGAAATTCTTTTATAGATTTCCATGTTGTTTCCTTTAGGGTTAAATGTCTTTGGCAGAAGTTTGGCTTAAATTAAATACGACACACCGGTCATACTCCATTTTAAATAGCGGTGTTTACCTACAAAGTAATTGAATCTTAATTTCCATTTTGATAGGTTATATCAAGATTTGTCGTTTACCTTACGAAAACGAATTCAATATTTCATTTTACGTTTAGTCAGTACAAGAAATGAACATAGAAGAACCTATCTTAATTTGGACAACTTACTCATTCTTTCGCGAGCGTCCAGAGCTTTGGCGTTGGCCATGGACATGACCACGCAGACAACAGCGGCAGCGATCAAGAATTTCATGATGAACTGGAACCAAATAGAAACATTTCAGATACCGCAACGCTCTTTCTTGTCGAAATTTATTACCAAATTTAAAGAAGAAAAAGAGAAAAACATGCCACTCGGTCGAGTACGTAGAACAATAGAAGTTGCCAGTTGATAATAAATATATTGACAAATATTAAAGTGCATTGCGTCGAGACCGAGTTGAATAGCTTGCTATTTTATGATAAAGGTCCAATCTTTCACAGCCATGTAGGCCTACATGTATCTAAAAACGGAGCCTTTGACTGCAAGCACAGCGCGTTTCACAATTATCAGAGAATATCTTAAGTTTAAATCTGCCCCTCTTTGAGTAAATGAACACCCTTACCTTGCGTTGGAACTCGATGTCAGATCAAAGTGATGCTGCAGACAGCCTCGTGGCTGCTTTTATACAGGAACTGTTTCGTAGCCTCGTGTCAAACAATCACTCCTGAACACGCCGAGTTACGGCACATAAACCACCCTGGGTCCAGGATAAATGAATTTTACATAATAGTGCGAAATGGCTCTACTAAGTTCAATAACAGGATCAATCCAGTTTTCTGTAAGTCGTTAAGTATAGAATATGAATCAAACCAAAATTCTTCTTGGCAAATATTTTTTTTTTCAAAAAAGATGAAAGTTGTGACTGCTTAGCTATCGTAACATACCGGTACACTGTGTAGAGTAATGGCTAAAATGCTAGCGCTGTTAAAAAGGGAACACAGAAACATGTTCTCTGAATATTCTTTTTTAAAAAAACGTAACAGAATGTTACTGTATTCCAACAAACTCTTTCAAAACGGGGAGCGAAGTGTTTCTGCTACGTCTTCATTATATTTGTCATCCTATGTATATTTATAAATGGATAAAATAGCAGATTGCCCACAGTATTTATTAATGCATACATTTAACGGCCTTAAATTGTCATATCTTTAAAGATAATTCTGTTTAAGCTACTCAAAATAATACACCATATTTATAATATTATAATATATAATATATATGCTAATAATACACTAAACAACACACGGAATGTACTCACAAGGAGATAATTAAATGTAGGTAACCTTTATTAACTACCCCCCTGACATCAATTAATATTAGCATATGCACCATTTACTTTGTTCGCCTTTACTAGGTACAGGTATGTCTTTACTTCTTCTAAGAAAAAGGTCCCCGTGTCATTTTCAGTGCTATTACGTAAATAATTGGGTCAACACGAGGTACTGTTTAGGGTACGAGGACACCCGGGCTCCGTATCTCGAAAGGTTCGCTATGTTGCGCACGAGCGTTAGTGTCTCGATTCCATAACCGATTCTATTTCGAGATAAAGGGGCCATGGAATCGAGATACTTGCGCACGTGCGCAACATAGCGAACCTTTCGAGATACGGAGCCCTGGTCAGCGGGAAATAAACCGCTTACTGACCAAGGTCAAAGGTGTTACTGTGCCTGTCACATGTGTTCTATCACAGCTGTCTTGCGTTTCAGTTGTTAGTTTATTTACTAACATGCAAAACAACTAATATGTTGGCATCACGAAGGCCAAGAAACAGGGAAGTTGTCAAATAAGCAATCGTCGGCATAAAAAACAAAGAGCAATCAGAAACATGTAAAGGTGCACATGTATACTGTGGAAGAATTAGATTAGATCCAAGATGCAGGTTCATTAACAGCACAGTATCGGAGCACTATGCTTAATGTTACATGAATGAGTGAAACTGAAAATTTAAATAGTAGCTCATTTTATTATTAGTATTTATTTTCCACGTTATTCAACAGAAGCGAGTTTATAATTTAAGCAGTTTACACCAGAAAATGTTTTGACACTTTGATCCTGAGAGAATACCAAGCCATATGTCACGCTCATTACACTTTATTACTTAATTCTACCTTCTCAGAAGAAGTCAAAATTATGTAAAATCCATTTATCCTGGGCCCAAAGTGGGCTTATGTGTCGTAATTCGGCGTGTTTAGGAGTGATTGTTTGACACGAGACCTCTGGGCAAGTGGTGTATAAAAGCAGCCAAGAGGATGATTTCTGCATCACCTTGATCTGACATCGAGTCCCGACACAAGGTAAGGGTGTTCATTTACTTCAAGGGGTGCAGGTTTAAGTTAAAGATATTCGCTGATAAATGTGAAACGCGCTGGACTCGCAGTCAAAGGCTCCGTTTTTAGATATCTGTTGCTTGAGCCGTCGATTTATAGTAGTACATGGCTGTGAAAGATTGGACCTTCGTAATAAAATAACAAGTTATTCAGCTTGCTCTCGCCTCAATGCACTTAAATATTTGTCAATATATTTATTTTCAAGGTAATTTTTCTATTGTTCCACGTGATCGACCGAGCAGCAGTTTTTTCTTTCTTTTTCTTCTTCTTCTCTCAATTTGCTAATATTCCTTAATCAATTCGTCAAGAAAGAGCGTTGCGGTATCTAAAATCTTTATCTTTGATTCCAGTTCATCATGAAATTCTTGATTGCTGCCGCTGTTGTCTGCGTGGTCATGTCCATGGCCAACGCCAAAGCTCTGGACGCTCGCGAGAGAATGAGTAAGTTGTCCAAATTAAGTTTTTCTATTTATTGAACGGATAAAACGTCAAATGAAATATTGAATTCGTTTTCGTAAGGTAAACGACAAAACTTGATGTAGCCTATCAAAATGGACATTAAGATTCAATTACTTTGTAGGTAAACACCGCTATTTAAAATGGCGCGTGACAGGTGTGTCATATTGAATTTAAGCCAAACTTCTACCAAAGACATTTAACCCTTAAGATAACAACATGGAAATCTATAAAAGAATTTCAAGTTGATAATATGTGCATTGGACATTTATTCATCGTTTTATCATTTAACTTGTTTCAGTCCGCACCCTGATGGAGGATGAGGAATTCAAGAGAGGTATCACCGATACCGTGTGCAACGCTCTGGAAAGTGTTCTCTCCAACTACGGTGCCGACATCTTGAACGCCGGCTGCAGCACGGGTCTCAGCAAGGACTTCCTTTGCGACAAGGTGGTCTCTTTCATCGGCGGTTGGTTCTCTACCCCAGCCAAGTTGGCCTGCGGTGTGTTGTTGGACCAGTCTTTCGTCGCCAACGCCCTCAAGTCTCTGGAGAACCAGTGCCACTCCGGTGCCACCAGTCTCGGCAACATCGACATCTGTTGAAAACAACGTGTTGAGCTTTTGTTGATTTACGGGTAGATTCCCTGTGAATCATTTTGTTGAGATTGCAGTGTTCACAAAATATATTATATATGTTATATACTATTTGTTCTGTTTTGCTGCTTATACTTTGCCGCTTGTCTATTTAACAAAATAATAATACAGCTCTTACAGCTACGCGATACTGAAGACTAAACCTTTGCAAACGTCAATTGTTTTCACTAGCTTGAATACGTTTTCTATATAATCATCTATCGATAGTTTGCGCAAATTAGTTTCCCTTATTTCATTTTGTATTATTATCGGTAAAATATATTATTACAGCTCCAGTCCCTCTTACCGAGAATCTGAAATTATTCACTGGAATTGCTCAAAACCCTTTACATTGACAATTTGCGATGGCGTCCATTTCACCCAAAATAAATCCACTCAAATAAACACTCTGAATACCTCTAAATGACATAACCGCCTACCACGCGCGCTGTTTGGTTCACAATTCCTTGATTTTCGTTTTACGATCGACTCTAAACTCTAAACACACGCAGTCCGAAATTCAAAAAGAATGAATCACGTAGAAAACGGGTTTATTCGCGGCGTTTGAAATAACTGAAAATGTCAATCTGGCCAGGGCTATTTTAACTTTAAAGATGTAAGTTTTACAAAACGCCATTCACTGATTTTTGTCCACCGTTCTTACTCTTTACCAAACTCCAACACAAACGGACCATATTAATAAAACAATTATATAAACAATTAACGTCAAAGATGAAAAACTTTGCACATAATTGTCTCATTAATTAAATTATTAACTTATTAGCTTATTAAGTTAACTTAGTTCCTAATCTTTAGACCACAAATGGATACGACGACAAAAACGACTGTAAAGTATATGGAACATAGGCAGGCCTTTTCTTCCCAAAATAGATTGTTCTTCGTTGATAAGTAACCTTCGCATGTGGGTTAAAACTTAACACAAACTTGATAGAATATATGTACAACTGACAACTAATGATCATTTAACGGTAACTTAATGATCATTTAGCATAATTTGGTTCCTTAGTTAATTGTAAGTTCACCATGGCCCTATAATGCGAACGCGTGGCCTGATATCAATACTGTCGATTTGCTATCATTCCATGTCCATATCACACCCATTCTGTTCCCAGTATCTGATAAAGCCTAGATAACAGATTCGCTAATTGCGCTATCTGGACAATGTGGCAGACCATGGTGCACTTACATAGTATAGCAGTGTTCCAACGGTCTGCTGTAAGTGCCGCGACAGAACGAAATCGCTCACTTCCTGTTCCATGAATGCCATCGTTATATAAGGTAAGTCTGGTAATTCTTGACGATGTAGCCGCTTGTTCTCTTCTTGTCCCAACTGTCATTGTTGTCATTTGTGTCACCCATTACTTGTCCGATTTAACCTTCATTTTAAAACTAAAATCATATCAGTGGCCTGAAATATATCTTCTCTGAATGGCACGCAATCTGAATCCCAACAGCTCAACTGTACTTGGCGTGATGGTCAGTTGTTAACCACATGGTAAACCCAGCTTTTATAGACATCAGCAAAAACATAAAGAATATCGATAAATATGTAAGGTGTACTTTTGGTTTCAACTCTATACTTCTTCCTAGCAGGTGTATTTACCGTATGCCTCAACTGCAATCTGAATCCCAACAGCTCAACCGTACTGTAGCCAAGATGACCGCCCAGACTAGAGTTTATACCAGCACTGATGTTACCGTTATAGGGCTGATAGCAGGAATGACCGGCCTGATCTTTGTCGTTGTTATGGCAGTGTCTTTGTGTTACAGTAAGAATTCTCAACGGTGAGCGCTATTTAATTAGAGAGTAGAGAGTAGATGTTGTTTATATATTTTAATCGCTTCTTTGTTTATTTATTTATTTATTTATTTATTGTGATAATTATCTTCTTATAAATCTTAACTTCCATTAGAACCAAAGGGGGGAGGCAGAGGAGTTTTGGTCTCCTATATATCCTTACCCTTTTCTATTTCAGAAGAGGCATGGTAAGAACAAACCGCAGGATAAAGCACGAAACAGAGGGCATCTACACGTATGACAATGGTGTGCCCCAAATGGCGGAGACAAGTTTCATTGAAGTCAACGATAAAGTGATATCACGGTTCTCTGCAGGAAGTTTTGACTGCTCTAGCATAGTATGTCTTTTTTTTCACTAATTTATTATTATTATTATTAATATTATTACAACACGAATTATTGTAGACGGACAAGTTAGTGTTTTCTATGCATATGTACTATCCTGTACTTTATGTACCGGTGCACGTTATGTAGCCCCAGAGAGGAAGTTCTCTTTATGGCACTGGTACAACCCCTTTCTCTCTCTCTCTCTCTCTCTCTCTCTCTCTCTCTCATTCACTCGCTCTCGCTGGAATGCATACAGTTGTCGGATCAGGCGTGTGTCAAAAACTAACAATTAAAGTTGATAAATTAGTAAACTAATCTTTTTTTGTCTTCAGTCTTCCGCGTCTGGAGAATATGCTGACCCCAATTGTCCCGGGAGTTGGATGTCACCTTCACATTTGAATCCCTCCCCGAGCAATATCGCGTTAAACTATGCGATGAACGTCGAGCAATTAAGGCCATCACCGTCGGCGCCACAAACGGAAGATGACGTCGCCTTGAAGAGGAACACCGTGGAGCTCGCCCTCGATCAGATCGAGGCTGACCTTCAACGTGACCTCCACGACCTTGATTATGCAATATATAAACCAGAGAGACTGAAACAGAGACTTTTGGAACGGGAAGAGCAGAATCGCCAGCACGCCGCGGCCAATAACACAACGCTTTTCTGAGATAATGAGGAACAAATGCTGGCCAAATGAAAAAATGTAATACCCTGTGAGTGTCCGTTTGGAATGTTTATACATTACATACGCTCATGTTAAAACAGAATTGCATTTGCAATCATGGTGAATAACATGCTTTGTGTTATATTGTAATGCAGTTTGCTTTTGTAATTACCATAGCTGTGTGTAGCTTGTTTGCTTTAATGTATCTGTGGATCCACAAAACAAGAAAGTAAAGTATAAACTGTACTTAACTTGATTTGAAAGCTAGTACACAATGATACACAGAACGTACATATGAAGTTGGTGCATCATACTTAAGATCGCACATGTACTGTGTATACATGCATGCTGAATTCATGTACCGGCAATGTTACAAGCTAATTTTAACAATAAAACAGGGACGAATGATATTAATAACAACCAAGTATTCGAATCGTTCTTCTCGGGAAAAAAAGATGCAATTTAGAACACTCGTCCAGTATGCACAGTCGTTAATTAGATGTGAGAAATAATAAAAAAAACTTCAAAGTCTGCTATATGGATCAGTTGCCACAATGAATCAATTATCTGCATCTTATTTAACTATACTGTATATATTTTACATTTGCAAATGCCACGATGTACATGTCTTACTGTAAGCAGCATAGTGTCGTTATTTTAAAGGCACTGGTTGTACATGCAGGCATAAGGATGAATGAATATTTAGAATTTCTGGGAGAAATTACTGTGGGAAGGCCCTCTCGTGTTGTTGAAGAAAGATGATTATTCACATATGCTATACAGTCGCATTCCGTCTATTTCATAGGTTTAACAACACCAGTTGAATGCAAGCACTATGATAATAATCTTGAATAACAGAACAGCCCTCATCAGTTAAAACCTAAATAGCGTGAGTGATAAAATAATTTATGAAAATATGTCTGCACAGTTTCAAATTATCTAATATCATCTTAACTCCAGTCAATAACACCTAGACCCCACACAATTTCCTATTTATGTATTTCCATGATTTTTCGAGACCTTCGTTGCCCATCACTTGCTGAAGCTTTAACAATGGGCATATATGCCCGATACTTGATTGCTGAGTTCTCTTTTGCAATCCTTAAAATGCTCAAGCTTACATTTGCTGAGCACCGCGATTGCTCGACGGAAGAGCGACACCTCACGATCAAAGTCTGACCCTTGTAACAAAACAGTGTTTCGTAACTTGGTAAGGAAGTGGTTATATAACTGATAGTCAGCTTTGCTCCACATCCCATGTTTCTTCAATGTCATTTCATCGTTCACGTTTTTGTATTCATATTCCCGTTTGTTTCTTACAGCATATAAGATGTCGTCCATGTCCCAGCATAGCAAACGGCGTAGTAACACCAAACTTTCATCAAACATTTCTAAGACGATTACAAAATCAAATTTCTGTTCCAAGAAACTGATGTACTCAGCAATAAATCTGTCGTTGTTCCTGAGATCAGTTCTATCATCTGGGAACCCGTACACATACATCATGCCGTTTCTCAAGAAGCCTATATGGTTTGTGACATAGTCGTCGCTCCAATACCTGTATGGATTTTCCATAAATTCCACGATAGGGTTCGTGAAATTTTCCATATTGAATATCTCCGCAATACGAAAAAAATTGAAGGCGCTTTGAAACTGGGAAAATGGTTCGCGAACTATTCCGATATAAAACGTATCATTTGGCATCATGCTTTCTATTACTTTTGAGTCAAAAAACATATGTTTGAAAATGATATCATACGTTATATTTGGGTTATAGTTGGCGTCGCTTTCAGTTATTTTCCTCCGGATCATATCCTTTCTAGATGTCCATGGGTGAAAAAATTTGCCTTTAGGATGCAGAGGTCTTAATGTATATTTACGGGTAACCTGTTGTAAAATCTTAGCCACGGTAGATGAACCGCATTTATGCACTTTTAGAAACATAATATGTCGGGTAGGCTGGCATTGTCCTTTTGGGAGGCATTTTATGGGAGATACGTTGTAGGCAGACTGCGACAGGGAATGCTGAATGTTCCTAATTCCACCTGCAAGCATTATTATTATTAATATTATTATTATTATTATTATTATTATTATTAGGAAAGGAAGAGCATCTTTAAAGAATCAGTGACGAATTGATACGTATTATTTTTTATCTTTCGGTGCATTAGATTGATGCTTGTTATTCATACACAAGGTGAAAAGTCGTCCTACCTTTAATATCACTTCGGTGTGGAGGTGGTGACAATGGGTCAGGAGTCAATATAGGACTTCTCATAAGACGTGGAAATAACAAGTAGATCGCAATGCACAGGAAACAAGGCACCAAAGCGACTAAATTTTTTCTTGTCGACATGGTCAAGATCAACTGACGTAGTACAAGTAAATTTAATCACATCATTAACAATCCTTCCGTTGCTGTCGGATTGTGCAAGCTACTACAATTACTCTAAACGAATGCTGTGTCGTCGTCTAAAGCGATGCATGCGTTTGTTCATATTCATATTTATACTTAATCCTGATGGAGGCTTTTTATTTTGTCAGTAAAAGGTAATTATACTGCATTATTCATTTCTGTCTGCATTGACACCGTTCATTTTATCTACTGAGAACAGCATTAGAAACCAAAGGTTCCAAAATTATTAACATGTTGTTATGAGGTCTTTAGAAATCCATTATGGTTATTGTAACCTTTAATCACCATTCAAATACCGAAACCTTTTCCTGCATCTTTTTATTCAATAATGCATCTACCTTTGCGCTTATTTAAAAAAAATGAAAAAAAGCCCTCAAAAATGTAAAATATGAGCGTTTATATTATTTTCGTTGCAATGTACAAGCATGTCGATTTCCTATCATTCCATGCCCATATTACACCCATTTTGTTTAGCAATATCTGATAACAAATTCGCTAATTGTGCTGTCTGGACAATGCAGCAAGCCATGGTGCACTTACATAGTATAGCAGTGTTCCATCATACTTTAGGTCGCACATGTACTGTATATCCATCCATGCATGCTGAATTCATGTAACGACAGTTTTACAAGCTAACGTTAAAAATAAAACAGGAACGAATGATAATAACAACCACCTTGTATTCGAATCATCTTCCTCGAAAAAATAGATGCAATTTAGAACAGTGCACATCATGCATAGTTATCAATTGAATGTAAGAAATGATGTATAAAATGTTCAAAGTCTGCTGTATGGATCAGTTACCGCCTTGAATCAAATATCTTCATTTTATTTAAATATATATTTTTACTTTTGTGATCATATAGCCACAATGTCTCACTACGGGCAGCATACTGTCGTTATTCTTAAAGGTACTGGTTGTATATGCAGGCATAAGGATGAATGAATATTTAGAATTTCTGGGAGAGATTTCTGTGGGTAGGCCCTCTCGTGTTGTTGAAGAAAGATGATTATACACATTCATTGTAACCCCAGTCATTAACAACTAGACCGCCACACATTTTCATATACACTGTATGTATTTCCATGATTTTTGAGACCTTCGTTGCCCATCACTTGCTTAAGCTTTAACAATGGGAATATATGCCCGATACTTTACTGCTGAGTTCTTTTTTCCAATCCTTAAAATGCTCAAGCTTACATTTGCTCAGTGCCGCGATTGCTCGACGGAAGAGCGACACCTCACGATAAAAGCCTGACCCTTGCAACAAAACAGTGTTCCGTAACTTGGTAAAGAAGTGGTTATATAACTGATAGTCAGCTTTGCTCCACATCCCATGTTTCTTCATAGTAATTTCATTGTTCACGTTTTTGTATTCATATTCCCGTTTGTTTCTTACAGCATACAAGATGTCGTCCATATCCCAGCATAGCAAGCGGCGTAGTAACACCAAACTTTCATCAAACATTTCTAAGACGATTACAAAATCAAATTTCTGTTCCAAGAACCCGATGTACTCAGCAATAAATCTGTCTTTGTTCCTGAGATCAGTTCTATCATCTGGGAATCCGTACTCATACATCATGCCGTTTCTCAAGAAGCCCACGTGACTTGTGACATAGTCGTCGGTCCAATACCTGTATGGATTTTCCATAAATTCCACGATAGGGTTCGTGGAGTTTTTCATATTGAATATCTCCGCAATACGAAAAAAATTGAAGGCGCTTTGAAACTGGGAAAATGGTTTGCGAACTATTCCGATATAAAACGTATCATTTGGCATCATGGCTTCTATTACCTTTGAGTAAAAAAACAAATGCTTGAAAATGATATCATACGTTATATTCGGGTCATATTTGGCGTCGTTCACGGTTATTTTCCTCCGGATCATGTCCGTTCTAGATGTCCATGGGTAAAAAAATGAGTTGCTTTTAGGATGTAGAGGTCTTAATATATATTTACGGGCAGCCTGTTGTAAAATCTTAGCCACGGTAGATGAACCGCTATGCACTTTTAGAAACATAATATGACGGGTGGGCTGGCATTGTCCTTTTGGGAGGCATTTTATGGGAGATACGTTGTAGTAAGACTGCGACAGTAAATGCTGAATGTTCCTCATTCCACCTGCAAGCATAATAATAATAATAATTATTATTATTTTTTTAAAATTAAAATTAGGAAAAGAAGCGCCTCTTTAAAGAATCAGTGACGAATTGACACGTGTAATCTAGTAACTTTCGGAGATTTACACTTATGCTTGTTAAAATCATTCATGCACTAGGTGAAAGGCTGTCCTACCTTTAAGATCACTTCGGTGTGGAGGTGGTGACAATGGGTCAGGAGTCAATGTAGGACCTCTCATAAAACGTGGAAATAACAAGTAGACCGCAATGCACAGGAAACACGGCACCACAGCGAGTAAAAATTTTCTTGTCGACATGGTCAAGATCAACTGACGTAGTACAAGTAAATTTAATCACATCATTAACAATCCTTCTGTTGCTGTCGGATTGTGCAAGCTACAACAATTACTCTAAACGAATGCTGTGTCGTCGTCTAAAGCGAGGCATGCGTTTGTTCATATTCATATTTATACTGCATCCTGATGGAGGCTTTTTATTTTGTCAGTATATGGTAATCATACTGCATTATTCATTTCTATCTGCATTGACACCGTTCATTTATCTACTGAGGATAGCATTAAAAACCATAGGTTCCAAAATTGTTAACATGTTGTTATAATCTGTTTCATTTTAACGACACCAGTTGATTACAAGCACTATAATAACAAGCTTTAAATAACAGAAATAAGGCAGCCTTCATCAATTCAAACCCAAATAGTGTGAGTACAATTCATGAAAATATATCTGCACACTTTAAAATTGTCCAATATTATACCAATTCCAATTCTCATCACTACAAGCCCACCTAGCGTGACTATAAAAAACAATCCATATCTGCTAAAGTTTAAAATTATACATTATTCAGTTCATTTCTGTATTAGCCACAGTCATTAACCACTACACCGCCACACAGACATTTTCATATATGTATTTCCATGATTTTTTGAGACCTTCGTTGCCCATCACTTGCTTTAAGAATGGGAATATATGCCCGATACTTTACTGCTGAGTTCTTTTTTGCAATCCTTAAAATGCTCAAGCTTACATTTGCTCAGTGCCGCGATTGCTCGACGGAAGAGCGACACCTCACGATAAAAGTCCGACCCTTGCAACAAAACAGTGTTCCGTAATTTGGTAAAGAAGTGGTTATATAACTGATAGTCAGCTTTGCTCCACATCCCATGTTTCTTCATAGTAATTTCATCGTTCACGTTTTTGTATTCATATTCCCGTTTGTTTCTTACAGCATATAAGATGTCGTCCATGTCCCAGCATAGCAAGCGGCGTAGTAACACCAAACTTTCATCAAACATTTCTAAGACTATTACAAAATCGAATTTCTGTTCCAAGAACCCGATGTATTCAGCAATAAATCTGTCGTTGTTCCTGAGATCAGTTCTATCATCTGGGAATCCGTACTCATACATCATGCCGTTTCTCAAGAACCCAACGTGACTTGTAACATAGTCGTCGGTCCAATACTTGTATGGATTTTCCATAAATTTCACGATAGGGTTCGTGAAGTTTTTCATATTGAATATCTCTGCAATGTGATAATAGCTAAAGGCGCTTTTAAACTGGGAAAATGGCTCCCGAACTATTCCGATATAAAACGTATCATTTGGCATCATGGTTTCTATCACCTTTGAGTAAAAAAACATATGGTTAAAAATTATATCATACGTTATATTCGGGTTATAATTTGCGTCGCTCACAGTTATTTTCCTCCGGATCATATCCGTTCTAGATGTCCATGGGTAAAAAAATGAGTTGTGTTTAGGATGCAGAGGTCTTAATTTATATTTACGGGTAGCCTGTTGTAAAATCTTAGTCACCGTAGATGAACCGCATTTATGAACTTTTAGAAACATAATATGTCGGGTGGGCTGGCATTGTCCTTTTGGGAGGCATTTTATAGGAGATACGTTGTAGGCAGACTGCGACAGTGAATACAGAATGTCCCTAGTTCCACCTGCAAGCATAATAATAATAATAATAATTATTATTATTATTATTATTATTATTTGGAAAAGAAGAGCCTCTTTAAAGAACCAGTGACGAATTGACACGTATAATCTAGTAACTTTCGGAGCTTTAGACTGATGCTTCTTAAAATCATTCATGCACTAGGTGAAAAGTCGTCCTACCTTCAAGATCACTTCGGTGTGGAGGTGGCGACAATGGGTCAGGAGTCAATACAGGACCTCTCATAAAACGTGGAAATAACAAGTAGACCGCAATGCATAGGAAACACGGCACCACAGCGAGTAAAAATTTTCTTGTCGACATGGTCAAGATCAACTGACGTAGTACAAGTAAATTTAATCACATCATTAACAATCCTTCCGTTGCTGTCGGATTGTGCAAGCTACAACAATTACTCTAAACGAATGCTGTGTCGTCGTCTAAAGCGATGCATGCTTTTGTTCACATTCATACTTATACTGCATCCTGATGGAGGCTTTTTATTTTGTCAGTAAATGGTAATTATACTGCATTATTCATTTCTGTCTGCATTGACACCGTTCATTTTATCTACTATGAATAGCATTAATAACCAAAGGTTCAAAAATTATTAACATGTTGTTATGAGGTCTTTAGAAATCCATTATGGTTATTGTAACCCTTAATCACCATTCAAATACCGAAACTTTTTCCTGCATCTTATTATTCAATACTGCATCTACATTTGCGCTGATTTAAAAAAAAATGAAAAAAAGCCCTCAAAAATGTAAAATATGAGAATTTATATTTTTTCGTTGCAATGTACAAGCATGTCGATTTCCTATCATTCCATGCCCATATTACACCCATTTTGTTTAGCAATATCTGATAACAAATTCGCTAATTGTGCTGTCTGGACAATGCAGCAAGCCATGGTGCACTTACATAGAATAGCAGTGTTCCATCATACTTTAGATCGCACATGTACTGTATACCCATGCATGCTGAATTCATGTTACGACAGTGTTAAAAGCTTACGTTAAAAATAAAACAGGGACGAATGATAATAACAACCACCATGTATTCGAATCGCCTTTCTCGAAAAAACACATGCAATTTAGAACAGTGCACATCATGCACAGTTATCAGCTGAATGTAAGAAATGATGTATAAAATCTTCAAAGTTTGCTATATGGAACAGTTACCGCATTGAATCAAATATCTGCATTCTATTCAACTATATATTTTTACATTTGCGATCATATAGCCACAATGTCTCACCACGGGCAGCATATACTGTCGTTATTTTTAAAGGTACTGGTTGTACATGCAGGCATAAGGATGAATGAATATCTAGAATTTCTGGGAGAGATTTCTGTGGGAAGGCCCTCTTGTGTTGTTGAAGAAAGATGATTATATACATTCATTGTAACCCCAGTCATTAACAACTAGACCGCCGCACATTTTCATATACACTGTATGTATTTCCATGATTTTTCGAGACCTTCGTTGCCCATCACTTCCTGAATCTCTAACAATGAGAATATATGCCCGATACTTGATTGCTGAGTTCTCTTTTGCAATCCTTAAAATGCTCAAGCTTACATTTGCTGAGCACCGCGATTGCTCGACGGAAGAGCGACACCTCACGATAAAAGTCCGACCCTTGCAACAAAACAGTGTTCCGTAACTTGGTAAGGAAGTGGTTATATAACTGATAGTCAGCTTTGCTCCACATCCCATGTTTCTTCAAAGTCATTTCATCGTTCACGTTTTTGTATTCATATTCCCGTTTGTTTCTTACAGCATACAAGATGTCGTCCATGCCCCAGCATAGCAAACGGCGTAGTAGCACCAAACTTTCATCCAACATTTCTAAGACGATTACAAAATCGAATTTCTGTTCCAAAAACCCGATGTATTCAGCAATAAATCTGTCGTTGTTCCTGAGATCCGTTCTATCATCTGGGAATCCGTACTCATACATCATGCCGTTTCTCAAGAAGCCCACGTGACTTGTGACATAGTCGTCGGTCCAATACTTGTATGGATTTTCCATAAATTCCACGATAGGGTTCGTGGAGTTTTTCATATTGAATATCTCTGCAATGTGATAATAACTGAAGGCGCTTTTAAACTGGGAAAATGGCTCCCGAACTATACCGATATAAAACGTATCATTTGGCATCATGCTTTCTATTACTTTTGAGTCAAAAACCATATGTTTGAAAATGATATCATACGTTATATTTGGGTTATAGTTGGCGTCGTTCACGGTTATTTTCCTCCGGATCATATGCTTTCTAGATGTCCATGGGTAAAAAAATGAGTTGCTTTTAGGATGCAGAGGTCTTAATTTATATTTACGGGTAGCCTGTTGTAATATCTTAGTCATGGTAGATGAACCGCATTTATGCACTTTTAGAAACATAATATGTCGGGTGGGCTGGCATTGTCCTTTTGGGAGGCATTTTACGGGAGATACGTTGTAGGCAGACTGCGACAGTAAATTCTGAATGTTCCTAATTTCTCCTGCAAGCAAAATAATAATAATAATAATTATTATTATTATTATTATATAAAAAGGAAGAGCCTCTTTGTAACGGACAAGTAAGACAACATTAAAAAATCAATGACGAATTGAAACGTATAATGTAGAAACTCTTGGTGCATCAGACTGATGTTTGTTAAAATCATTCATGCACTAGGTGAAAAGTCGCCCTACCTTTAAGATCACTTCGGTGTGGAGGTGGTGACAATGGGTCAGGAGTCAATACAGGATCAATCATAAAACGTGGAAATAACAAGTAGACCGCAATGCACAGGAAACACGGCACCACAGCGACTAAAATTTTTCTCGTCGACATGGTCAAGATCAACTGACGTAGTACAAGTGCATTTAATCACATCATCAACAATCCTTCCGTTGCTCTCGGTTTATTTAAGCTACTACAATTAGTCTAAACGCATGCTGAGTCGTTGTCTACACCGACAAATGCGTTTGTCCATATTCATATTTATTTATTCATCCTGATGGGGGCTTTTAACTGTGTCAGTAAACGGTAATTATACTGCATTATTCATTTCTGTTTGCATTGACACCGTTCATTTTATCTACTGAGAATAGCATTAGAAACAAAAGGTTCCAAAATTATTTATATGATGTTTTGAGGTCTTTAGACATCGTTGCTGAGGTCTTTTGGAGAAATCCATTATGGTTATTGTAATTCTTAATTATTATCCGATTACTGAACAATTCTCCCTGCATCTTATCATCCAATAATGCATCTAGCTTTGTGCTGCTTTAAAACAATGAAAAAAGCCCTCGGAAATATACATTATGGGCGTTTATATTTTTTTCGTTGCAATGTATAACCAAAGGCAATTCCAAGGTTTAATCATCAATTTAACAACTTTCTTTTTTGAGGCGAGATAGCAATCGGTATGGGGCGTAACGTCATCCCTGAACAAGATTTTATCACGAAAAGTGGTAACGGTTAAATGTTGTCGACATCGACAAATCAATCATGTTGTCATATCTAACACAATGTCACGGTTTATGAATATGTGAGTAGTTTTTGTCAAAGTGAAAACAACATCTCTGGGGTCCGGCATGATTTTAGAAGTTGACAATCAAAAGTTCATTTTGGAAATTATGAAGAGGTTTAAATCCAAAATTGCTGAGAAATGGCTTCATAAAGCTTTGGGAATCTGGGAGCGGCAGATACCCTTGGTTTTGTGGATTTGTAATATTTAGTAAGATTATAGCAGCCAATGCTAATGACCCAGTTTATGGAGACAAACCTGTTTATGTTTCGAGTAGTGGTAGAAAACCATGACCTACTCGTGCATGACTCAATCTCAGTCCAATAATTTCTAGAAGAGGGAGTCCTGAAAAAGTTTACTCAGACAACGGTCCTAATTTTGTTGGGGCAAAGGCTGAACTACAAAGAGGGTTGCAGGAATTGTCTCAAAGTGAAATTCACGCATACGCTTTGAGCAAAAATAAAGATTGGACATTTAACCCCCCCCCCCTGGAGCCTCAGATGGGTGGAGTGTGGGAACGCATAATTTGTTGTGCACGACGAGTTATGGCAGGTTTGTTTTTGTGTCCCGTCAGACTTTCAGATGAAATCTTAGAAACTGTCTTTGCTGAAGTTGAGTCTATCATTAATAGTAGGCGACTCACAAAACTCAGTGATGTTTCAAACGATCCCTTACCTCTGACACCCAAGCATCTGCTTTTGCTCAAGGAAGTTATCAATTAGCCGCCAGGTAAATCTTGTGATAGAGATATGTTTCGCAAGCGATGGTGACATGTCCAAAACCTTGCAAATTAATTATGGTTAAAGTGGCCAAAATTGTATTTACCAGAACTACAAAGGCTTGATAAATCGACTGAATTATGCAAAGATATGTCCGTTGGTGACCTTGTGCTTATTGTAGGTGAACAATAAAAGCGGGTGCATACCTGATCTGGGTGCGGTCAGGTTGTTCTTCTCAGAATGTAATAAGGTAAGCTACGTACGTAGAACGCTTTAGATATGTGCATTTAGTTGTTGATTTATTTCGATATGAATAGATTTTGGTAAACCGTCATCACCTACTTGTATTTAATTAAGTCAGGTGGTATTGGTATTAAAGTCATCTTTTTTTATATCGATATTTAGTTGACATGTACATTATCCTTTTAGACGATTCTGTTTTTCCTGGCCGTCACGTTGCTGTACATGTATGCTTAAAAGTTGCCGAATGTTGTGTGAGTATTAGATACTATAGCTATATGATATTTAAGTTTCATAGTTTATTTGTATTGCAGTTTTTTATGTGTAAGTGTTGCTTTCTCTCGCTCGCTCTCCATTCTTTATTTGCATTTGTATGTACATTTATTGTATTTCATTTTTTTTAGAGATTCGTTATTTCATTATTGCAATGTATTTATTTATTTATTTTTTTTTCTGTTTGTTTAGTTTCATCACTACCGATATCACTCCCACTACCACTACAACTTCTTTTATGTGCTGCATTACATCATTACGTATTGCGTGAACAATATAGGTGAACTTTAAAGATGTTTGCGTTTCGAGTTATTGGATTGTAGACAGCAACATTTATATTACTGCTCCAGTCGATCTTTCTGAGAATGCATTCAGTAGTTATTTACCAGAATTGATAAACTTTTCCGTTCATCTATTGACAATCTGCAGTGGCCCCATTTAGAGATTTATTCCTGTTACACCTATGACAGTGATAAAAGTCCGGCCATTTGAAAGTCCTATCCTTAGGCAATGATACTGTTAAATGATAAAACTATAAATGTATATTAAATCCTTCTGGTGAGCCATATATCAGACAAAAAATGACAGGTTTGCAGCTTCAGCTCGTCTGTGTAGTGGTTAGCGTGCAAGACCACAAGGTAAGATATTATTAATCGTTCTATTGCATCTATAGGTTCGAGACCTACCTTTCACTTGACCATATCCCCTCTTACCCCTATTTATTACTTGTAGCAAAATGTTTAATTGTGTTTTTAATGTCTAATATGTGTTCGAAATTCCGTGCTCATTACATTTACAACTTTTTTGTTTTGTCTTTTAAGTGTTAAAGCACCAAAATAGCAAAGTGTTATTACAGAACATTATATATATATTGCAATTTTCAATTTCTAAACTGTCATGATTTGTCTTAATCTCAGCCCATACTTTCCAAGAGCAAATTTCCATCGAGTTTGAGGTTATTTTTCAATTTCAGCGAGTGTAAACCGAAAAATAAATCTAAGAACGGAGATCCCGCGTTTTGTGTAAAGTGATTTTTCTCTTAGGAATAAGCTTTTGAAAAAGAGAGAGAGGGAGAGAAAATAAGAATTTCGACACAAAACACAAAAGGTACACCCCAGTAGAAAAGGACATGAAATAATATACTCTGTACATATACCTCACAGGATGAAAATAAGGGATGCCTTTGGATGGTGAATTATTTTGTTAAAAAAATATCGGCCAAACCAGGCTCATACATATTGCGCACTGAGGGAGGAGTACGCCAAAAATATGCGTTAACACGTCAAAATTTGCGTTTACTAGATGAAGAATACACATAAAATAAATAAATTGTTTTTGTTTTTTCATTAATATGCATATAAACTGCCTATCGGAAAACATTGTAAAATATAAAGATAAAATGTTATATAAATAGAATAAAGAAAACGTTTATTATATCTTTAAAACTAGTATGTCTCTATATCTATTTATTCATGTCATTTCTTGGTGTAAACTATATAGGACATGCGTTACTAAAATGTCAGGAACGCACGTCCCATTAGGACGTGCATTACTACACGTAGGACTTATATTACTTGGGAGCCTTTGTCCTACGGACATTGAATCCTAGTGACGTATGTCCTAGGACTTCCATTCCTAGCAATGCATGCCCTAGGATTTGCATACCCAGGACTTAGTGTCCGGGCGGACTTGCGTTACTAAGACGTGCACTCCTGCCACACCGGTTGTTCTCTTCCTGTCCCAACTATCAATGTTGCCATTTGTGTCGCCCACCTTCACTGTTTTTGAGCTCAAATCATACCAATGTCCTGTAATATATGTGGACGGCACGTTTCAAACTTGGCGTGATGGTTAGTTGTTAACCACATGGTTAACCCAGCCACCTTTTATAGGCATTGGGACATCAGCAAAAATATAAAGAACATCAGTAAATATGTAAGGTGTACTTTGGATATCAACTATGTGCTTCTTCCTAGCAGGTGTATTTACCGTATGCCTTAACTGCAATCTGAATCCCAGCAGCTCAACCTTACTGTGGCCAAGATGACCACCCAGCCCGGAGTTACCGTTATAGGGTTGATTGAAGGAATGACCAGTTTGATCTTTGTCGTTGTTATGGCAATGTCTTTGTGTAACAGTAAGAATTCTCAACGATGAGTGCTGTTTAATTACTGCTTATCGTTATTTATTTATTTATTTATTTATTTATTTATTTATTTATTTATTTGTCCATCTATTTATTTATTTATTTATTTATTGTGATGATTAGCTTATAAATCTAAACTTGCATAAGAACCCCCGCAAGAAAATGCAGTAGAATCGAAGTAGCAAAGAAGCATTAACGCAGTAGTGGTGTGGAGCATAATTGCAGTAGAAATGCAGTATAGCCTACTGCAATTCTACTTCAAAAATTACATAGGGTTGTACAGAGGAGGAGCATAAATGCAGTAGATTAGCAGCATGATAGAAGCAATTTAACATGGATTTATACATTCAGGAAGTGAACTACATTCCCTATACTGTATGTGAAATCTTTGAAGACCCATCTGATAATTACTGGGCTCTTCAAACTATGCTCAGGGAGATTATGGATGAACATGCACCCCTGAAAACTGTCAAAGTGCGAGCCAAAGAGGCTCCTTTTATGAACAAAACCTTACGAAAGGCTGTGCGAGACAAAAAACGACTGCAAAATAAGTTCAGGAGATTCCCTACAGATGCTAACTGGGAAAAGTACAGATCTCAAAGAAACCGTACAACTCGCATAAGGAAACAGGCCATAAAGGACTATTTCAATGCCAAGTGCAGAAATGGACCTAAAAACTGTGATTTCTGGTCTACGATAAAGCCCTTCCTCACAAACAAAGGGTCCAGCGATGGAAACTCCATCATGATACGAACAGAAAATGCCATTGAGACTAAGCCGCAGGAAGTAGCCAATGTGATGAACAATTTTTATGTGAATATTGCATCGCAGATTGGGGGTAACCTTGATCTAGATCAAGGGATGACCTCCAATACACACTTGTGTAACTTAATGTATTTGTTGATCACAATCAGTTTAGATATTTTAACTTTGTCAACAGAACCCAAAACGCTACTGTCCTCAGTGGGTCATGTCTTCAAGGGGGAACAGTACATGTAGTTGCCCGCTGAGGCTAGAGAGTTTATATAGTACAGTACGTATGTGGTAGTGCTGACAAAGTTTTGGACGTCACTGGGATGATGCAGAGGGTTAGATTGAGGTGGACAGTGGTACCACACACATAGCAAATGTTTTTTTAATGATTCTGTATCCCATGACAGGTGTCAAAAGTGAGTTGATTGGACTATGTGTCCCTAGCACCATTATTTACTCTACACATTCCATCCCAGCATTACTTAATTAGTATGGGTGGTTGACATTGATACTGATTTGCTGAGACTACTTTTCTGGAAGGAAATTCTGTATACCGATATCAAATTACTTATTATTATTATTTTTTGCCTACTCACTTTGTGGGCCAACATTGGATACAGAACAATGGCTCCCAGATTGCAGCCGTACTGTAATAGCTCAGTCATTTCAACCGGGGAAAAATTATCAATTCTTTTAGATATATATAATTTTGGAACTGTTAGAATTATATTGCTGTGAAGCATTTTGTTGCTTACTGTATAGAATAGGACTATTAGGTAGTCTGCTTTTAACTACCACTTAGTAGGTTTGTTCTAATTTAAAGAATTTATAACTTTAAAAGCATTTGTAAAATTCACAATTTTCCTGCTTGAAATGATCTAGGCATTACTGTACCACATTGATACACCTTGTCTTAATCTGGGCCGGGTAGCGCTAACACTCGCCAATTTAGCCAAATGCTAAAACTGACTAAAATTGGCTAAAGAAAAAGGGCTTGATTTGACATGTTTTAGCCAAATTATAACCATTTTGATAACAAATTGACAAAAAAGTGGTGATATGGCTTAATGAAAAAGATTGCTAGCGCTACCCCAGTTAATGATATCAGCACCAATGTCTACCCTGACATTTATTTGCCCATATTAGGGATGACAGAGTTAGAAAACCAGGCTGAGTTTAATATATCAAATATATACCAGCATTTTTTTTGCTTTGTTTGTTTTAGGTTTTGAGTACCTTTGTCTGAAAGCCAGTCCACTGACGGATAAACAGCATATGAGATACAAAAGAGCCATTCAGAAGTATATGTTAACCCTACAAACGGGACCCCATAAATATGGCATGCTCAACCTTCTGGGGGTACTTCAATACCAAGATGGGAAAACAAATGAAAGTATTAAAAGCTTTGAAAGCATTCTTAAAGAAGATGGTGAAAACTTGAATGCCTTAGCCAACCTGGAGTACGTTTACAGGGAACTTTCTTGTGTCTCAAAAGCCGAACAATATAAGAAGAAGTTAGAAGAGTTGATGGGTGGAGAGGAACCCAGTGATGAAGAGAGAAAACGACGGGGGAGGTGTTTATTTGAGCAGGGTTACATGATTGCATTTGATGTAAATGTAACAACAAAGCAGGAAAAACGCAGCAAAGTTTGTGCACGAGCTCACAAGTCATACATGCAGGCGTGGCAAGAGGCAGGAGATTTAATCGATGAAGTGGAAAGAACTGAATGGTGTTTTTTCATTGCTCACAATTTGTCGCAAATTTACCGTAATCAATCAGTTCTAGAGAGCATAGAGCTGAACAAAGACAGTGCATTTATGTTGATCATTAAGCTCCTTCATAAAGTGACAAAAGGCAAAGACAACCATTACAAAGCACAAGGATGGCTTCACTTGGGTTGTGTTTTGGGCAATGTGTTCATTGAAAACAGCAAGAAACACACAGAAGCTGAAACCATTTCACATATTTCAGCGGAAAAAACAATGCAACAGCATAATCAGCAGCAGGCACTTCAAGATGACTTCAGTAAGCTCAGTGCCTATATAGATTCTAAGCAACAAGAGAAACCCAAGACTGATGTACATGTACCCAATTTCATTAAGGAAAATGGCTTACTGGAATACTTCAAGGAGCCTGAGCTTTGTTTCTTTTGGGCAGAAAAATATGCCCCTGAAAGAACAGATACCCTTAACAGATATGCTAACTATTTGAAGAAAAGGGATGATAAAGATTCTAGAGATTTTGAGAAAGCCGAGACCCTTCTCTTGAAGTCCATAGAGTTGGATGATGGAGAAAGTAATTGGTTTGCATACCTACTAATGGGCAATATGTATAAGGATCTATATAGAAATAAGTGGTATGACAAAGTGCTTTGGGGCAAGGGAGAGCTCCCAGAGAAGGAATTGGGTATGGCTGCTCAACAGTATTACAAAGAGGCTGTAAAAAGGAATCCAACACCACAACTCTATGCCAATCTAGCTGAAATAAGTCATTTTCTTGGTATTAATGAAAGGAGAGAGGTCATTGATGAGGACCAGATCTTAGAAGCGGTTATTAACTTTAAGCATGCTTTGGAAAGTTTGGATGGAGAAAAGGATCCAAGTATTCACCAGAGAAGAGGTCGGTGTTTAAAAGACTTTGACCAAGAGAAGAGTGCTGTTGAAAGTTTCAAGAAGGCTATAGAAACCCAAAAGCATAAAAGCAATCAAACGTATAGCTTCCGCTGGCTGATTGACATCCTTGCACAATGGTGCCAGAAAAACAAGCAGAGGCTGAGAGATGTTGATGTTGAGGAGGCAAAGAGTCCTGAAAATAATTCTGTAAATCAATCAGAAAACATCTCAGAACATGCAAAAGCCAAAGCAGCTTGCAAGAAAACAAGAGGAGAACTACAGTATTGGTTTGGTGAAGGATGCGACAAATTTCAACAGAAAACCCTAGATAAAGAGATTCAGCGATTTTGGAATCCAAAAGACGACAAAATTACAAGCTGTCCAGATGTCATGGTGGATTTGTACAGTGATCTTTTGCAGAATAATAAGAAGATGCTAGCAGACCGTTTGAAGAAAGGCTTGAGTGACTTACTAGCACACTATGAAAATAGCACTAACCAACCAAGGCCAGGTCCTGGTGAAGCACAGACAGATGCTCCTGTATCAGGGGATAAGGCTGCCTCCAAAATGCTCAATGTTGAGGTGACACAAACAGAAGCAGAAGCAGATGTAAGTAAGCCCCGCCCCCTGCATATTTTCTTGAGTGAATCATGTACACTGATCGTCTTTGAATCTAATACATATAACAATTATGTTTTGATATATTATTTCACTTTTGGTGTTTTTTTTCATATTTTAAATCATTTTAAAATACTTTGAGAGCTAAGAGTTTGCTGTACAGAAAAGTATAATATTGTTGTTTTATATTGCAAAGCTAAAGTTACTACTTAAGGTACATACACACCGAGGATTGCTGGAGCGTGGATTCCCAGTAACACATACTGTATAAACCACTTCTACTAGTTTCTTATACGATTTGAATAAATTTGACATGCAAAGGGATAAATTGAATAGATCGATCACTCAATCAGCTGTAAAAGAGCTCAAAACTGCTCCTTTCTTTAAATTTTTGGTTAAAAATTTGACCTACTTTCGTGACCTACTTTTCTGGCCCATTGACATACAGCATAAAAAGCTAGCAGAAAAATCCATTCAAACATCCTTTTCAGGTAAAATTAAATACCAGTAATGCCTTTTGGTAATTCTCTTAGTTATAGTACTTGAAACTATATGCTGGCATTTGGTTGACTTTTGTGGCAAAAAGTTGACTCGATATGAATCTTTAATGAATGCATTCAGAACAAATTGATCTGCAGTCGAACAGATCTATGGACTAATTATGGTAGACCCCACTTAAAAGAAAGCCACATAATTCCCTGATGGTCTCTCTGCCTCCACACATGCCATTGCTGTGGGGGCGTAGCAATTAAACCTCAGAGCTGAGATTTAATCTGTTTAATGGTGCGTGTGGAGGCAGAGAGACCATCAGGGAATTAAGCAGCTAGCTTTTAAGTGTGATCAGCCATATTTGTCTGTTGATCAGTTTGTCCATGGATCACCTGTTCTTAATGTGCTCAGTGAGAATAAAGATTATAGAATACATTTAATAGATACCAGATCCAATCATTAACACTTGTGTTTACAAAATTACAGTATATACTTCAGGTATACTTCATAGCTGGCATATTTTTGGTAATTTCTCATAATATTTAACCAGTTTTACTAAATTATATAAATTTTATTTTTTAGAGCAATTATACTGTTTCCAGGAAAAGAAAAAAAATGATAATTCATAAAAATAAATTGGATGGAGATCATGAACTATTACTTGGAATGAATAATAAAGCACTGGTATAGGTGAATATCAAATATTGCAATTTCAGGTTTTACCTGCTGGGAGTAATCTGAAGGAGTTCTTCTCAGACTATGTAAGGAAACTTGATGAGGTTGATAAGGAATTCGAGAGAAAGGCAATGGTAATGTAACTTACATGTGTTAGTCGTGTTTGATTCTGTAAAAAATGATTTCATATCCTGACAAAATCATGGTTTATTTCACCAGCTCCTCTGAGCAGGAATCTGTCATGTTATCTGTTACTGTAACAGTAGCTACAGTACTGGGAAGGAACTTCTATCCTAGATACTACAGTGTAATATAAGTTTATCCTGTGGTTTTTTAAGCAATCGCAATGTCATTTTTAGGCTCTAAAAAGTGGCCTTTCCCTCACATACATGAACATATCTTATAGAATCCATCCACCAGAGCAGTCCAATAGTTACTTTCAATTCATAGAGATGACAGCAAGCTTTTGCAAACAATTTTGAAAATACACAAGCCAAAGTTCACAGCTCTTCGTGTGTGTGTGTGTGTGTGTGTGTGTGTGTGTGTGTGTGTGTTGGGGGGAAAGGTTGTGTTAGAGGTTAAATAAAAACCCCTAAATATCTGGATTTAGATTAATGTGACTGTTTTCTTTTCTTTTTTTTTCACTGTAGGCCAAAACTACAGAAGATACTGAAAATGCAGAAGGAACAGAGAAGAGCAGTGAAAGTCAACAAGTGGTGCCATGTGAACAGGACCTCCCTCCGACACCTCCTGTTCCGCCATCTTCCAGTGAGGAGTCAAGTTCTGCTCCTGCTCCATGCACAGAGGAAAAGAAAACCAAAGATGCTCAGACAATGACAGATTCTGAAGAAAATTTGCACTTACAAAATAAGAAATTTGAACGTTGTGATTCCACATTAGAATCAATCCCTCCACCTCCCCGCAATGCTAAAAACAAGAAAGGAAAACTGTATGACTTCTATGTTATTTACTCAGAAGAAGACTCGGACTGGGTGTCTTACCACTTATTGACTACTCTGGAGGGCACGCAAGGGTTTAAGGGTTGTGTCAAAGAGAGAGATTTTATTCCAGGTACATTAATTCTTAAATCGATATTGGAAAGCATTGAAAACAGCTTTAAAGTATTAGTTATATTTTCAAGCAGAAAACCGGACGACATGTATGAATATGAAGTGGATCAAGCTGTCTTGCAGAGACTTGACTCAAAACAGAATTCTTTTATAATTCCAATTTGTAGAGAAAGCAAGACTGATGTGCCAAAAAAACTAAAAGATGTTAATGCATGTTTTATGGTGAGTGCCCACGATTGGGAAAAACTGGAACGAGCTCTGGATGATGACAATGCACAGTAATATGTTAGGAAAACATATGAACTATATGTTGATTATTGTGAGGGTTGAACTATTTGTGATCAGTCAAACCCCCTGCGAAAATTTGTTTCATGTTATGTTCACTTACGGTTCTCAATCTCTTCTAGATCATTTGGTGTATTTTTTTTTTACAGTTTTAATGTTGTTCTGTAATGAATGTAACAGTTCAAGAACTGTTTTTGGGGGAGTCCTTCTGAATGTCCTAGGACAGTTTAAGAACATTTTTCATTAAACGAGAAAAACATGTTCTAGGACAGACTGAGAACCGCAAGTGAATGTTAAATGAGACAAGTTTTCACAAGGGACTTCTTGTGAAGTTCTTTGTTGACTGGATGCAAAGAATTTGAAATTAGAGAGCACCCAGACTGCAGAGAACAAGGAGATTACTAAAATTGATAACAGAAGCAAAAAGTTTATTGGACTTATTAATATTAGGATACCAGTATTCAGTTGAAATTTAAATGAGTACTGTTTTTCCCTTCAGAATAAGTTTTCCTGAAATTTTCATAAAAAATTGTGAAGAAATTTTAGACATCCTATCCACTATAAAACAGATGACCAAAAATGATGACAGAAAATCGTATTTCATTGACAGTAGTAATGTGTTTCAGACAAAAGGTATTACAAAAGCTATTGAATCTAGGAAGCAGTTTGGCTCACCCTTTGTCCAAAAAAGGAGAAAATGTGCCTTCCACTGTTATTAGAAAAAAAAAAACCAAATGAAGTGGGATAATAATTATTTACTCCTAATGTGATACTACAGGTGACTGAAACTTTTTGGGATTCAGTTATGTGAGCAGGTGCATAATTTTAGTTATTCACTGTTCATTGCAATGTGAACTGAAATGCTTTTTCTACAGTATTTAGTTCAGATAATGTGGGATATATATATATATATATATATATATATATATATATATATATATATATATATTTTTTTTTTTTTTTTTGAGGGGGTTGGGGATGTCCACAGGACACATATCTTATTAGTTTACTTTATGATGACGTACTGCAAAGGACACAAACCTTTAGCAAAATGTGTTATAGGCATTTGATGCCATTATTAAAGTGGGATAATATTTACAATCTTGATGTGATGCTATTTTTTTGTGATCTGATGTTTTTTGACTGACAGTTAATTAGATACATGATGTTATAGTGTGTACGTTAGTGTGCATGTGTGTGTGTGTGTGTGTGTGTGTGTGTGTGCGTGTTTATTGTCATTGCAATGTGAATTGAAATGCTGCATTTTTAGCATTTTAGTCCAAATAATGTGGGATACATCAAATAGTATTTTAATGTATATTTTGTCAACAGGCAATCATCTCCTAATAGGTTTTTATTTATTTTTACTTTTTGAGCTGAGGCAATGCCCACAGTATTACGTAAATGCACAAGTTCTGCAGGAACTAAAAGCTAGACTCATACAAGCCATTCAGTAATGTATGTCTGTCTATGTGTCAGTTGTTTATAATGATTTGTGGTAATTACATGATTTTTTCAATGGAAGGATATTGTGAACTTTACAGAATACTGTTTTTTTTAAGCTGAAATTTCTTAAAATAAAAACATCCCTATTGAGAAGTAGCAACAAAATTAAAAAGCATGTTACTGTGCAATAAAAACACCACAAATGCTGTCTAGAAATATCATTTTTGTGACTATAAAATTATATGTCTGGAAGTTTGATCATTTTTGTCCATTGCAAAAGATCAAGTCATTACTGTAGTTTTTTTGCAATGCAGGCATGACAATGTGACAAATTTAAAATCTTTTTCTGCAAATTTTTGCAAGCAAGATTTTAACCTGCAGAGAAAGGCCACCAATTTGTTGGGCTGCTTGATTAAAATTTCGTATTTTAAAGGGTAAAATGTGTCTTTTTGTATTTAATTAGGGTTAAATGAAATCTTGTCTGTAATACCTTGTCACAGTGGGTATGAGAGTAGCAAAAGTGACATTTCCTAATGTCAACAAGTATCTCCTTGCTGCCACCAGAGGGCACTCTCTGGGATCGCTCCCAATGAGACTGTTACATTGATAGATCTAACTTTGCAGGGAATCTTGCTGATTGCAATCAGATTTACACACCTTCTGGTGTTGAGTAGAGTCCAGAAATGCTTGTGATAATATGAGCATGTTGGAAAAGAGGCATGTTAATCTGATTGCATTCAGCAAGTTCCCCTAGTGTTGGATTGGTCAACTTAGAATGATAGCTCCATTGGGAATGGGCCCTTACAGAGGTGTACCCTCTACCAGGGCGAGTGATAGATTTTTTACAAATATTCACAGATATGTCTCTAGGTAGATGGATGGTCATTTAAAGTTCAACTCAGTGGAGTTGTAAAAAATCTATCACTCGCCCTGGTAGAGGGTAACAGAGGTGTTTGGCGCTTGTTTTGATGTCACAGAAAAGCACTGTCATTTTATAGATGAAGAAAATGTTGATGTTGGGTTCATATTAGGAGCAGAACTTTATTTTTAATTTGAAGATTGAACAATATTTGTTAATTATTTTTGTGCAGATTGTTCTATTCATAAAACTCAAAAACTTGCAAAGAAATGACCAGTGTAAGTTCTGTTTCACAGAGGATGATATTCATCATCTTATTATTAATTAGATGTTATCTGTAACATCTTTTTGTGAGATTTACATTTCTCTTAGTTATAGTCCTCTGTGGAGAATATCAAAGTTAGCTCTCATTTTGTTAACAGGTATATATTAATTGAAAAGATGATATCCTTACTAAATTAGCTGTACAGAGTTCTCTTTATTTAATTTTTACTTTTAAAGATGATCATAGTGAAAATGATGTCTTGAGTTTATTGGTGCCAAAACTTACACCATTCTTACAAATTTGACAATAAAATGAAAAATGATTGAAAGATGAGTTTTATACACAATAGCTTTTCCTTCCTCAAGTCTAAACTTCATTCGAAAGCGTGCATGATCCAAATGTCTGGTGGAAACCCTCACCAGTTATAGAACCAGTCCCTGTTATTGTTTGCACAGTCCAGACACTGCCATTAAATACAATAAAAGAACATATTAAGTCTTTTTTTAATTAATAAGTATGTCATTTCCACTGCACATTACAATAAAACATAAGTGGATGTTTAGGATGTTATCTATTTTTATCATTTTCTTTCATTAATAGCACTGCACAAAGTACAGAGAAAGCTACTGCAGCCTCTGTTTTTATATCACGTCATTCTGAGCTTTCACTTTCAACTTTCTTTGGTTTAGTTTTAGGTGGAGAAGAGGCTGAGCTGTATCAGTGGAACAACTTTTAGAGTTGTGATGTCTGCTAGTACACCCTGAAATACAAAAAAAAAAAAAATCTTTAAATGAAGAAAATAAATTTACCATATGCATTGTGATAAAAAGTGCTTATAAAGTTAACACAACAAGAAAAAGTTATCTCAAAGTTATTCCAGACGAAATATTAAAATCAAATCATAGATGAAGACTGAAAAGATTTAAACTCTTTGAGCTCTAAAGAGTTTCAATGATAATCAAACATTTTGCATGTATGAGATATCACATTATTTTATAAATACTGATGCGTTAAAAATTAGAACGTGGTTATCTAAAGACCTACCTCCGCTGCAGAAGCTGTTCCAACCTGTAGGAGATTGGTCTTCCTAAATGAAAAAATTGCCACAGCTAACACTGAAAGAGGAAAAATGAAATAAAATATATTTTTCATTTGATTCCATTATCTGTTGCAGAAGAAAAAGCTGCCCATAAAAATTCGAATATTAGATATAATATTAGATAGAATATCACCTGTGAGTTGTAAGCTGGTATTCTGTCCCAGAACTTACCTGCCAGTATCTCCAGTGAGTTGTAAGCTAGTACTCTATCCCATAGCAGCAAGACCTGCTCACTATCAAGGTAACCTGAGAATGCTCGTATTAACCACTTAAATGCAATTCTCAGCCTAGAAAAGAAATATTACAACTTATAAAATCATACAAGTTTTACTTATGGGTAAAAAGTGATTAATCTTTTTGTAATGGTTTACTTTAAAAAAAAATCCAGATATACTTACGGCTGAGCCTGTATGGTCTTTAAATGCAGAAATAACTGAGGTTCTTGTGATTGCAGTAGAGATTCAAACAATAGACACAAAGACACAATACTCTGGAAAGACAAAGATGTATTCACAATACTTGACCAGATTTATCAAGCCACAATGTAAAAAAAATGCTGCATTTTATTTATGAAAGTAAATTCAAATTATCAGTTTTGTACTTTAAGCTGAAGTTAACAATTTTTACAACCACTGTGCTATAAATAATACAAGATATGCAGAAAAGAAACATGACTTTGGGAAATTAACAAAATTTGAAATGTGTTAGTATACCTTTAAAGATAACCTACCTGAGGATGAGAGGAGATCTGGTGAAGCCTGAAGAAATACCTCATGTAGAGCTCTCTGAATACGTAGTACAGGACTACTGGATCATCATAGATGTAGCACAGTGGAGCCACTGGAATACAAGACAAAACTGGACATTCTTTTATATGGAGAGATGTTAGGAAAGCTGCAAAATAATTCTACATGTTTGTGATCAACTTTGTCCACAGTGGTGATATTTATTGCACTGCACTGCACTCTCTGTCGATCATGAGTAAGGATATTCTTCATAAAATTTGAAAAATGTGTTAATTGGGGATATGGTATACAAATTATTTATACAAAGTAAACTAAAAAAGCTTATCTTTAAAAAACAAAAGTTTTATTGTGGTGTAGTAAACAGTGCAAACAACCTCTGGTATATTTGTGTCCAATTTTTATTGTCATTTGTACATCCTTAACGAAAAATTCTTAGAGTATCCTATAAGATCCTATAGGATCCTATAGGAAATTGGGCTAATTTCCTATAGAATCCTATAGTAGAGATCCAGTAGGACTTTTTCATGAGGGATATGATGTACAGTGCAGTGGGTGTTATTGGCAACAGTAGAGTCATGCTGATATAGACTGAGGTGAATTACCAGAGATCTCTGAAACACAGGGTGGTCTGAAAACGCCAGACTATATATATCAAAATGTCAGTCTGGCTCCCTTGGGACAAACTACAGTGATGAAATTCAGCACAAGCCAAAGTGGACATGTTTGGGATTAGTTTCACCAGTGCTGACACCTATCTTCTGAGAATAGAGGCTAGTCCACAGTGATCACTGACACTGCTGACACCTATCTTCTGAGAATAGAGGCTAGTCCACAGTGATCACTGACACTGCTGACACCTATCTTCTGAGAAAAGAGGCTAGTCCACAGTGATCACTGACACTGCTGACACCTATCTCCTGAGAATAGAGGCTAGTCCCCAGTAATCTCTGAGACTGCAGTGGACCAGAAACTCACCATACATAGCAAACCCGTGGAATGGAATAACACCATTGGGAGGATAGTGAACTGCAAACTCCTCCACACCTAGCTTGCCGCGGATGTATGACTTCGGGGGGTTGGCACTGCTGTGTTTAAAGTGGTCCAAGACTTGGGTATCTCGGGAAAAGGGGAATAAAACCTGGGGGATAAATGATATATTATATATATAATGTTGTTATGGTGCATTTTGGCCTTCAGATGCATTTTCTAACACACACTTACACACATAAACAGAAGAACAAACAAATAAACAAAACCTGACATAATGAAAAATAAATAACTAGACACGAATTGTAATTGACAAATCAGAATTTCAAACAAATAAACAAATGAATGACGATAATAATAATATTATAAATGAATAAACTGGGAATTTCAAAATGGAGACAATTTTAATGGTTGAATTTTTTCTGGATCAGCAATAATTACTTCAGGGGTATTATATATCATCACCAGTGCTTATCATCCTACAATAATACCACCAGATTTCTCAGAAGCAATTTTCAAGACATTAATTGAGTAACTATACCAATATAACAATAAATCAAAAAGTCACATTTTCAAATCAAACGATTTCCCAGATAACACTACAGAGTCAATCAGAAATAATCTGGCTTACTAAAAAAAGATGAGATAATGCCGTTTGAGTGGACATGTACTAATACTGAGCAGAAAAATAGGAAAATACTTAAGATATTTTGATTGTTCAGAATATATCTCAGGTAATGAGAAGCAATGCCTGTGTAATGCTGTATTTAGTTGGATAGTTTTATGACAAAATGGCCGAAATTAATATATATTATTTAAGTAAACACATGATTAACAACACACACACACACACACACACACACACACACACACACACACACTATACTGGATGTAATCAACTTTAATCAGTGCTAAAAATTATTCAATCAATAAATAATTTGTACCATGATGACACAATAAAGTGGTAAAGAAATTCCATAATCACCAAAGTAAAATATTTTTGGAGAACTCATTAAGTTGTTAGACTCTCTGTCTGCAACGTGAAGATTATTTTTTTTTCTTTTAAGTCCCTGTATTGCCCCAAGTGCTTCTACAAACAAAACAATAATGAACTACTCCAAGGTTAATTAACTTATCTAAAAATTCTGAAGGATACTGAAAATGTTTCACAACCAAAAAGATCATCTAGTTGGGACTGGGCAGGTACTCTTAGTAAAGCAATATACATGTACAGTAATTAAAATCTTACCTGATAAATGTAGTCTTCAAACACAAAATACTGGTCATCATTTGTAGCCGTCAGTTTAACATCCTGGATATAAAAAAGAAAAGAACTACTGTGACAGTTTATCAGAAGAAAAACATTTAAATATATGTATATGATTAATAACAGTGAAATGAAAAAAAATTAAATACTCTTTAAGAAGTATAATGATATATTATAATATTTTCTTTACTCACCGCTACCAATTTCCCTGCCAATATTGAATATTACATTTAACATCATATTATTATGATATGAATGTACTTTTAGTATACAGGAAAGAACATGAAAATGAATGACACTTAAAAATTAAATTGAATGCATCTCATAATTAATGCACTTTATTCTTAATATCGCTGTGATTGCTGTCTCCCAAACACCCCTCTCTCCCCTGAGTTAATGAGCTTAAACAACAGTAATTACAAATTATTCCATAAAGTCTGCACTGGGAATTAAATCACAGGTCAAGGCAATTAATCATTCTGTTGTTGAGTTTTTTTATCTGAGATTTTTAGTCACCCTCTTTACTCCCAGATGGAACAAAATACCCATGATTAATGTGTGTGAGAATGTCAAGCACTTATAACGATAATGGTCTTCACTGATATTAGACAAAAGTGACAGAGTCAGGTCATTTCGGTGAAAAGGTCAAGGTCAGGGTCAAGGTCAGGATCAAGGTCAGTCTTGATTTTTATGACTTCACCGGAATCTGTGATGTCGAGAACTTAATTACTTGGTTGCTGACTGTGATAATCAGATGATCAAATGTCAAATATAATAACGACAGTCATTAATTCTTCAACAGAACTGTCATGGCTGTATCCTATGGAATATATTCTGTGTGATTGTGGTAGACTGTTTGTTATCTTCTAATATGTTGTTTTGGGTCCTTTTTGACAAAATGATAAACATTTTTTTAAAAAATCAGGCTGCGTATTAAGCAGTGATGAGACTGCCATTTTGTGAAAAAATACATGGTGTGGGGTCCAGACCCCCCTTCCAGTTATTATTATAGATCTGGATGGATCTAAAAAAAAAAAGATCCCCGAGTCCAGCTCACCTTATAAATGAGACTATCTACCAGGAGATCATGCTGCACCACATAAGACTTCAGCTGCTCATAATATAACTGATCCTGAAAATATAATATATACAGTATTATCTTTGTTTATTACTTTCTTTTTCATTAATTTCCATTTGCAATGTACTTAATCACCATTTCAGTGGCATATTTGTTTACATAAAAATTCTTCTTCTAAATTAGTATTTTAGAATGTGTTACTTCAAGGAAATGTCATATAACACGTATGTGAAAATTGTAAAAACTGAAAATCCTGAAAAAGTAACTGGCAATATCTGAATGCATTTAGACCAAAAGCTTTAAAAAAATCAAAATGAATATACAGAACATCCTGAAGTCAGGCGTAACCCTGAAAACTTCCAACCATGATAGCATCATTAATAATTGATAATTAATTTTTTACTTTTAAGTTAGACCAGTCTATTCCTAATGGAAACAGGCCTTACAGCACATAAAAAGAAAAATACACTTCTCCACATTACACCAAGCTCCAAAAAGACAGAACCCAATCAAAGTCAGATATCAATAAAGTATGATAACAAAATCATAACTCTCAATCACCACTCTGCATGTTGGAAGTCCAATAAGTTCTTCTTGACCAAGGCAAGAAATTGATTATCTGTGACACTTGATTAAAAGAAGGCTGACAAATCACCTCCGTTCTAGCCCAATTACATCACAATTAGAGAGCTAATCCTCAGGAGGTCTATCATCTATCAGACGATGTCATTTAAACTACTTTCTCCCTCAAACAGTCACTTAAAGTACGTCCATGCAGGAGGTATTGTATTCTCTGCATAACACTATTTCCCATCTCCAAATATGACTTTGCTGAACTGCCAACCAAAGATATAGTTTGTTTCAGCAAATATTTCACATAGACAAAAATTCAGTCGGCTGAAATGAGCAGAGTATTTCAAATAACAGATTGCAATAAATCATTGTACAATAATTTATTGTGTTTTTGATAGTATTTCTTCATTCAAAATAAATAAGTTGCCTTTCTGTTCATGAAGAAGATATAATTTATATGTCTAGAGTTATCAATTTCAACAAATGGTCTATAGATAATAATCCGTTGCTCCTACTCAGCTGATGTAAATCATCAGAATCATGATTTGTCTTTTTTAGCTGTTCTTACGTTCAACTGGCAACAATTGTCAATTTTGTTCATTATGTTTGCGGTGCAATTTCCCTCAGGTATTTCACATCTTTTCGCTGATGTCGAGGTTACATTTTCAAATGTCTGTCAGTCTGTCTGTCATCTGTTTTCTTTGTAATTGCCCTGTAGCATTACTTCTAAGCTTTTCTGTTTGCAGACAAAGTGAATTAACTTATGCATAGATACAAACAAATATGTGAGCAAATCTGTTTTTTTAGATAATTCATTTTCAATCCAGAGTTTTCCAGTAAGGCAATAACCTTAGGCAAGAGTACGCCAAACATACTGCCACTCACTGTAATTGACCTTGAAGGTGTCATTCACCCTGTCTCCCCCCCCCCTCCCTCTAGACACAATACAATAAAGGTTAATCCCTTTCCATCTACATGATAATCAGCTATATCTTAGTCTGAGATACTCTTTAAGCTAAGGCAGAAGTGTACATCACACAGATCCAGGGATTCCTATATAACTACCACATACCTTTGATCCTCAAAAATTTACTGCTCCCCCCCTTACTCCAAATGGCCTTATACAGATTTCACCGATGACAATCCTTTAAATCCAACAGAACTGTATACAATATATTTAGTTTTTTCCAACATATTTCCAATTCAACATATTTTTACATATTTTCAACATAAATTGCTATCAGCTCAAGAGGCTTAAATGTCCGTCACACCTACCGAATCAGCTAGGTTAAAGATAATTACCCCCTAACAGCTTTACTAGGTGTGTCAGACATTTAAGCTGGCCAAGTTGACAGCAATTTAGTTAGACTCCCCAGGGGGATAGATCGATCTAAATATCTGTGGGAATGGTCTCTAAGTATGGGCATCAATTCATCAGTAATGTTCAAATTTATGAATTGTATGGCAATGTATTTGGCCTAAGTCATAAGGAACAAAAAATTATGATTATATGAATGTGGTCTTTCAAATATAAGGGCATTTTTTTCATCTGACCACCTGTAATGACTTGTTAGTATTATAGAGCTTAAACAAATTAAGGAATATAAGGGAATTTAATAATGGTATAATTTCTGCTAATATACCTTTATGGTCCTTTTGATATATAATCTAGACTCTATTTCATTCATTATCACACAACCTAATTCACTCTTCACAGGAAAATGCAACATCTTTTACCATTCAAGTACTCATTCTCAAACAAGAAAAGAATGAACAAAAAAACTTAGGTAATAAATTCTTTATGCTATGTCCAATTACTGAAAAATGTCTGGATTTATGAAACACATGAAAAACAAATCAAACTGTCCCTTGATGCCTATAACCACCATCCCCTAATGAGGATAAATGCCACTCAGTATTAACTCCCTGGCTACCAGCCTCAATATACATGTAACATGATCAACAGTCTATTCATTTGGCCTGATATTTCAATCACTTTAATTTCAGTGATCAAAGCAGAAAGAATTTACTTTCTGCTGGCACTTGGCAAGTCATCATGTTTGATCTGGAGATAGATAAAAACAACTGAGCTAAAGTAAATGAGACGGCGTAATTAGTTGATGTCTGAGTCCTTTTAGGTCATCTTACAAAGTCAAATTGGGTCTGAACATATTTCCTGAGCTTGCCAAATTAATTTGACAATAAAAAAAGAATGTGTCACCCCCCCCCCCAAGAAACAGTACTAATCATCCTCATTGTCTGTTAATGTCTTTATGCTCTACAAATCATATAACTCAATCTTTTCATGAGGAAAATTATGAATTTTACAGATATTGTATTTTTTCAAGTCATAAATTCAAGTCAAAAAAGTTAGAACATTCCTTTAGTATAATAGCAACAAAACTGATAAACAGGCTACCTTATAGGTCTATTGTATACAGAAAAAGCACTACAGATGTTACACAGAAAAATATTTTTAATGTTTTTAAAATTATGTACCTGAAAAATAAAAGAGGAAAATCCAGACATAGAGACAGTTATATTTGCCCCTGTAATTTTGCCACTGCGTCATCTTACATTGCCAAAGAAAATGAAATTAGGAAAGTGGCTTTCAGGTAAGAAAAACACTCTTAATTTTTCTTTGATGTCAATTGGCCTAATAATCACATTTGATATATGTCAGGGGATTTCGTTTACAGTCTTGTCCAATCAATATATTATGTAATACATGAGAATGTGTCTTTCTCCTTGTACCAGCTGTACGGAGAAATCAATGTGTGAGGGAAAAAAAAAACTGACTCAACAATGATTTTTACTTCTGCTACCGTATATTTAATTTTAGTTTGAATCTCGAATACAATGTTTAGTCAAGTTGTATTTTGTGGAATCAGTGACATATTGCCTACATAATTAATTTTATACAATCATAACAATCCAGGTTTTCCCACAAGTTTAAAGCACTTCAAAACTTTTATGATAGTGTGAGTATGAAAGTATGTGTATGCATGTGCATGCGTAGGTGAGTCTGCGTGCATAAGCCGTGATTTTCGATTTCTCAGAAGACCCTGCTCAAAACAGACCACAGTCTACAAAACTATCTACATATATCATCTGGTAATGCCAAAGACTATTTTGTCCTGATGTACAATATCTTTATTTTTTTTTTGGTCTCTAAATGCATTTTTCATTGACCTGACGGATATTATGATCTCATACAATTCTACACATTTTATTTTCCATTTTGTAGGCAATGATGGATCAGAATCCAATTTCTCTAAATCCAAAATAAAACACTGACCACCTTTATACTAATCCATTTTGTTGCCAGGATATTAACTGGCTGAAGTTAATTGAACAATTATCAAATTGAACTGCACCGGGGGCAAACTCGGGGAAGCAGCTTTTTAATTGATTGCTTAATTTGCCTTAAAACACGCTTTTGGTGAACCACATGTGCACACAAACATGGTCTTTGGGAAAAAAAAAACTTTTCAGTGTTTCTGTCCTTCAGGCCACAAAGAGCTAAGTGAGAACATTGCCCAGTAAATTGATAAAATGATAACATTTTACTCCTTTAGTGTCAATAGATCTAAGTAGGAATAGTGCCCAGTAAATTGATAAAATGATAACATTTTACTCCTTTAGTGTCAATAGATCTAAGTAGGAATAGTGCCCAGTAAATTGATAAAATGATAACATTTTACTCCTTTAGTGTCAATAGATCTAAGTAGGAATAGTGCCCAGTAAATTGATAAAATGATAACATTTTACTCCTTTAGTGTCAATAGATCTAAGTAGGAATAGTGCCCAGTAATATTGATAACATTTTACTCCTTCACTGTCAGTTTTACTGTCATTCCCCATAGGACTGCAAATAATACCACCAACACGTACATGTATGTTCACTTTGGTGCATAATGAAATCATTTTTTTTTTTTTTGCATTTAGTCCAGGTCAGTGACATATGCAGTCAGATGGTCTTCAGCTCAGCAGTAGGCAACATCTTGACGGGTGACTCCAAGTTACCAAAGTTTTCATACAATCAGGTGTCCAACATCATATTAATTTTATTCATCCTAACATATAGTGTCATGTGTATATGAAATTCTTTGTCTTTTGGGTTTACAAGACTTTATTAAATATACATTATATTTACATGCATGGAACTAAAAAGATGACATCCTTGTTCTTGCTGGCACCCTGATATCATGTTAAAATATGCAAAATGTTTCTAAGATTATAAAAACATCAACCTCCCTTCACTACCATTGACATCCCATTGTTTTTCAACATTTCAAAACATCTCACAAAACTTCCCATCAGACATGATTTTCAACCTGAAATGAAGGATATCTGGCAAGGAAGGAGGAGGAAGGTTTCCCTCAAAGCCGCAGGAATCCTTTCACATTTGCCACTAGTTCGAATTGCTTTTTATGCAATCATGTCCTCGTTTCTGTTGGGAACTAATCTGTTATCCTGAAAGCATTTTCCACTGAATAAAGCACCAAGAGCCCCCATGATGCAACTTGAACTTCTTTCGACTAAAACATGTTTGTTTTTATAAGTCCTCTTAAGGACATGGTTTTAAAATTTCCCAGAAATGTTTTTCTTTTCTTTTTGTTTAGCAATACCTTGAACTTCAATTGTTTCAGTTTCTTAGAAGTAGTACAATCCTCTTTTAATGAATCATTTGGTTAGAAAAAAAGCAAGACCTTGGAGTTCTTGAATGCTTTTTATAGAGACACACAAATATATTTTTTCTCATCACAACCAGAATGTCTAATGTATCATCTTTGGAAGGTCTAATGTAATACAGGTAATATATTACAATGATTTAACACTTGCTGAGACTTTAAAAACTTTTATTATTAGTGTATACAGCTGATACAAATACAAACTCTCTACTGCCCTAAAGTTGACCAAGTGCTATATAACCAAACACAATGGGGCTGATCTTGAGGTGTGTGCGTGTGTGTCACAGTGTGTGTGTGTGTGTGTGTGTGGGGGGGGGGGGCACACTTCCCCATGCCATCTGCTGTATGGGCTAAGGGTTAAAATCCAACTTAAGTATTTAAGGCACCCACACTTACTATTTGGTCTACATCCACTCCCAGAGTTTGTTTCCAGAGTTCAGCGCGGACACCAGGGGGCGCTCCTTTCTTCAGAAACTCCTGACTGAGCGGACTATGCTTGTTGTTCAGGACTGGAAATATCAAATACAGTACCTTGTGGTAATATATTTTTTATAATTATGAAGAAAATAAGAAATTTGATTAACCTCTTAATGTACACACACACACACACACACACACACACACACACACACACATGATAACTTAAAAGACAGGTACCATACTTACGAAGGTGATAATTTAAGTTTTACTTGTGAATATGATTATATTATTAGTAAACCAACCCTTCACAAAATGAAAATTTTGCAGCAAATGCAATGCAAATTTGCCACAAACTATACAATTTGCAGGATTCTGAAAATAGTCTCCATGAGATTGCAAAAAAGGGGAAAATTAGCAACAAATTTGCCTCAACTTTTCAAGAGTATAGTATCTTCAGATTCTTACTAATTTGTTGCAGACCTCATCTGCACGAAATAATTCTCTCTTGAAAATCTGCTTCAAATTAGCATTTTGGCAGGCCTAGCTGATAAATTAGCTAAAGGTAATATGTGGGTCCACTGAAAGGCATAGTGCTAGTCTAAAAGTCATAATTCTATGTCTACATATCCTGAAAAGCTACTTACATAATTATTAAATATGTCTCAATTCAGACCTCAAAATGATAAACCCCCTCAAATATAAGTACCTGATGTTGACAATTCCTTGTGCAACTTCAGGAAACTTGGTGGTCTACATTTGTAAATTATGCACTCAATTTGGGTTAAGTTAAATTATTCAATTAAAATTGAAGAAAAATGTCAAATCCAAGTACACAGTCAGATAGATTCTTGTGTAGGAGAAAATGTTGATGAAGGATTTGGCTTGAAAATAGCCAAAAGGATACTTATAACAAGGCATAACAAACAATATTAAAGCTGAAAACACATGTCCTTTGTTTAAGTATGAAGAGCTGTTAACTTGTATGGTGGTGCTTTGCAATTATGTATTATGTATACCAACCACAGTAGATGGGCCAAATATACTGCTTCATTATGGTACATAACACCAGTACCAGTATGTATAGTGTATGTCATGTCCTCTAGCTGTTAGGGGAAGTTTCATAAAACCTCTGGGTCTTAAAGAAGACAGTTGGTCTCCTTTTCATAATACTGGGATGAGACGGATAATTTGATTTCTGTCAGCCAGAATCAAAGTTGAGATGGCTGGAATTTTCCCTGACTGACATTGACAGGTACCCTGAAAACAATGGGTATAGAGCGTTTCTGATGCATACAATGCAAATCACACAGGAGGAGCCTACCAAGCTGAGAAAACAGGGTGCACTGACACGAACTAAACATTTTAATATTGCCATACTGAAGATACAGGTTAGTTGGAGTCTTGGGTGTTCAAAAGAACCACCCTTCTGGCCAGAAAAGGTTTCCTCTGAATCAAAAAATTTACCTAGATTCCATGCCATTTCTCAAGTTGGATCACAATTATAAGGGATGAAATCAGAAAAAGAACCCCCATTTTGAAATTGCTGGCTACAGGCCCGAGATGGTTTTTTTTTTTTTTATTAATATTCAATTTTGCATATCCTGTAGTCCATTCAAAGTTTAATAGTTTGATCAAATTGGAATTCATCAAGCTTTGAAGTCAGGTGAAATTTGTAGGATTTCCTCTTTTACATAATAAACAGAAAAGCTTTTATCTATCATACCTTTCTTGGCCAACTTTGATCTGTCATTATCAAAGAGTTCAGGAGGGATGTCTGGGTTATCATCAACACCAGTTTGGCACTGGTTGATGGACATTTCATTGAATCTGAGCCTCTGAAATCACAAAAATAGTCATACAATGAGAACAAGACTTTGATACAACAATACTTTACTTTTCCTGGAAATTTCAACTTTTTCTTTTCGTATACTACATGCGAAACTATTTTTAAAATATTATTTTTATACAGATTTTAGAATTCTGTTTTCTTTTCTACGGGTTTATATTGATCACTGGCAAAATATACTTCAAAGAAGCTAAGAAGACAAGACTTCCTGATGACACTGAAAAGTACCCTGAAAACAATGGCAATGGAGTGTTTCTGATACATACAAAGCATGTCATACAGAAATCCATCTAAGCTGGGAAAACAGGGTATAAGTCATGAGAAGAATGAAAGAAATACTCTTTAAACTGGCTCCGTATCATAATGTCTTACAAAGTCTGATAGTATATTGTCTGGAATTCAATAACAGACATTTCACTTTAAGTCACTTGCAATTGACCCGGCATGAATGATCTTTTTATACAATAAATTTCAAAGGATGTTTTAGGCTTTCAATCAAATTCAGATAAGTAATATCAATCAAGTTATTCAGAATGGCTTACTAGTATCTTCTCTTTTGATGATCAGAGAAATGTTGATTTTTATTTGATCCCAATGTACAAAATCACTTCTCACAATAACAACATTTAGTCTCCCTCTCCCCCCCTCCCTCTCCCCCCCTCTCTCTTTTACATACACACACACACACACATACACACACACACACATACACACACACACACATACACATACATACACACACACATACATACATACACATACATACACACATACACATACATACACACATACATACACATATACACATACATACACACATACATACACACATACACATACATACACACATACATACACATATACACATACATACACATACATACACATACACACACATACATACACACACACACACATACACACACACACACACACACTTTAAGCAAGCATAGTTTAATGCTAAGTAAAAAGAACCTTGAAATCATCAAACACAAGCAATCAATAATTTGTAACAAATAAACAAAAACAAACAAAGAAATTGTCCCGTAATCAATCAGTATGTTGAAGGTAACTTTCTGCACATGAATCAAGTTCCAATTACATACTATCTGAGTACAAACATGTTAGTAACAAGCGGTCATTATTGAAAAAACATCCAGATCAAAGAATTCCTTGGGGACTTTTGCCTTCTACCTACACAAAGAACGTAAATCTACACTCATCTGCCCATTACGGCAGAAATCAAACTCCTGCTCCTTATAGAAAGGACTGTTTACACAACATATTGAAGAGTTGACTATGAACTAAACTGGCATTTCATTTTGTTTTTTTTTTTACTTATTTTCATTTTTTAAATTTTCAATTCATTTTATCTATTTTATTAATGATTTTATTTAATGAGTTATTGTTCGGAACAAGTATTGTATGCATTGTAGTTACAGACTAATAATTTTAACAATATTGTTCTACTTAATTTCTTCAATGCATAGCACTCATATGAAATATATATTTGAAATTAAATTCCAATATCAAAGACTTAAAAAGAACTCAAGAATGAAGGATTTTCCTACTGGTCTGGTACTGGTAGTAGAAAAAGTGACTGTTCAGTCATTCTAGGCACAGACCAGTGTTACCTACAATTGTGGCATAATTGTTGCATTTTAAAATTATCTAAATTCAGAGTGTAACTTAAGTTCATAGCAGATTTAACTCACTTCGTCTAAACTTTCTTTAAGAAAAACCAGACCAGTGCTGCGGCTAATAACAGTGAGAGCAAACAGGTCCTGGGGTGAATCAATACATATCCTTACTTAATCAAACCAAGCCAAGAAAAAAACCATGGCCACCAAACCAGATGGAAACCACAGGTTCAATGACAAAAGACCCGAAAACCGCAAACAAAAGCCACTTGGAGAAAAGGATGGAATCTGTAATAAAAACTTTATCAATTTTTTTTTATTCATTTCCATTCATCGTTTTTCAAGAAAATTTTTATTCTGCTTTTTTTTTTTTTGGAAGCTATAAATGCACCTATTCATGAAAGGCTTTAAAGCAGAGATTGTTTATTTAACAAAAAATATTTTCAGTTTTTACTGTTTTCAGTTGAAATTGGTTTTCTACATGCAGCTATGTTAAGGCGATTGGCTGTCACTCTAAAGAAAGTTCTAATGTTTTTATTATTGTTTTTGTTCTAAGAGATGTCCTT